TTCTGTAGTTTTTGTTTTTGTTGTTGTTGTTTTTTTTTCAACCCACCGGTTCGAGGTGATACTGGTCGCGCAATTTCTTGTTTGGAGATTTTGATCTGCTTCTCTCCCTTGTAAGACTGGGTAAGCGCGGAGTTACCTCCCCTGTCCCATCTGTCGTGTCGGGCTCGACTTCTTGGTAGTCCGTCCAGAGGTGGGCGTTGTCCAGGGCCACACGGTCCCCGTCCTCAGCCTGTTGGACGGCCTGTGGGAGACGTTTTTAATTGGAGTCAGCTGTGACAGTTTTAATTGGAGTCAGTTTTAATTGGAGTCAGTTGTGACAGTTTTAATTGGAGTCAGTTGTGACAGTTTTAATTGGAGTCGCAGTTGTGACAGTTTTAATTGGAGTCAGTTGTGACAGTTTTAATTGGAGTCAGTTGTGACAGTTTCAATTGGAGTCAGTTGTGACAGTTTTAATTGGAGTCAGTTGTGACAGCTTTAATTGGAGTCAGCTGTGACAGTTTTAATTGGAGTCAGTTGTGACAGTTTTAATTGGAGTCAGCTGTGACAGTTTTAATTGGAGTCAGTTGTGACAGTTTTAATTGGAGTCAGCTGTAACAGTTTTAATTGGAGTCAATTGTGACAGTTTTAATTGGAGTCAGCTGTAACAGTTTTAATTGGAGTCAATTGTGACAGTTTTAATTGGAGTCAGCTGTGACAGTTTTAATTGGAGTCAGCTGTGACAGTTTTAATTGGAGTCAGTTGTGACAGTTTTAATTGGAGTCAGCTGTGACAGTTTTAATTGGAGTCAGCTGTGACAGTTTTAATTGGAGTCAGCTGTGACAGTTTTAATTGGAGTCAGCTGTGACAGTTTTAATTGGAGTCAGTTGTGACAGTTTTAATTGGAGTCAGTTGTGACAGTTTTAATTGGAGTCAGTTGTGACAGTTTTAATTGGAGTCAGTTGTGACAGTTTTAATTGGAGTCAGTTGTTACAGTTTTAATTGGAGTCAGCTGTGACAGTTTTAATTGGAGTCAGTTGTGACAGTTTTAATTGGAGTCAGTTGTGACAGTATATGCGACATGTATGTATATATATGTATATATATGTATATATATGTATATATGTATGTGTGTATGTATATATGTATTTTAAAAATTATTTTAAAATGGTTCACGACCACAACATTCTTAAAAATCTTTGATGGTGTGGGGAGGTGGGGTTATAGTAGTGTTTCGATGCATTATTGTCTACGGGAATCGTATATAATATTGTATTGGGTTTATACTGGGTCAAAACGTAGGCCAATTTGTGTGTTATGCAGAGTGTTTTATAGTGCATAACGCACATTCCTTTATATAATAAGTGTTACGATATCTAGTAAAGTTGTGACGGATAACAAACTTTCTATCATCCACACGTGACTGTTACACATTTCTTTATTGTATGATTAAATGTATCGTGATGAGATTTATATATTTCCTTAAAAAAAGTTATTATCTCTTTATATTTCGTCCCATAAATCGGTCGATATGCCTGAAATAAATTTCAGGCATATCGACCGATATATGGGACGAAATATAAAGAGATAATAACTTTTTTTAAGGAAATATATAAATTAGCCAGTCTTTTAATTGCCACAACGCCCTCCCTTAAAGTTTCAAATGCCTCCCCACTTACCCCTCTCTAAGAAAGATTTTTGATTTTAGGTACAAGTTCGTGACGTCATTCTTTGATGTGCAGCTCCTGTTATTAGCCTAAAACACGTGTATGTTTGTTTCGTTTCAGGTTTTTGACTCGCACAATTTTTAGATTTTTCTGCAAGTTGTAAACATGGTAAGAAAAGTTTAATGCTGTGTTGGCCTTGGTCTCTTCAACACAGCGAATTGACATTTTCAGTGTTCAACCTACAGACTACACACGTATGAGCAGACCTGAACACTTTTCTTGATGCAGATTAGTGTTTTTGTGATGATTTTGTGATGTTTGTGTGGGTTTAACTCCTTATGCCAATATAGCACATTGTTACAAATAGTAAAAGTAAAAGCACCCCCCCCCCCCCCACCAAAAGTTGTTAGACTTAAAAAATTGTAAGCAAGTAAATGTGATGTCACACATTTGAGAAACATCCTCCCCCCTCCCACTGAGACGGAATTCCCAACCGCTAGGATTCTGAAGTCGCGTATTAACCACCCCTCCCATAAAAGTAATTGATAGCTCAAATTATGTGGAAAGTAATTTTTATTATTAAAAGTTTATTTTCAAAATGATATTATTTTTTTCAACTAGGGGAGACTACTCGTAAATGTGTAAAGTCCGACAACTCATTTTATTTCTAAAGGCTTGTCAAATTAACCAATACAATTACAATTTTAATATATTTACTTCAATATTTTCCCATTATGTAATGCTGATATAATTTGCACAAAATTATTATTTTTTTGTAAGAAATTGTTAGGAGCTTATTAAAGTTAAAGGCTGACATTGGTCGGATGGATGGTGGCTGAAAATGGTAAAAAAATGGCATCTACAATATCCTAAGATGATATTCCATAAAATCATGCATACCTGGACAAAATATGTTTAAAATATTTGTCCACATCAACTTTGGAATTCAACCCAAATTCCTACCTTGTAAGTAATACACCCCCACCTCAATAAGAGGAGGGTGTGAGTGATTTTAGCTTTTAAATATATTTTATACAGTGTTGTATTCTACACAAGATTAAACAAAGATTTGCCTGTGTGTGGAACAAAATGAGAAAACATATTCACATTGCTGCATTTATTTGTACACATTATTAGTAGTTTTAACAATAGTGGGGAGATAACCCTTCATAGAAATATAAATTTTTATATTTACATATTAACGAAGTTGTTTCTCAATTTATACTAAAATACATAAAAATATAAGTTAAGATTTTAATGAGTATGTTAGGTAAGATATACATAAGAAGTATTAAATAATGTAAACTTCTATTTTTATTTTATTTTACAAACCATCACTTGAAACAGTAACATCGTATATAACTAAAACTGTTTTGGAAACTCAAACACTTTTTAAAAATCATCAAATTAAAAATTTCCATCCAAAATAACATCCATCTGAAATAGTATATTAGAATCACATATCATATCTGCAGCACTTTCTAAAAATATTTCAATCACAGTTTAATTTTTATCTGTTGTCAAACAAGATGAATGGGAGAAATTGTTAATACAAAAAATTAAAAATACACTTAATGACCAGTTTTTATCTGCTCTTAAATGATACACAGATGTGTAAACTTGCAGCAAATACACAACCTGCAACATAAATTCTCCGAAAATGAAATCACTAAAATAAAACAGTTTGATAAAATACACCTGAAAACATAAAGTCTACAACTGGCTATTAATTGATCAAATATAAATAGAACAGAAAAAACCTATACAATCAAAAACGATTCGTCGGGTACAAAAAATAATTGGTATACATAATGAATATAAAAATGAAAATGTATGTATGAGAATATATATTTAACTGTATAATGCTTATGGTGACTTTTTGCTACTGCAGTTTGTATACTTTTGACTAGAAAAATTAAAGGTCGAGCAGTTCCTGCACCAGTATTTTTGGCAGCAGTTATTTTACTATTTGCACAATTGGTTGTTATTATGGTCAAGGTTACAAAACAAATATACAAGCATTATAGAGCTAAATTAAACAAGAGCAGATGTTAACAAATGGCCAAAGCCATGTAGAAGTCTACAATGAATATTAATTAGCATGAAAATATGTTATTTCCTGGCCAAAATTGTTCACTTATGAAGACAATTAATGTGCAAGGGAAACTATCAGACATTGTGCAAGGGAAACAATCAACAAACATTTATTTTGTAAAAGTTTGTATTTAACTTAGTGATCTCGAGTAAACATTTTATTAATTGCTTGGAGAAAAAAAATTCACTTCATGTAAATAAAAGAACAATTAGTTTTATGTATAAGATTTTTTAAAAGTACAATTTTTTTTAACTGGAGAAGGGGTGGAATATTTACAAAATTAAAATGAAATAATAACAACAGCCTTCGAGTATGAACACTACCAACTAATTATGTAAGAACACAAACAGATCTAAAAAATAACAAATTACAGTTTTTAAACTTATAAAAAACAGCATTAAGTTGGCAACCCTCTATACAGTAGCCGGGGCCTGCATCACCGAGATACACAACTTTAGGATACACAACAATTGGTTGACCTTTTTAAGAGAAAAATTAATTAGTTCATTTTTAAAATACAAGAAACCACACCAATTTTTTTTTATCAAATCCTTAGAAAAATGTTATAACTATTTTTAAAACCTTTTAAAATGGTTAAAAATTATCAAGTACTTTGGCACAAATGAAACAAAATCCAATTAAAGACATAGTTTCATTTAAAACTAATATATGTACATATCAGTGTAGAAGTTCATTGGTTGAAAATATCTATAATGAACAACAAAATAATATGCTCTTGATAAGAGTTTCATAAGTAAAGGAAGACTCGCAGAAACAGCATGTCGACAACAAAAGTTACATTTTTTAAAAAAGTATTGCATAATGTCAATATCATTTGATTGTCAAAAACTTAATAAAGTATGCATTATTCCCATTAATTATGCATTTGTACTAATACACATTTACAAATTCAACAACGCTAATTCTATTTTAAACAGTTGGTATTCTCTTTAACAACAATCTGCAGGTTCATAAATATGGTGAATTAAAACTTTGCTGAGAGTATTATATACTTCTGAGTTAACAAAAAAAAATATTTTTAACATTCCAACAACTAAAGTTGAGCCTTACTCACTACACAATCATTTATAAGAGTGATCTAATGAAAACCTCAGAAAGAAAATGGTTGTCAATTTAACAGCCAATGTAAATAACTGTTTTACAACCTTTGCACACATAATATGCTACTGTGTGCACAATTATTTAAATATTCTTGGGTTTATAGGTTTATATCGAGTATACAATAAAGAAAGATCTAAAAACTTTTTGGTATCTGAGCAGAATAAAACACCCTGTATTTAATATTGAACATTTTCTAGGACTAAGTAGTTATATGACTGGTTATATATTGTTTTGTTACAATTTATACATAAAAAAAAAATTATTGTACAACAAAGGAAGCCTGAATCTCTAGGCATAACTAGTTCAATTCACATTCCACAGCAAGATATAACAACACGTCAGAGCTTGTTTTAGCTATTGTCAGGCTCCATATGCACGGCCTTATTTTAACTAAAATTGCCATTTAAATGTATGCACCTAATATATAGCTTATTTTAACTGTTATTTTAAGGTTAGTGTATGCAGACATATTACCTGTTTTTTAAACTGGCTTATATATGGTCCATGTTAAAGCTTAATTAAAACTAACTGATGTTAGCTCCGAGTGACTGTCTTTGAATATGCTGACCACCTTTCTCACCTGGTCCATCCTTTGTCTTGACTGTCAGCGCCAGTTGGTCAGCGCTGAGCTGGAACACCCAGGCCACAATAAGGAACAAAAAGATGGCCACCAGGTCGACCCCTGCCAGCATGTAGAAATAGTAGTCCAAGTGGCAGTCACCCGTGGAGACGACTTTCAGTTTGGAGAGGTTGGTGGGGTCAACTGGGCAGCTGTACCGGCAGTTGATGTTGCCAAAGTTGTACTTGTAGAACCAGGTTTTAGACGAGGCCAGAGTGGTCAAGATGGCCGTCCCCATCAAGCTTCCGATCCCGGAGAAGAAATAGTACAAGCCTGTGATGATTGCTTTCATGGACTTGGGCGCAAGGGTAACTGTGAACTGTAGACCTGCAATAGAGGATTGATGGGAATCTTTTGTAAAAAATGAAAAAAAAAAAAACAGCAACTCACCGAAAGAAAAACTTTTTAAAAAATTGGAGAATCTATATATTTAAAAAAAAATATATTCCCTCTAAACCTGTTTATTAGCTAACAGAATTTGACACTTAATAATCTGCTGATTGCACCATGTTGGTCAGTCAAAAACTGATTTTGTTGAGGAAGCCAGATATGAAAATAGTGAAGTAACCCCAGTGGACATGGCCCCAGTGGACTTGACCCCAGTGGATGTAACCCAGTGTACGTGACCCCAGTGGATGTGACCCAGTGTACGTGACCCCAGTGGATGTGACCCAGTGTACGTGACCCCAGTGGATGTGACCCAGTGTACGTGACCCCAGTGGATGTAACCCCAGTGGTAATAACCCCAGTGTACGTGACTACAGTGGATGTGACCCCATGGATGTGACCCCAGTGGAAGTGACCCTAGTGAATGTGACCCCAGTGGAAGTGACCCCAGTGGATGTGACCCCAGTAGACATGACCCCAGTGGACGTGACCCCAGTGGACATGACCCCAGTGGATGTGACCCCAATGGAAGTGACCCCAGTGGACATGACCCAAGTGGATGTGACCCCAATGGAAGTGACCCCAGTGGATGTGACCCCAGTGGACGTGACCCCAGTGGATGTGACCCCAGTGGATGTGACCCCAGTGAACATGCCAGCAGCTGGATGGTACATGCTCTCTTGCTGTGACATTCTGGCTCAGATTTTACCCAAGCAGTTGTTGGAAATTCACATTATTTACTACAGCTTTTCTAGTTTTTTATTTCCTAAATGAGGGTTTGGCTTATTGAGGAGTTAGCTTTAATAGAAGTGTGTATACAGTAAATATGAACTCCATGAAGTACACAGGGTCTAAGAATGAGATAAGTAGTGCAACATTTGATTGGTTAACTTACAAGCAACACTGGCAAAAACTTCACTGATACCAATCAAGGCATATTGGGGTATCTGCCAAAATACTGACATTTCCGCAGCAAAATATGTTGTGTTGCCTGAAACAGTAGTTGTATAAATGTTATTAAGAGAACTTTTTTTTCCAAAGAGTAATAGAATGATAGTAAAATTTTAATAAAGAATTTTCAAGTTCATTAAAAGCCTTGTTGAATAATTAACATTTTTGCTATTAACATTGTTAATATAAGTGTTTTATCAAGTTCGATCTATTCTTCTCAAGTGGCTTCCCCTTAAGTGATGGTGTGAACAGCTACATCCTCAATGTGACAACCACCAATACTTCAATTGGTGTTCAATTTAGAATTTTGTGATACAGAGCAATAAGCAATAATTATTTAATCTCAATGAAATACAATCATCTACAGATATGTAACAGACTCCAAAAAATTGAATATTTCCTAAAAAATTCAAGATTTGTTTTTGTCCCAGAAAATTAGATAAAAGATAAAATATTTAATTTCATATGCCTGATCATTTTGTCTGGGGAATATTTGGCTATTGAAAAACTTGGCAGAACATTTTTCCAGGTATGTTTAAGAAAATGTCTGACTCAAGATAAATCTATATCTTTTCAGCAAAAAATTTCTTTACTAGGGTAAATGGGATTCTGACAGAAATCTGAAAAATTACATTAAATTTGTAATCTGACATACTGAATAACAATTGTCTATGGTACTAAACACAATTACTAATGCGATGACACTAAGAAACAATTACCTATGACCTGGCGAATTGATGAGTTGCCACAGGGACCATCACCACCTGACCAAAAACTCTGCAGCCTGAAATGTTCAACAACTCCGGCCACAATCATGGCAGCCATTGCAAACAGCATGCCAATGACAATGCGCTTGGTGAATGAAAAGGGGTAGCCAGCTTTAGCCATGCGTGGGTAGATCACTCGATCAAACAGTGGCAACAGGATAATGACAAATATTGCGTCAAAAAGGCTGAACCAAGCGGCAACAATCTAAAGAAAAGAGAATTTGAATGCCAATTCATGTTCATGGGTTTGTTTTGTAAGATGAACTTTCAGATTCTAATTAAGAGTGGTGTTGTTTTGTGTGTTAAATATTAAATGTAGATTTTGGAAAATAAAATGTAGAATCTATCCTGAAATATTTTAATCACAAGAAAATAAAATGATAGTGACTATTGGAAAATAAATTGTTTGTGAGTTTTTTTAATCTTACCACTGGACTGTCAGATGTGGAATTTTTTGAGAATCCAAGATTCATGTGAAGGCCTTGAAATAGAAATGTCGTTTGCATCTGAAAAATAAGGTTAAAATTTAATTGAAAATCTGATTATTGGGATTTGACATCACTCAACAAGAGTTAAAATGAAGAGGTGTTGCAAAAGTTATAAGAAGAAAACACCACAAAATAAAAATGTTAAGCTTTCATTTCAAAGTCTGTAAGTATTTCTTCAAGTATTTTGTAATAATCTAATTTTTCTAAATATTTAAAGAGATCACACAAGAGATTAAGCTTATTATTAAAATAACAGAAGGATAAGGTTTTGAATTCAAGTCCTGATTGTAACTTGCTAATTGACAAGATTTTCTGGAATTAAAACGGCTTTTATTCGGTACCTAACATAAGTTGGTCAGGTAACAACTGATGAAAATTGTACAGCATTCACAAAATACTCAACATTTAACTAGCCATTTTAATTCATAAGCCCAGTTTGCAATGGTAATTCTATTTTATTTTTACCTGAAAGTACACCAACCAATAGGGAATGAGGACAGCAAAAACAGCAAGAATCATCCCAAGTTTTTTAACATCATCCACAAGAGAGTTATGAAATATTCCTCCATGTCTGAGCTTGGCATGGTCAAGAAAACTGATCTTTTCTTCTGTACCGGTGATGGCCTCTACTGCTCCATGAGATCTGCTGGAAATTTTTATTCAAATAAAATCTACTCAAAAATTGACATCCTATAAATTCAATTAAGCAACCCCAATGTATATACAAACAATCTACTGGCCTCATCTTTATTAATGGGACATTGTAATAGTCACAGTTTGAAAAAATGATTCAACTTTTTTCAATTCAGGTTGAAGTTTTCAATGAAGGCAGTCATGCTTTAGTTTTTAATTTTTAATCACACAAAAGATGTAGCACAAGTATACATCAGGAATGACTGGACTCAACAACAGAATAAGAATTACTAGCACTCCTCCCCTACCCCAAATAATTGCTTGAATTGTTTACTGCTACTTTTGGGATAAGTATTTTTAACAAGAACAGACATTCCCAAGCCTAAAGACAAATGTTTTTTTTACCCCTCTAAAATGGATTTTTTGTTTAGCAGCAAGAGCTGCTTTCTTTGGCGCTTCCTCTTCCAGGCTTCTTTGAGTATCCTGAAAATGTTGGTCAGTACACTGCCATCTGGTGGACGAATCACATAGCAGCATCGACCTGTTGAAACAGTTCAATCAATCACTCAAGTTAACAATCTAGTTAACACATTTTTAATTTAATTATCATTTATTAATATTAAATTTCAATTTTTAAAGCCATTTTTTTAAAAACCCATATCGATCCTGTCTAGAGAAATCTATACAGTCAAAAAAATACTAAAAGTCTCAAAATTAAATTTAATAATGATAATATGATAATAAGAAATGTGGTCACAGACCGCAAATAGAGACCAGTTCCATATACATCTTCTTCTTCTTAATCCCGATTGTGCTCATGACATATGGGGAAGATGAAGTAGAGTTCATCTGATTCATTGACCTCGGCATATGAGGGAATAGTGTGGTCAGCCCTATGTTGAGCCGCCTTTGCTTCCTTAACGTAAGTTAGATACCCATCAGAGCTGGGTGGACTCAGGGATGTTCCACTGATTTGAACCCAAGATTCTTGGGTTAGCAGTCTAGCTCTCTACCGCTAGGCCACGCCATCCGATTCCATACGGGGAAAAAAATGTATTGGCCCCGATGTATTTACAATTTTTGAAAAAAAACAGCTATCCCATCACCTTTGCTCCAGCAGTGCCCTAACATCAAATAAAATATGACAAAAACCCTAAGTTTGACTCACCCATGATAAAAACCAGAAAAGAACAGCCAAGAGTGACTGTACCAATGATGTAGCCAATCTGAAAGCTGTGCTGCTGCTGTATGTATGCCACAGCCCCCAGCCCTATAAAACTGCCAATATTTACACACCAGTAGAACCAGTTAAAAAAACTAAGCTGTGTCTGCTGGTTAGCCCTGGAAAGCTTGAAAAAATAAAATAAACTTCACTTAGATAAATTATCTTTAATTTAGTTTTTTTCTAAACAAAAGATAATATAATTAACTCAATATTAAGTAACATGTAAAGGTTTTTTTCTGCCATATCACTGTGAGGGATAGGGTTAAGGCTAATGCCAACCTTAGAGTAGTATTAATAACAAAAAAATCTTATACAGAATTATCTCAGGTACTAAGACTTTTCCAACTAAACAATTATTTCTAAAAACAGTTTTTAAAAAACTCAGGTTTAAAAAAAAAGCAATTTGTCCTCATGTTTTGGAAATTATAATCTATCTATGAACTTAGTTATGTACATTAAAATATGTTTACCTGCTCAGATCCAAAAGGACATATGCTGGACTTCATGGAACCAGCCCCTATACCAATTATAATCAAAGTGACATAAATCAACCAGGAACAATTTTCCTGGAATGGGTTGCCAATATCCCCAGTCCTAGGTATCCGATTGATGCACACTTTAGGTAAGGCTGCACTATCTCCATCTGTGGTGTTTGTCAAGTTGTAAAAAATTATATCATCCGTCTCTGCGACAAAAGGCAGGAGGATGTGACCGCTCATGTAGATGAGGAAGGCAAACAACATGGCTTTGTAGCGCCCAAGGCATGAATCAGCCACCCACCCACCAATGAGAGAAACAATGTAGGTTATTCCATAGAACACGAGCAGTGCATTCATGGCGTGGTATGATTCCCACTGGAAGGGCGCCATGTTGAGGAACAGAACCAAATTTCCAGTCAGCCCGTAGAAACTGATTTTCTCAAGCACGACGGACATGAGAATGGTGAAGAGAGCCCAGTGGACATGCCAGCTGTTTGATGGCGCAACATAATCCCGTGCTGGCACATCCTGGCTCAAATTCCGTCGAAGTGGTGACCCGTTTATGCCATTGCTTATTCTACGAGATGATGATGAAGCTTGTGAATTTACACGTACTCCAAGTAAGGGCCTGGTCTCATTTATGTCTGACATGTTCGTGAGTCATTAAAACATAACGATTCATTTAACTGCCATGTCCTAAAAATAAAAAAAAAAACAGAAGGATAAATTTACAGAACAAACATTTGAAAGTGGAATGACTCATTGTCCTTATTAGATCTATATATCACAGTAGCTTACTTGAAGAGAGAAAAAAATGAAAGTGTTTTTAAATCACTTATGAAAAATTGCGTTTAAAACAAGAAAGATGAACAATATCAAATATATAGTTATACTAACACTAACATAGATTTGGAGAAAAAAAATTCAGCAGTAGAATTAAATTATAATTTTTTTAAACTTGTAAGTTCTAATCTTTGTATAAGTTTGTAAACAAGCACAAAATAAAAATATTTTTAAATAATAATCATTAAAAAAGTTTTTAAAAACCCACGTTTTCTGATTGAACTAAAAAGTAGAAAATAAATGCTATACATCACAATAATGCAAGCGATCACTCTACTATAAGCGATCAAAAACGTGGGGCGCCGAAGTAAAAGTTATATTACTATTAATTAGATAATACTATTGACTTTTATTAGGGAGCTTGTAGAGAGTCAACAGTATTAGAAACTGTAAGAAAATCACCGCGCCCCACGTTTTTGATCGCTTATAGTAGAGTGATCGCTTGCATTATTGTGATGTATAGCATTTATCTTCTACTTTTTAGTTCAATCAGAAAACGTGGGTTTTTAAAAACTTTTTTAATGATTATTATTTTCTACTTTTTAGTCTTTGTCTGTTTGTTTGCATTAAAATCTTGCTATCGATTTTATCTTTTCACTTTTTTTGGGTAAACGAAGACAACTCGTAAAAAGACAACTCGTAAAAAACACGTTGTGTGAATACGTTACTGACTAGAACACATAGATTTGAACCCGTGTCGAGTGGGATAGCAATCGTGTGCCCAACCACTCGACCATATCGTCTCCCCCATACTGGCCACCAGTTGTTACGGTTGTTTGTACACAAACACCGCGTGAACACTACTCAGTAAGCAAAGAGGGAGAGTACCGAACCTTGTTTTCATCAAATTACAGTTACTGGGTTATGTCCCTTTTTCCCCACGTTTTTTGTACAATTATATAGCGGTCTAAAATGATCAATAAAATGTTTCCATGGATCAATTTAGTAATAAAAACAATTGAATATTCTATTGTCATCCAAAACAAAGCTTCCCTGAAAATTTCAGCGCGCTAGCTAACTGGGAAGTGCCAGAAATTTCGATTGCAAGATTTGATTGGAAAGACAAACAAACAGAGATGAAAGCAAGTTAAAGAAAACGTGGGAAAATTACAAAATAAGTGTCTTTAACTTCCTTATATAACATAAACTATTAGTCTAGTTGGTAAATATACTACTTACAAATGTTCACCTACTCTTACAAAAACTAGTTTGCTACTTGACACAGCTGATAAACTTTAGAATTTCTCCAAACTCTTCAACAAGGAGACCATTTTGAATTTTATCACCATAACTATGTAATGGATGAGGTCATGAGAGATATTTCAAGATTTATTTTTAGTCACAATGCTGATATAAGTTGGGTTAAAATACAGGTTATTTAATTATCTCTGCTGCTTATCTATCTTGCACACTGTGTCCAGCTTTATCTACAATAAAGACTGAAAACTTTAAACTGAAAATATGATGTTTTATTTTGGCTTAGAAGAAAAAACACATACAAAATAAAAAAAATATTTTAAAACTTTATAACTTTAACTATTAACACAAATTCCCAGTTTTACCAGGAACTGCCTGCCTATTTGAAAATGTACTATGATTTTAATCATGGATAATAATAAGCAATTTCTTTATCACACTAACTTATCAGTTATCTTTAATATTATACCTTAGTAAATTATTAATTTTTATGATTTGTAGTTATCATTAGTCCCATGATATGTGGAATTAGGTGGAATTTACATTTAAACATAATAATTCACACTTTTTTTGTCTTAAGATTGATACAGATAGCTTAGTACTTATTTTTGACATAAACAAGCAAAATATAGTACATCTTTAAAAACAGTTAATAGAGGCTCAAGGATGATATTTTATTATAACAATATTAAGAAGAAGGTTTACATGATTATTAATATTTTAAACCATGCTTCTCATCAGAGTAGCTTCAGAAAATGTCATGCTTAGTTAAAACAGTTGTGGGGTATAGCAGTTACTCAGTTACTACAGTTAGGTCATAAATACTTAGGTCTAAATATTAAGGGTTAAAGGTTACAGGATAAATTGTCTTACATTGCAGTAATATAATATTTTTATATTAGAATGCTATGCATGCATGCAATTTTGCGTCAAAACTGGTGAAAACTTTTTCTTAGATTTAATAGGCCAACTACCTCAACAACATATTTATTGAAAAACAGCAATTTTAACAATATGTATTATTATAATATTAATATTATAATATACTTAGTAGGTAAGTCACAAGTGATGTTTCTTACTCTAGATTCTAGTAGTAACTTACCAAAATTAAGTTATTAAGTTCACCTAGAATACCTAGATCTAGACTAGTAGCTCTAATTCCAGGCTAATACACCAAGATCTAAACCTACATCTTTAGTTTCAATAATGTAAAATAAACATCTAGATCTAGATAATCTAGAAGGGATCTAATTTCTAAAGTAAACAACTGCGTTGAGTGATGCTTGAATGGTTCTGTTTTCTTCAGACCGGAAGTAAAATGTACTTTCGCTACTGCGTTGATAATGATGTCATGGTATCAGTTGATTGTAGGAAAAAAAGTCACAGGAAAAAAAAACACAGGAAAAAAAAAACACAGAAAAAAAGTCACAGGAAAAAAAGTCACAGGAAAAAAAGTCACAGGAAAAAAAGTCACAAATATATATTTGCATGATATTTGTTAATACTTTTATGTATTAAATATTTAGAGAGTGCAAATTAACTTAGGATTAATTAAATGTAATGTAATGTGTGTAGGCTGTATACGCATAGGAATTTTTATAATTCATCTAAATATATTTATTATGAAGTATGTAGATTGTAATTATTTTAAACTTAAGATTAGTAGCATTTAATAGAGTCCACGTTTTTCGTCGTGTTTTTTTTTTAAATACCAATATTAAATTACCGTGAAATGGTAAGTTCATCTGACTTGCTGCCCTCAACTCATGGCAACAATAGTTATGCTTAGTTCAACCACCTTTACTGCCCACATTTATCACGCTCATTACATAACAAAACTTAGGATCAAAACAGAGAGCCGACAAGGCTCAAAGGCTGTCATTGACGCATAACGTCAACACCACAGAATATGTTCGGACAATGCCTACTGAGGAGAGGCCGACCAGAGAATAGCCTACGGCAAAATGTGCCTAAATTTCTTTTATAATTAACTTTTCTACCGCGTATTTATCTAAATACGTAACAAATGTTGAGATTGTTGTGTTTATTATCTTAGAGTTTTTTTTACTTACAATTGTTATAAATCATAATGCTTTTAACGTCTATAAATAATGTATGCTATCAAAAAATACAACCCACAACAATAAACATACAAAATTTTACAATTTTTATCAAATTAATAAAAATATTTCTAAAAATATTTTTGTGACTTTTTTTCTGTGACTTTATTTCTGTGACTTTTTTTCCGATAAAATTTTTCCACTGTGACTTTTTTTCTGTGACTTTTTTTCCTAGCAAAAACTGTGACTTTTTTTCTGTGTTTTTTTTTCCTGTGACTTTTTTTCCGTTTACCTATCAGTTTTGGGGTCACCCATAAATAATAAATAACATCCCATAGAGAGGGGTGAGGGTAGAGTTCCAACAGACATTTTGCACTCACTAAGAAGTAGTAGCCTATATCCTAGATCTAGAAAGAATTATGGTTATGTAGGTGATGAGAAACTGTGTTGTTGTTTAAAGCAAATAGTCACTAGTGGGAGGGGGTGTGGGGGGGGGGGGGGGTCGAGACGATGAGCTAGGGTTTTTAAAAAGCCAAAATAAAGTGACCATATGAGAACGACCCTTTAAAGGTGATTTACAAGTGACCATATGAGAACGACCCTTTAAAGGTGATTTACACGCAAAACAAGTCACACATAAATTATCATTGATTCTCCGAGTTTAGTTTAGTGACGGTGTGTGATGAGGGAGGGGGGGGGGGGGTTCAGATGGTGCGACGTCACACTTTTGCATTATAAAAAAGCAATGTTAGAAAGCGAATTTTAGACATTATTTTGCGTTTAAGAAAACTGTTTTGATAAATTGCAATAGGAATTGATTAAAATACTCTATTTGATAGAGTTCAGACAAGATTTTGGAAAAATATCGATGTTTTCAGAATAATTCAACTGTAATTTTGAGGGGGGGGGGGGGGCTGTAGGCTGCGGTGTGACGTCATTTTAGGGGGGGTCTGGCTTTTTGTGACGATGTGTGACGGAAGGGAGGGGGTAAAAATCGTGAAAAAATGCGTGACGTCATTTATGGATGACACCCTAGCCCACTTTCAGCCTCGATCATACTTGGATACACTCAAAACAGTCAGACCTGTCTCAAAGTTCAACTGCCTCATTCACTACATTTGTAGCAGTTAGGTACTAAAGAAATAAAAAATAGGCCAATGGGGTCTCCATAAGGAAAGGGCAGTGAGATGCTGCCCTTCCCCTCCACTAGAAAAAGATACTAAATTAAATTACAAAAATATTTTCTTAACCATATTTCCCTTCCCCATACATTTAACTCTCTTAGGTTTGCTTCTTTTATAATAAAACAGTGACCTGTAGGAATATTGCTTCAGTATATTATCTTAAAGTAGTTTTAAAATATTGATATTCATCAGCTATGTATCTATTCAACCTCTACTTTTATTATTAATTAATTTACTGTAGGCACATATATGTCAGACCAATTGATATCACTCTGCAGTGTATCGACTTGTCTTTACTTGTTAATAAGCCATATAAAATACTATAATTTAATATAAGGTATACCTAAGTGAGCTGTTCCATTTTTATTTTGTAAATTATTTGAAAACTGATTTGTTTTTTCAATCAATAAAATTAAATTTCATGGAAAGTAGATTAAAACACTGATACAGCAGTAGAAACGTAAAAGTATTAAAAGTACAATTTTCTACAATTTTCGCAAATAACTTAACAGCTTTTGTAAATATTTTAATACTTCTTTAGACATTGTTTGAATGGCATATTCAAGAAGAAATTATCTAAGAGAATCAATCTCCACAAACACAACAAACCGTAGCCACAAAGTACACAATAAACATGCAAAAATAATTGCAAGGACACCAGACTCCTTTCTTATATTATCCCTAATGTGTGAGCTTGAAAGTAAAAATCTGAATGAGTTATTTAACGTTTATTTATTAAATTTTTTCTGGCAGTGTGTTTGGATGCAGATAACAGTGTATAAAAAAACAGAGTTATATTTCAATTGTCCTAAAGCTAATACCACAACATACACAATTTGCTGTATAAAAATGTTTATTTTTTAGGTGCATACAACTTCAAGGATTTCATGTTATCCCTAAAATGGGAAGGGGCATGTGTGGTGAGGAAAATCATTCGCCCCTTATAGTTAGTCAAAACAACTGTTCTGCAATGAAGATGAAGGGCTAAATGACGCACTTTGGCCTGACGAATTCGCAGTAATTCAAGCATTTCTTTATGGAGTTTCTGAAAAACAAATCAGGCAGCAGATAATAAGAAACTACTAAAATAAACTGTTATGCTGTTTTAAAGACTTCTAAAGATTTACCATTACTTTTCATAATTGAAGGGAAAACAATATATATAGTTTAGTGGTAAAAAAAATACACATAGATGGGAATTTAACTTGGTCAACTTTTCCATCTAAATAATCAGCAATGCTTTATTAAGTATGTGACTCATTCTGTGTCAAGGAAATATTTGTTTTCAATAATACAACACATATGGCATTGAATGAGGCACATTTCATTGTTCACATGGACCAAAAATATGTGTCATAACAGTTTGTCTTGTGAGAAACCTTACAAAAATATTTTTTTAATGAAAGTAGAAATTGAATATTTTAAGGATTTAAGTAATACAATTTCAAAATCAAAGAACTTTAAATTAATATTTTTACTTTGAGGTTGCATTTCTGTTTACTATTGAGCATCTGCTTCTAACCTTGACATTGTGTACTTACTATCTAAAACATACAACTTTAATTGGCCATTTAATCAAGAACCTTATTTTTTATAATAACTTTTCTTGCCATAAATTTATTTTTTTATAACTATGATGATGCCATGGCAAAAAAAAAAAAAAACAGCTTTTTTCAAATCTTCTTTAGTTACCGAAAATATTAATAACAAAAAATAATTCAACTTGTAAAACTGATTTAAAAAAATATCACACAACTAATCTTTGATGATCACAAATTAATTGTTTAATAACACAGCAACAAAATATATTCCTAAAATATTTAAATTCCCCCTTCAATCAAACTACTCTGATGTAATTTATTTCATTTTCTCTGATAGTTGGATGTTGTTTATTTCCAAGACATCTCAATCCAGAAATTTAATATGACAGAAACAGAATAAAATGCATGCCATGGGTTCAAGTAAGGTTAAAATTCACCATTTGCAAAGTGTATTTAGCCACCAGAAACTGCATAGAATTTTTGTTTACCTGTGGTGCCAAATTAGCAAAGTTAGAGTATTTATGATCTCCCAGTATGGGTGTGTTCAGACCACTGGCTAGATGGACTCTGAGTTGATGCTTCACACCATCTGCACATTTTAAAAATACTTTTTAAAATAACAAATAAACATTTTTAATATAAAAATATTTTTAAACTACAATAATTATTGTATTTTACATAACAAATCATAATAGTTATGTTTAATAATGAACATCTATATAAACAAGCTCTTTCTGAAAAAATTAAACTACAAAGTCCTTAAACTTGAGTTGAACATAAAATTTAATATTGACCCATGGTTGCAGTAAATAAATTTTAAAATAATGCTTTATCCATTTTGGCTTTTTAAAAACATAAAAGCATTCATTAGAATAAATGATACAATAGAAGCTTACTAGTAAGTTGTGTACATTCCACAAGAGCTGCTTGTAAATGATGACACAAAACTTTGTATTCAGTCACAGCATAAGCACTTGGGGCATCACTTACTTTTGCAATTAATTTTTCTGCTTTAGAAAATCTAGGGCGCAAAACCATCTAAGAAAATAGTGGTAAATAATTAATGGTCAGCCTCAAAGTAAATCTTTAAACAAATTCCAATTAATGGTAAACAATACTAAAAACTTTGAAAACACTTAGATATTTGTCTGTAAAAAAGTGCACATCTTATAAAGCTTCTTCATTTGCTGTCATCAGTGTTAATGTAAGGATTAGGATTATAATTTCAGCCAAAAATATTACAAACAAATATGACAATGTTTTTTTTAACAAGAACATATTGCTGAAATTAAAAAACTGCCCACCTTACGGATGTCACCAACTTTTCCTTCTCCAATAGGGATGTCAATTACACCAGCAAGTGGATTAGGCACACCTTTTGTTATTGCCCAATATCGCTGAATGACCTCATCACAGTTGTCATACATTCCTCTCAGTACAGATGCTACTTCAGGATTCCTGGAAATTTTGCTTCAAAATTAAAATGGAATTCCCTCTTCTAAAAAATTTAAAGTTTTATACATTTTGTAATTGAAAGTTACTATGCTTTAGGCTAAGAATGTATCAAGTCAGCCAAAAAAGTTCATGGAAAATCAGAGTGTTTGATGGCATTTACTTGGCAAGAATGATGGCACCTGAGACATCCCGATCTAAACCTTGAACTAGATGAAGCTTGTCAGTTTTTAGGGACTTTTGTAAACTTGAGGCAAACGAAGGTAAAAGTTGAGTGACACTCACTCTGTCACTTTGCTGTCCTGTTGTAAGTATATCAAAGGTAGTAAAACAACAAATTAGTAACTAACGAAGTACTTAAAACAGTAATATTTTATAATATTTGAGTAATTTTAATGGTTTACTTGCCTACAGATGGTAGACCATATGGTTTGTCAATAGCCACAAAGTCCTCTGAAAAATATTCCAGTCAAAAAAAATAATTACAACATATAATAACCATATTTGCAAATTTAAACTAATAAATGCTATATAAGAAACCAGAAGTAGAACAGACAAAATAGGCCTACATAGAAATCACAACCAGCATTGTAAGGTGGCACTAAAAAGAACCCCCCCCCCCCCCTAAGTTACAGAAACATGAATGATGAAGAGATCTTGAGGCAGAAACCCCTGAAATAGGTTGGTCACTTGTGAGGTACAGCTGGTGAGAATGGCATAGAAATTGGAGAGCTGTAATTAGTGGTGAATACTTCAGCAGGAGAGAAAGGTAATAAATTATGAAAAATATGGCGCATAACCAGTTGATACATAACGCTTAATTGTGTTGGAGGCGTGGTCGAGTCGGCAAAAAGCTCATGTTTGAGCAAAGTCTCGAGTTCAAACCCAGATAAATCTCGATCCCCTTCAACACTAATAATTAAGAACGAAGAAGATGAAAAATATAACTGTATAACTGGATCATAGACTTACCATGATCAAATATTATCCGTTTTTTCAGCAATGTCAAAATGTCTGCTGAAGTCATCTTGCTGAAGTCAATTGTTTGATTGTCTAAAATTCTAAAACCTTTGCTGTCTAGATGGACATTGGGTCCAACATCCAGTTTTTCACTCTGATCTTTTAAAAATTAAAAATAAAAACAGTAAAACGCTTCCGTCTTCTTTTGATTTATAATTCTTTTACTCAACCAACAATTTTTCTAGATAATAAATTATTCCAAAGATATTTCAGTCCAAGTAAAACAATAAAGTAAAATTGAATTAGAAAAAAGTAGTAACAAATAAAACATTCCCAAATAGTAAAAACAATTTAAGCTTAGGCCTAATGGTTAATCATAATCAAAATGCTTTGTTAAATATACCTGTATTATTAATTCTACCACTGCTTGGTGGAGTTGCTTTTTTTTCTTTTGTGGTTTTACTTATCTTCAATTCCTGTCTTAATTTCATTGCAAGTTCATAGGCAGATGTAGGTTTATCTGAGTTTTCTGTTTCTTGTTCTTCTTTTTTTATAGAACTGCTGTGTTTGCTGCCCTTCTCAGTTTTTTTAGTGACAGATTTTTCTGAGTGTAACTTTGAAAGTCTGTCTGTTGGATCTGGTTCAGATGGCGCTTGTTTGTGTTTTACATTCCTGGCTTCCCTTTTTCTATTTGGCACCGCTGCACCTGCATTATCAGAATGATTTGTGTACTTATGCACAATATCAGTTAATGATGATCCTATTTGATCTTTATCTAGGTTTTTGCCAACTGCTTGTTCATTTGAGCTATAATTTTGATCTGTTGGTCCAAAATACTGGCTATCAACCTCATTAAAATCATTCTCTAATAACTTTTGATCAGTAGAATGACCAAGGTTATCATCTTTTTGAGAACTCGAAAGAACTTTTAAACTTTCACGATCTAATCCAGAAATACTATGAGATTTCCCGTTGTTTATTGTGTCTGAACCAAAATACTGCTCATCAACATAATTGCTGGAACTAGAATTGGATGGAGCACTTTCCTTCTTATCTGAAGTTATATTTGTTTGAACCAGTTTATTTGAACTTTCTGAGCTTTTAATATGTGAGCCGAAATACTGTTCATCAAAAAAACTGGCAGAACTTACATCAGGTTCAATAGTTTTCTGTTTGTCTGGGATGATATTTGTTTTAACTGATTCATATTGTTCCTCAAAATGTTTGGCTTTATCAGAAGAAGTTGAGACCAATTCAGGAAAATATGTCGCATCAAAATAATTATGTGGCACTGAATCTTTAGAAGAGGATGAATTTCTACCAGAAGGTGATGATATTAAATGTGTTTTCCGTTCAGGAAAATATTTGTTTAAATTATTATTTTTAGAAGCATTTATTAAATTCTGATTATCTGAGATTTCGTTTTTCAGTGACTTGCTGTCTTGTCTTTTATGAATTTCTTTTGCTTTTGCAGCAAGATTTATATCTTTTCTGCCGGTAACAGCTGTTGCATTTGAATCAAAACTTACTACCCCAAAACGTGTCTTAAATTCAGTACTTTTTTGTATTTGTCTCCTTTCTCTTCTAGACAATGCTAAATTTAAAAAATTACTATCTCCTTTATCTTTGTCCACTAGTTCATTTAACACATAATCCTTTTTAGACTGTTCAAATGTGTCAGGGTCAGATGTTTTGGTTTCTGCATTTTTACTTTTTGTTTCAAGCCTTGCATGTTGCAATTTAAAGTTTTGTGGTATACCGAAGAAATCCTCTTCAGTCTCAGAATTTTTAACATCAAAGTTATTTTGCCTTATAACTTCTTTATTATCAGTTCCTGGAACAAGTTCTTCGATTCTCTTGGTAGTTCTAGAACCAGTGGTGTTGTCCTTGTCAGCAGAATTGGAACTGGTGTTGATGCCTCTTCTTACACAGCTTCTAGATCTAGATCTAAGATCGCAGCAAACATTGGTTTTACCGGGTTCTAAGTTCTTACACTTCCCTTCATGAAAGCAAAGTATTTGTGTTGATAATTGTTTGGATCGACATGGTCCAAAACAATACCTAAGGGCTTCGAGCTTTAGAACAGCCCTGCTGACATTCATTTTCATGTGCTCGACTGTGTTTCTCTTGAGTAACAGTGTTATTTTGTACTGCTAATTTCGCATTTTATGCTACTTATTTAATAATAAAGTAGAAGAATTACAACAAATTTGTTCAAATGTTTTCATGTGTGTAAGCCCATAGATTTGTTTTAACATCAAATATTACACAATTATGTATAATCAAAAGAAAAGTAGCCTGTGATGTTTTGTTTAAAGAAAAAATATCAAACTAAAAATCGTCTTGTAAATTGTAATCGAACGTGAAATTTGTCTTTTTTTAAATACGTCACGCAGTTTTAAAAGCTGTTGGCCTACATAAATCATGGTACTCAGGCAAATTTATAACAGCTTTTCTTTATTAATGGAGGATTAGAATTATTAAATACAGTAGCACCACAAGGCGGAATCCTCCCCCCCCCCCCAGAAATTTAAATGCTTTCTCACGAAAGTTACTGCCCCCCCCCTCCGCGCCCCCCCCCCCTAGAGAAATGTCCGAAAGAAGCACTGCATCCATCAAGGAGTTGACACAAAACAATGTATAGCTAATTTTAAGATTGGGTGACATAAAAATTAAAATACCTAGTTTTAGTAGGTGTACATTTTAAAATATGCAGTGTTTCTTCCAGGCATCTCTTCAGGGGGGCTCTGCCCCCCCCCCCCTCCCGAAGAAAGTCTACCGCCCCCTCCCCCCCCCCGAAAATTTCAAGTCCCCCCCCCCCCCCCGGAGAAAAAAGTCTGGACGAAACACTGAATATGCATAAGTGAATAGATGGGATTACCAAATCTGGTTTCCTTTCGGCAGCTCCTGATTCCAAGTTGTAATGTATAAGTGACGTCCTGTCCCTTGGGTCCATCAGCTGTGTGACACATGGGCAACATCTGTCGTTTATCCACTTGATGCACCGACTTTTTGCTTGGATTTCCAATGCGCAATCATCCGATGGTCTACTAGACTATAGGCGAGCATAATCAGGTGAAGCAAACAGGTGAAGGATAATCGAATTTATCCGCTTAGGGGTCATCTAGTTATGACTTCCACAAAAATTGTAAATTTTAGAATTTCTCCCTCTGTCCACGCGCGTCCAATTTCGACGAACACCCCCCCCCCCCCCACCCCTAAAACTTACTTGCAAATTACTATTTCATTGATATGTATTCGTGTACCTTTCATTATACTATACGGATTTAAAAGTTTCGATAGTGTTTTTTTTTATTATCAGGTCTAAATATTAAAGTTTAATCAGAATGTTTTTTTAGAAAAAGAGGTAGAATGTCAAAGTAGTCTACCATGAATATATTAAACACTAATTTTTGTGGACGGGGGAAGCAGTGTTAAAAGCATTATATATCAATCACAACATTAATAAGTCGTAAGGTTCTTGATCGCTGGTTTGGTAAGGAGTTACTGGTAAAGGACTGGGGTTTAACGTCATTTTAGAGCGAGCGTTCTTGCTTTTGGTGACCTAGATGACGTTGGGGTGGGGGGGGGGGGGGGGGGAATCGTTACAAATCATGACGTCGCGACACTCTAAGCTGTCATTGTTTTTTTAACACGAACACTGCTGTCTTAATTTTACATTTGATAAGTTTTTATTTAAATGTAGGCTAAGTACTTCGATGTTTAATTGAACATGTGGCGTCCACATAGACCCGACCCTTTAACCACCTGCATCTGTTAACGGTTTGTCTAAGATTTTTGTTGTTTTATAAATGCTATTTTTAAATGATTCATTAACTCATTTACTGTTATCTTGTAGGGGAGGTAATATAATTTTCCGTTATCGTTCTTGTTTGACGAGTTGTCTTGTTTTGATGGCTTCTGGTTTTATTACTTGAAATTATGTGCGGGGATGTTGTGACTGCGAGATATCCTCATGACATGGTACATTGATCTAATAACGCAGTTGTCCTTCTTTTAGGCTTGACGCAGAAGACTTACTGAACCTTATTCTTAATCCAGTTCTTAAACCGTTACTTTAAAAAAACGTTGTCCATTCTGGTGCTTATCCAGGGGATGGGTGGGGAAAAAAGATACATTTTAATTTAGAAAAACCAGTATGTTCATAAACTAGTTGTAAGCTTGCCAAGTAGCCTGCTACATCCTGTTCGTACCCTATGTTGTATTATCATTTTTTTTTTCAACGAACATATGGGCTAATGTAAGAAAAATCGTAGACAATATACGCCTTTGTATTTTTTTTCACAGATTTATTATGGTACATTCTTTTAGTAAAAATATAAATAAATGTGTGTTGCTTTCTGGCTGGTTGATGTTTTTATCCGACTTTTGAATATTCTGTTTTGGTGGTCATTGTTTATTTTATTTTTTGCCTGCTGTGAGATTTTGAAATGTGTGTTGCTTGGAATCGTAGTTGAATTTAATTCTTTTAAATGGCTGGAGCGTAATTTACGGGCTAAAAACATATACAAAAGTTTTCTGGAATCATAGAGCTTGAATACAGATCTAGTCAAAGTAATAGATTGCATTTAGATTCCAACTGAGCGTTGCTACCAACAAAACTAAAGACAAATGCATGACATTACAAATACTATACATGTGAATGATGTAATGTATATTTAATCTGTATCTATGGTGATTATGGATGGTCCACACATTGCGTGTAACACGGTTCTAGACGCTGGACTCACTGTCAGCATCCGAGTGATGTGCACTAGTTGCTGCCTCGCGGCTCGTCTCTGGCAACGTCTTCTTCTCATCTGTTAGAGGAGAAATAGAGGGGGGGGGGTTGAAGGAGGTTGTAGTGTTGTTGGCGTAGTCGTATCATGAGTTAGGCTTTAGTGCAGTGGTTCTTAACCTTATTCGAGGTACCGAACCCTACCAATTTCATATGTGCATTCATCGAACCCTTCTTAATAGTTTATCGTCCGCAATGACAAATCTAATCTTAAATTATATGAGTAGGGTGTGAGTCTTGACCTCCGCCGAACCCCTGAGACTTGCTCACTGAACAAGTTAAGAACCACTGATTGGTGTAACTATCAAACAACACTAAATAGCCGATTAAAACTAAAATGTGTGAGAATCTATTGTATATTATCTCCTCACCCATTACTAGAACCCATAACCCTTTTCTTCTCCAGTGAGGCACTTGAAATTTTCGGGGGGGGGGGGGGGGGGGGGTGGAGGGGAGGGACTGGTAAAAGTATATATTTTCTATATAAATTCTAAATCATTAAGGGGTGGGGGAGTCTATCCCCCCCCCCCCCGATGAGATGCCTGAGAGAAACTGCATATAAATACAAATGACTCTCTTCCCTCCCCCATAAAGAACACAATGTAACAGAACCCAAGCACCATCGAACACCTACCTAACATCTTCTGTCGTTCTTCCTCCCTCTCGTGTAAGTACTTCATGTGCTTTGTCTCTCGCATCTGTTGAAGTTTTTCTCTCCTCATTAAAATACCATCTCTTTGCGACGTCCGATACTACAAGTCAAAGAGAACATTTTTTAACGCATTGAAAAAGTTGACAAATCGAAGTCTCAAACAACATCAATACGCCCATCTTACTTGCAAGCGTACTGTTTACCTAAGATGTACGAGAAGGCTTAACAAATAAATAAATTATCAATTTCAAATTTATAACTTAATTTTGGAAGATTTAGATCTATAACTTTCATGACATCTTATAATATACTCACACTCGACGCAACTGTGTACCACCAGAAATGGTTTATCAAACATAAACTACAAATCGGTCGTAAAAATACATGCAACCTTAAATAGTGCATTGTTTTAAAATTGTAGCGAAATTAAAATATAGCTCGTATAGCTGAATTTTGTTAAGTATTAGACTATTTTTTTTACCTGAAGATGAGAAGGGGATAAATTCAACCTGGGTATTTTCAATGGAGGTGCCAGCTTTTGAGATAGTGCCAGACCCGCGCATCTTTTTCTGCTGACTAATGGGCTGTTTAAATCTTCGCTGGACATGGAATTGGTCTGGCTATCGCTACTGAAACTGTACGTGTTGGATTTGTCTGGGAATGTCGAGCTACAGCCTGCAGCGGCCAGCTCGGCGAACGATGGGCAGTTTGCCTGGTGGAAGAAACCGATCGGGGAGAGATTGGACACAGTGGCGTTGTTGTTGTTCTCGACGCCGTCCACATGCCCGCTGCTGCGTTGTACCTCTAGAGCGCTGGGTCTTCTCGCAACGCCATCTAACATTTGCGTGGAGGTGCCAGCCGTATCGAGGGAGGTATCCGCCTCCGGCACACGATCGTGGACTTGACGGCTCGGTGATAGACCAGGGTTTCCCGATACGGACCCGTGACTTATAGAATTAAGACTCTGGCCGTTGACAGTCCAGGACATGGGTGTAGCGGAAGAATCCATCCGTTGACAGGTCCAGGTTGTGCTTAGACCTGGTGTGTGTACCTTAAAGTAGGCCTGCTGAAACGATGCCGGATGTTCGCTCGCTTCCCTGCCGCTTGAAGACGCGCCGGCAGTAGGAGAACCTCTGTAACAGCGAAATGCACCTCCACTCGTCGTCTGATCATTTGAAGCCATCGAGTCGAGGTAGGCCCTGCTTGTTTCACCCATCTGGGTGTAGTTGTTGAATGATTCATTGGCCTGACCAAACAACAACCCGCTGGAATGCGCTATTGCTCCATCGGGCGCTAATACATTGTTTTCCTCGTTACCACAAGGTCTACCATCTTGAAACGTAACTCTCTTTTTTAAAAACGCGAAAGCAGTCTCTAAAGCGTTTTGATTTTCGGTCAAATTTTGATGTGCAGACACGGGAGATTGTGTACCCACTGCGCTGTTGTAATCATCATCGATATCTTGTACGGGACTAGAAGGGGCAGTTACGTACACAGACGGTGAGCGTATTGGCATAAAGCTTCCTGGAGAATGTTGTGTGCTTGGAGATATACGATCAACCTCACCAGCAGTTCGAGTCACAACAGCATCATCAGTAGTGTTGTTGACACCACCATTGCCAGAACTATCAGCTCCAGTACTTGGCGTCAGGTCAAACCAAGTGGTTGGGCTCACAGCTACAGGCGTTGTCGGTTTGCTTTTTCTTGCTGGCTGTTTCGAAACCGAGGATTTAACTCTGAGAGTCCTTGGTATAAACGACGCTCCCCAGTTCTGTATACCGAGTGCTTTAGGCTTGGTTGTCTGGTCAGTCGCATTCATCGTGCCCCCAACATTGTTGGCTGTAGCTTTAGGCGGCTCGCTGAGCGCGCCCCCAACATTGTTGGCTGTAGCTTTAGGCGGCTCGCTGAGCGCGCCCCCAACATTGTTGGCTGTAGCTTTAGGCGGCTCGCTGAGCACGGCCCCAACATTGTTGGCTGTAGCTTTAGGCGGCTCGCTGAGCGCGCCCCCAACATTGTTGGCTGTAGCTTTAGGCGGCTCGCTGAGCGCGCCCCCAACATTGTTGGCTGTAGCTTTAGGCGGCTCGCTGAGCGCGCCCCCAACATTGTTGGCTGTAGCTTTAGGCGGCTCGCTGAGCGCGCCCCCAACATTGTTGGCTGTAGCTTTAGGCGGCTCGCTGAGCGCGCCCCCAACATTGTTGGCTGTAGCTTTAGGCGGCTCGATGATGCTGGGTTGGGGTTTAGCCGGCTCAGCCTGGGGCTCCAATACTCTCGGGAGAGGCTGTGCCTCACACTGATCTGAGCCTGGTGTAGCAACCTCTACAACACGCTGTGTACTCACGTTTTGGCTCGGGTTAACATTTAACGTGGCTGATGGTTCAGGACTTGGAAGTTGTGAAGTCTGTCTGGTCGATGTGCTAGGCACGAAATCCTCCATCATTGAGTCTTCGCCCACCAAGTTCTCGGCAACAGACGCAACAGGCGTCACGTTGGCGGTGTTCTCCAAGATCGCGTTGTCTTTACTTGCTGGCTGTCGCAAAACCAAGGTTTTAAGCCTGCTAGTCCTTGGTATAAACGCCGCTCCCCGGTCCTGTAAGCCGAGTTCTTTAGACTTGGTTGTCTGGTCAGTCTCACTCAGCGCGCCCCCAACATTGTTGGCTGAAACATTAGGCAGCTCGCTGATGCTGGGTTGGGGTTTAGCCGGCTCAGCCTGGGGCTCCAATACTCTCAGGGCAGACTGTGCCTCACACTGATCTGAGCCTGGGGTAGCAACCTCTACAACACGCTGTGTGCTCACGTTTTGGCTAGGGTTAACATTTACCGTGGCTGATGGTTCAGGACTTCTCATAAGATAAGAAGTCGGTTTTTTAGATGAACTAGGTCCGAAACCTTCCCACATTGAGGCTTTAGCCACCACGTTAGGTTTCTTCAGCTGGGGTCTGGAACTTCCAGGGACGGGTGCAAGTCCACCTCCGGCACCGTCTCTTGTCTGGTTAGCCGAAACAGGCGTTGGCTGCACGATGTTTGTACTGTCACTTGTGCTGTCCATAAGCTGTTCAACAGCGACAGGGGTATCGGAGTCCGGTCTATCTGTCAATGAAACAGTTTTATCTGCTGTCGAGCTGTTGGTGAGCTCTTGTTCAGGAACACGAGCTGTTGGGTTGGAACCAATCCTCGAATGCTCAGACATGACGACGGCATTGGCGGTCGACCTATTCGCCAACAACTCAGGCGGGTCGTTGATGATATGACTATTAGATCTATTTCTTAGCTGTTCAGCTGAGGCAGTGATGTCGTTGATGATATGACTATTAGATCTATTTCTTAGCTGTTCAGCTGAGGCAGTGATGTTGAACTGTTGGTTGGAGACATTGATATTAGCGCTACTTTTCCTACAGCCCGTTGACCGTTGAATAACAACATTATCCTCGTGGTTTGAGGCTACAGCGGTGCTATCGCCCACTGTGGAATGTGTTTTACTAGCCCGGTCGTCTGTCGCCCCTGAGCTTCCCTGTACCGTGGTACACCCAACAGTTTCTGGTCTGAGCACTTGACCACTCTCCATCGCTAAGTGACCGCTGGACTCCACGTCACCACGGCTGGTACAGTCGACTCTGCTCACATCTTCTTCACACGAGAAGTACTCACTGCTGGCGGAACTGCTGACGTAAATATACGGGGGGAGGTTACGCAGGTCGGTGCTAGATTCTGACGAACGGATCGGGTCGGGATTCCCGCCGGAGAATTTGGTTTTGATGATCATACTGTGGTGGCCGCCAACGGCCGGGAACAAACACGGCAGACATTCCGGTATGTCAAGTGTGGCGTTCGTGGTTTTGTCCTGATGACGTAAGAGTTTTTTTCGTATTAAACAGAGCGAGTCCACGGGTCTTGGGTGAGTCGATCTCTGCGGGGACGTCCTCGCCACACGCGTATCAGCCTCGTCTTCATCTCTGTCAGGGATGGGCGGAGCTGTGTACTGCCGACATGGTACATGTGATTGGTTGAGGTACTCATTACGTGCCATCAATGGGTTGTGTTTACCTACACAGTTATACAGGACAGTGCCTTGCAAGGACTCAGCAGCGTTAGATTTAGTATTGTTGCCTCTAGTCTGTCTGTCTCCACAACATCGATGCTGCCTAGCCGGCGACAACCACTTCCTGTTGTGCATCTTTCGACTTCTGATTTGAGCTCTGAGGATAATCTTTTCCAATTTTAGAATTTTATTTCTGGGAAGTTCCGAGACGACCCCCTTGAAAGCGCCGACGACTTTATCAACATCAGGGGCCGTCAAACTGTGACAGAGGCAGCATGCGGTACGCTTGAGTTGCTCGTGTTGAGCCAGAAGGTTTTCGTACATCGCCTTGTGGCCAAGTGGTGTAACTACATACTTTGTGACCCTGCGTTTGGGCGCATTGGTCTTCCGTTTAGCCTTGCCCCGCTGAGATTTACCCTTGGCTGATGGACGGGTGGAACGTGTTTTCCCATATTTATTGTTACACGTTTTATTCTTGGCCGCTGCACGCGACTGTTTTCTTAAAGCGTTCCGGTTGTTCGTCCTGTAGAGAGCGGCGCTTTTATTTGACCCACGAGCCAGTTCAGGAGAGCCGACCAGCCTGGGTTTAGTTTTATCAGCCATGGACCTTGTCAACCTCGGGCTGTTGGTCTGGGTTGCTTTGCTTGCAGCCCTGACGAGAGCTCTCAGTTTGGCTTTTTCCTTTCTCCTTTTTTCCCTTAGAAGAATGAGCGAGTCCACTGTTCGTAGGTGAACTCCTCCTCTTCGTGGATACTTCACCTTTTTACGTGGCTTAGGAACTTTTTTACGCGGAGAACTCGTTTTTTTACGAGGATAAGTTGTTCTTTTACGTGTATAAGTTGCCCTTTTACGTGGACGAGTAATTTTTAGCGGGCTAGGATTGAACAAATTATCCTCAGAACTCTCTTTATTTTTTGTGTCGACGGTTGTATCTCCTTTCTGCCGACACGATTTGTTCGACTGATTCGATTCGTCATCAGACTCCTCGTCGTGTGACATGTTATGGGCGCTTTTATCCACACTGTTATGTACAGAACTTTGCAATGATTCAGAGACTTGCACTGATGCGTTAGACTTGGTGTTGTTGCTTCTATTCTGCCTGTCTACACAAACTCGATACCGCCTTGAGGGCGATAGACGCGCCCTGTTGTTCATCTTTCGAGATCTGACTTGAGCTCTAAGTATTATCTTTTCTAACTTTTGAATCTTGTTTCTGGGAAACCCAGAGATGACTCTCCTAAAAGCGTCGACGACTTTATCAATCTCGCCGTCATTCAGACTGTGAGAGTGTTGGCACCGGGAGCGTTTGAGTTGCTCGTGTTGAGCCAGCAGGTTCTCGTACATCGCCTTGTGACCAAGTGGTGTAACTACATACTTTGTGACCTTGCGTTTGGGCGCATTGGTCTTTCGTTTAGCCTTGCCCCGCTGGGACTTACCCTTGGCTGATGAACCGGTGGAACGGGTTTTCCCATATTTATTATTGTACGTTTTATTCCTAGCCGCTGCGCGCGACTGTTTTCCTTGCGCGCTCCTTTTTCTTCGATACACGGCGGTGATTTTCGTTGATCGTTTAGCCAGTTTAGGCGATCTGAACACCCTGGGTTTAGTTTGACGAGCCCTGGACCTTGCTTTAACCCTGGAGGTTTTGGGCCTTTTTCTCTTGACTGCCGTCTTGGTGGTATTCCGGCGTGGTCGTCGAGCTAGCCGGGTGCCGACTTTGTGTTTCGTCACGCGCCTCGCTGGCGTCGAATGGCGACGTCTGCGACTTGAAGACAGGCACAGGTTGCAGCAGGTGTCCCCAGACGCTTGCCTCCTGCGGCAGCTGCGGCTGTGTTTCAGGTAGTGGGAGTTGCCGCTGCTGCGTTTGGTGTAGCTGATCCTCGGGGTGTTCCCGTCCCCTTGACGTTGTACAACACTTGCGTACGTGGCGGGCGTTTTGCGAGGTTTGGCGCGGCGTTTGGTGGTTGGCTCCAGGCCGCTGGGGCTGCAGCTCGTCTCCACATCGCACGTGTCCACACGCTGGCCCTCCTGTCGCTGGTCGGGTGCACGGGTGAGGGCGCCCTGAACTGCCCCGCAGGGGAGGCATACAAGTGAACCTTGATCTGACTGGACCTCATTGAACTTTATGGTTGGGAACGCACTGCAACTGGCCCCAGACATGTCAGGTGAATTCACGCATTCCTTTTTCTTCCTTGGTTTGGCTTTTCTGTACTTTGAAACATCTAAAGGATGACCAAACACCTGGTCATTGCCTTTACTTTGTGTGGTGTTCAGCTGAATAACACCGGCTGGCTCTGACGAGCCGTTGTTTTTGATCAAGTTGCATGTCTTGCTAAAGCGCCTTTCAACGATATTTTGCAGATCCTCTAAACGCTCATTTATCGAGTTCCTCATCGATTCAAATCTCTCGTTCACGTGGTACTGTGAACGCTGCCATAAGGAGTCCAAATACTTGTACATCTCGTCCAGGTTGTTGCCATGGGAAACCAAGCCAGGTTGGGTTTCCATGGTGACGTTAGGCTGCTCGTAATCCATCATGTCGTCAGTGTCGCCAAGCTGATTCTGCAGACGTGGGTCAGCAGTGGTGGTGACCCCGTCGGCCAAGCATAGCGGCGGGAGGGGGTCGGATGCCGTCGTGTTCCAGTAGTTTTCAGTCGTCGGGCAGAGCGGGACAGAGAAGGGTGTGTATTGCGAGAGTGTTTGTCGAAAAGTCTTGCTAGCATCCTCCCCGTCTTTAGCCGGGCAGTTCTGATCAAACTGTGAACTCGTGAAGTTTTCCTCACAGTCCACCGGCAAATTATTGTCCTCTTCCGGTTGTGAGCTGTCAAAATGGACGCCTGACCACTGACCTCTGCGGCTCCTGCTTGTCTCGCGATTCCTACTGCCACAGTGTGTATTCATTAGCTGCAGTGACCTGCCCGCATCCTGAGACCTCAGCAGGATCCCTCTGTTCATCAGATGGCTTGAATTTTCATTCTGTTTGGAGCTGTCGTTTTCTAACGCCGCGCCGGTGGGCAAAACCAGCTCTGACGAACACGTCTCCAGGAGGGAACTTATTTCTCGTAAAAGTTCTTCGTCGTAAGAAATTTTAGTTCGTCGACAGCACGAGTCGTCGCTCTTGCTGCGTGGGATGGCGTTGGAATTTACGTTAGCTCGGCTGTTGCACGGGGACGAATCCCTTGACGTGTTGTCCAGAAAACGATCGAATCTGAAATTAAACGAGCGCTTACGTTTACCGTCCGTGACCTGATCATCGTCACACACGTCTGCGGAGTTGTTTTCGTTTTCTTTTGAATGATAATACTCCGCTGAAAACGTATTTAGTGTAGGAACAGTTGCTTCTTGTGGGTTGTCTAGCGCTGGTTGCGGACAGTGCGGAGAATTTCGGCTTGTTTTCGGTTTTGGAATCAAGGTCGGTCTTTGAGTGCTGGCGTCAGTACAAAGTTTCTTGGCGCTGCCCTTTTTTATATTAGTCACCTTGTTTTCGGTATTATTTATGTCCTTCATTTTATTGTCAGTATTGTCCGATTTGCGATCTGTGGCGAACCGTTTAGAGAAAGAGTTTAGTTTTGTTGGAGCTAACAATATGTTTCCATCTTTCCCCGGAAGTGTGTCACCTTGCGCATAAAAACAAGCATGCGCGTGAGTGGAACTCTTCACTGGAGAAAGGCGAGTTGGGCGTCTTTTGTTGTGTTTCCCGAGAAGAACCGGCGTTGAGCGCAATTCCGCCGAGCATAAAAATAGCTCAGTGGGAGAGTGAGGCGATTCGTAGTTGATATCGCTGCTGATCTCATGGGGACGTAGGTTTCTGGAGGAATGGTTGGCGCCGGAGACCACAGCTGGGATATGCGTGTCGTAACCCACGGCGGATTTTCGGTGATTTAACGTGTTCGTCGACTTCTGCGCCAGTACGGGTAAGTGGAACTGCTCCTCGGAGGACCTTTTCACACATTTTTTACCCTCTTCCTCCGGCAGGTTTAGATTCTGGGATATTTCGTGAATGGCCTGCGCGCTGGCGTCTTTCTTCTCCGTGGCGCACTGCATCTCCGGTAGAGAGTTGTTGTTACAGTTCCCCCCTTCCTGCTTCTCGACGTACGAGTAAGAACATTCCCCGCGACTGTCGTGGGGGTTAGGGTGATACACCTCGCTTTTATTATTATTCGCACTGGTCTTAGCCTCCGAAAGAAAAAAAGGCGTGGTGTCTTTCATGATAGGAGACGAGGAATTACTTTGATCCGAATCGTAAGTTCCAATAACAGGATCAACAAGACAGTGCTTTCTTTTGGTCACGCTTGCGAGCAACTCTGTATCTGAGGAAAACTTCTTGTCTATATTTAGTATACTATTCCCTTCCTCCTCTTTGGATGGGCTGGCTACAACCCCATCCCCCCAGTCTGGGGACTTAAGTTCTTTCGGCAACTCCTTGTCGGCCGAGTCGCCTTTGATGGAAGAACCCCCAGGAACGTTCAGCAATATTTTCAAAGGCGGGTTCATCAATTTTAGATTCCGCCCGCGTTTTACTTGGGACGCTAAGTTTGGGCAGCTGCCGGTGCTGCCGGTAAATTTAATCGTGCTGTCATCCATAATGGCCGCGGGATTCCGGTAATTAGACAAACCTTTCATGTGGGTTGTGCAACGTGTCCGGCACACGGAATCTCTAAAAGGCGCTGATTTGAGATATTTGGACGGGGATTTTTGCTTGACGATGCCGTACACCTGATACGGCAGGTTCATGCCGGGGTGCTTGGTCTGCTGGGAAGCATCTTCCACGTGAACACAGTCTATCCTGGTGACCGGAAGTGTGCTGTTTGCGTCCAGTTCACCAAAGTTTTTCTGCGCCAGCTGTGTCTCTCTAAAGATGGTAGCGGAGATGGAGTTGAACAGCCGGTACTCTTTAGTCGTTTTCCCCCCTAGCCGTGGTAATGTAGACACCACGCCCTTGGTGTTATTCTCGTTCGAAGATTTGTTGTAGTTCGCCTGCAGCTCGTCGTCATTGTTCTTGCTGAGGTTTTTCTCGTTGCTTTGATATCTGGAGTAATACTTTTTCAAAAACTCGGTCTCCTTGGTTTTGAGTTTCAGATTCCCATGCCGGCTGTTTGTTTTCTGGGGCTTGCCCTCCGTCGACTTGACGGGGTGGAGCGTCGGCCCTTCAACGCTTGTGGCATCTCCTTGGTCGGGTTTCTGCTTTGTTTCGGACCCATCGTTGCTGGCAGGTTTGGTAACACACGGCTCCTGGTAGATCTTGTGACAGATGTCGCTCAAGTACTCCATGTACGTGTCCAGCGGCGCGGATTTCAAAATCTCTTCCTTTATTTCTGTCGCCTCTTCCGGTTTCGTTTTCTCGGCGCAGGTCCGTTTTTCCGCGCTCGTTGAGCACTTCGCGTCGTCCACCTCAATCGCGGGGGCAGCAGAGTTGACGAAGGTGCTTGTGGGAGACGTCTTGGCCCGTCGGCTCGTCGACCTCCTCTTCTGCGGTTTCTTCAGCCTGGCGGCCTGGTCCGAAGCTCTCTCGTCTAGCAGCGCCTTCATCGCGTTCATATCCCGGCTGATTTTCTTCACCATGGCGATATCCCGCTGGGCCGACTCAACAATGTGCATGTGGTTTATCACGCAGTCTCTTGCATCCAGTGATCCGCACCGCCGTGGACGTTGAGATTCAAACGTCTTCGCGGATTTTACTAAACGCACCGGCCAGCGGTAGTCTTTGTTTATCTCCGACACATACAGCGTCGAAGCGGCGTTGTTGCCTCGCTTAGGTTTGTTCCGCCGAACTTTTTTCGGATCACCTTCAACAAAAACAACATACCCATACCCGTGTTTGTTTGCGAATTCGATGGCGAAATCGTAGATGGGGTCGTAGTCTTGGACGGCGGCCTTCAGCTGTGCGGTATCCCCAGCGTCATTGACGCAGCCCGTCCCGTCCCCGATGTTCTGAGTTTCAGAGACCTGCTCGGACTCCATGTCGTACGTCACAACCAGCTTCTCCAAGCTTGCAAAGACGTCCTCCGTGTAATAGCTTGTTTGCTGGTGGGGCTTCGTGTGTTGGGACAAAATCTCTTCCTTCACCGTACAACAGCACTCAGTTGTATTTACATCCAGCTCTACTTTTTCAGGCAGAGCTCTGAACACCTGATGATCCCAACAGGTGTCTAAAGAATCTCCAATATCTTCACGATTCCAACAGGTATCTACAGAATCTCCAATATCTTCACGATTCCAACAGGTATCTACAGAATCTCCAATATCTTCACGATTCCAACAGGTGTCAACAGAATCTCCAATATCTTCACGATTCCAACAGGTATCTACAGAATCTCCAATATCTTCACGATTCCAACAGGTATCTACAGAATCTCCAATATCTTCACGATTCCAACAGGTATCTACAGAATCTCCAATATCTTCACGATTCCAACAAGTATCTACAGAATCTCCAATATCTTCACGATTCCAACAGTGTCCTACTACAGATGGCAACTTTCCGTAAGACAAACTTTTTCTTATATTTTTAAAACTTGCAGACTTGTGTCCCTTTGAGCGGACGCCTGCGTGGCAGGAGGCTGACCGAAACAAATCCGAATCTAGCTGACCGCTGGCTAACCTGCTCAGCGAGTTTCTACTACGTCTAGATCTGGCCCGCCTGATATTCGGCCTCAACGTTTTCCTGGTCAACTTGACGACCGCCGCGATAAAGGGCGGTAACTGGTCTTGATCACAATCAGAGTTGAGGCTTGGGATGATGATGAAATCAAAGCTCTGCGACTCGGTATGCTTTTGGCTACACGGATTCTCTTCCGGTTCCCTCTCAGATAAACAAGTGGCTGGAAATAAAATGGACTGCTATTGACTGAATAAAGTGCATAGGTTTTAAACATAGCAAGTATATAAATAAACACGGACTGCTATGGATTTTAAAAAGTGCATAGCATGTACACATTTCAACAAATTTATTATTTTTAAAAAATATGAAACCCGTATTTAAGGTTTATTTTATTTAAAAAAAAACAATTACATAATATTTTCAGGAATTAAAATTGTTTGGCAAGTCAGCAAGTCTCTGTATGGCTGGAAAATTTTCCAACAGCTGGCAAATTGTTTGGCAAGTCTCTGTATGGCTGAAAGATTTTCCGACAGCTGGCAAATTGTTTGGCAAGTCTGTATGGTTGGAAGATTTACCGACAGCTAGCAAATTGCAGCGAACAAATCAAAAGACCCGCTGAGGTCGTTTGGCTAAACTCAAAGAAAACCTGCGTCTAGCAGTACTGGACAGAAATCAGAATCCTAGTCAAGTGAAAACTGGCTGGTCTAAGAAGACATATAAACGAGATATGTGATTGGTCTATGAAGACATAAACCAGATATGTGATTAGCTTATGAAGACATATAAACCAGATATGTGATTAGTTTATAAAGACATATAAACAAGATATGTGATTGGTTTATAAAAACATATAAACCAGATATGTGATTAGTTTATAAAGACATATAAACAAGATATGTGATTGGTTTATAAAGACATATAAACCAGATATGTGATTAGTTTATAAAGACATATAAACAAGATATGTGATTGGTCTATGAAGACATATAAACAAGATATGTGATTAGCTTATGAAGACATATAAACCAGATATGTGATTGGTCTATGAAGACATATAAACAAGATATGTGATTGGTCTATGAAGACATATAAACAAGATATTTGATTCGTCTATGAAGACATATAAACAAGATATGTGATTAGCTTATGAAGACATATAAACCAGATATGTGATTGGTCTATGAAGACATATAAACAAGATATGTGATTGGTCTATGAAGACATATAAACAAGATATGTGATTAGCTTATGAAGACATATAAACCAGATATGTGATTGGTTTATAAAGACATATAAACAAGATATGTGATTGGTCTATGAAGACATATAAACAAGATATGTGATTAGCTTATGAAGACATATAAACCAGATATGTGATTGGTCTATGAAGAAATATAAACGAGATATGTGATTGGTCTATGAAGACATATAAACCAGATATGTGATTGGTCTATGAAGAAATATAAACGAGATATGTGATTGGTCTATGAAGACATATAAACCAGATATGTGATTGGTCTATGAAGAAATATAAACGAGATATGTGATTGGTCTATGAAGACATATAAACAAGATATGTGATTAGTAAGATATTTGATTCGTCTATGAAGACATATAAACAAGATATGTGATTGATCCATGAAGACATATAAACGAGATATAGATTACAGCTGGAGTGATGTGGAAAGACTAGCCCAGAATATCCACTCAACCAACGCGTTAGTTTACCAAGAAACTTGTGTACATAAGAACATTACCAGGATGTTTGAGAGTAATAAAGACAAACAAACCAGAACATTTCTACAAGACAGTACACTTTTACGCTACGGGATGAGGTGGCCTAGCGGTAGAGCGCTGAACTGTAAAAAGTCTCGAATTCGAATACGGCTTCAAGTAGAACGTCCCAGAGTCCAACCAACTCTGATGGATACCTAACTCATGTTAAGGAAAGTGAAGGCGGCTGGGCGTAATGTTGACCACATAATGTCCCTTCACATGCTGAAGTCAAGAAACTCTACTTCATCTGCCCAATGGATCGCTTGGTAAAAATAATCTTTACTACTTTTACAGTATCACGCTTACACAATGTCTTAAAATAATACCAAACTAGCTCTCAGTGTTACACTGTGCTGGCGGTCAGGGCAGCTCAACATACGAACAGATCCCGGGGAATATTCTAGAACAGTTACAGTACTAAGGCTACAGCCAAAGATGTTTTTACCTTTCGAGGTGGGCGAATCTACACACACATCGCGCATGGCCGCATTAAACCATTCTTACACAAGTCATAGCTGTGTGCCGTTGTCGGGTCCATAGGTGGTGGCTATCTGCGCAAAGTAAGTACATATATATATATATATATATATATATATATATATATATATATATATATATATATATATATATATATATATATATATATATATATATATATATATATATATATAGGCTATATATATGTGTGTGTGTGTGTGTAACTAAGTAAATAAAAAGATATATGTGTGTGTGTTTGTGCGTGTGTGTGTGTATTCAACTTTTATCCGCTCTTGTCGCGGTATTTAAACAGTAGGTGCTGGCAATCCGGTTAAGCAAATGGGGAATAATGTACTAACTACCCACTCCCTCCTCCATCCCTGTTTCTCCGTGTTTTCAATAGCGATGGCTATCTACTCGTGCAAACAAAAATATTTTACAAAACTTTACCACAATTCCCAAGAGCAAGACTATAATTAAATGTATTATTGATATTACTCTACACCAGGGGTTCTAAACTTTTTGGAGGTACCTGGGGTTCGATCGAACCCAGGTTAAGAGCCACTGCCCTAAACCATAAAGAATCGCTTGGATATTATATGTGCACTTATTTGAGGCTCATTTGCACTGGTTGATGGATAGGATTTCAAAACACTCTTGCATTATTTCCACAACTGATCTTGACCCCCCCCCCCCTTTTCTGCCCCCCCCCCCCCCACACACACACACACTCCCCTTTTGAATACGGGCTAAAAATCGAAAATAATATCAAGATTTTTTTAATTAAAATAAAATCCGAAATAGAATATTACAACTAGATCTATAACTTAGTAGGTCTAGTCTTGTCAATATAAAATATAAATAGATCTAGATCTAGATCTAGATTATATCTTGACTGGAGTACAATGGGTAATAATATTAACCCAAAAATTACGATCATCTACAATAATGTGTTGATACCATATTAGATTAACGTGAAAAAAAAAAGAATACCTTGATAGTGATGTTGTTCAATATTTCTAGCCATTGCAGAAGGGCATCAAGATAGACCCCCAACAAAGAAAACATAAACATGCGTAGCTACACACATACACAGTAGGGAACAGAGAGTACAAAACACAGGTTAATGACGTCATTCCATCTCCTTGTAGTCTCGCCGCCATTGCGCCATTTGGATTTCAATGGTTTTTACGTTGCATAAAGGCTGGCTAATTTTCCGTCGGCGTTTTATTTTGAAATGTTTAAAATAATTGCATACACAAATACAAATAAGTAAGTGGGCCTCAGAGGTAGGTGTCTGTAGATCTACGCAGTTGGTGGATGGGGTCCTTGTTGAGATGTTCTTTTGTAAAAAATAGCTTTTATTTTATTGAGATACCTTAATCACGGATCTTGATCTAGATCTAGATATGGATAGATACTCAGAGATAGATACCCTAATAATATGCTATATCTAGTGTTTCTTAATAAGCTAAGGCTTGCGCTTCCTAGGTTACATTTTAGACACGAAAAGTATTGAGAGAGATAAACATTGATAAGCAGGCTATAGTAAAATTATTAGTGTTATTGATGTCATGACTATTTAAGTTGCAAGACCTATTTGAGTCTACGAGTAACAACACCGATTGTCAGTAGATTAAAATTAGAACTTGGTTTCTAGGCTCTAACTAAAAGTGTAAAGGTTATACGCAGGGTGGTGTGTTGGGGGAGGACTATGACCCACACAACACACGCATATAGGCCCTATTAATACTAGTATATAAATATACAATATATATATATATATATACGCCTATATATATATATATATATATATATATATATATATATATATATATATATATATATATATATATATATATATACATATATATATATATATATATATACTTCCCCCATAACATAATCGTCCTGCTCACGCTAATGTTTTTCTAAAAAGAAATCCCCTCCTTTCCCATCCCAGCATTTAGGCACCACGGTCGTCCTTAGTGATGATCCACCTGTCTTAAATCTGAAGCTAAACAAACATGAGACTCGAGAAGAGCAAAACGAAAGTAAAGACGAAGGGAAGCGAGTCCCAATCCACTGTCACAACTCTAGGTAAGGCAGTCAGCACTTTTCTACAAGTCCACAGTAGAGTATCTAATGATATGCTACCGGTATCGCTGTTAGGGTCAGGGTTTTGCCTAGTGCAAGAACCACGCCGTAGTTAGAAGTGAGTGTCGATCCAGTGTCGCAAGGTAAAGCAGTCAGCACTTTTCTACAAGTCCACAGTAGAGTATCTAATGATATGCTACCGGTATCGCTGTTAGGGTCAGGGTTTTGCCTAGTGCAAGAACCACGCCGTAGTTAGAAGCGAGTGTCGATCCAGTGTCGCAAGGTAAAGCAGTCAGCACTTTTCTACAAGTCCACAGTAGAGTATCTAATGATGTGCTACCGGTATCGCTGTTAGGGTCGGGGAAATGTTCAGAACACGAACCATACCATAGAAGCGAGCAGTGGCGTAGCCAGGATCGTCTCAAGGGGGGGGGGGTCCAATTTTTACCCGGGGACAAACTTTCGATTTGCACCCCCCTCCCCTCAAACTTTCGATGTGCACCCCCCCCCCTCATCAAACTTTCGATTTGCACCCCCCCCCCCCCCCCTCATACTTTATATATATATACCGAGGGGTCTAACCCCCCCCCCCTGTCTACGCCACTGGAAGCGAGTGCCGATCCAGTGTCGCAAGGTAAAGCAGTCAGCAATTTTCCGGGCTCGTCTAACAGGCCGACAGTAGAGTAGAGTGAGTAGAGTATCCAATGATGTGCTACCGGTATCGCTGCTAGAGGGACGACGTGGCCTGGAGGTAGAGAGCTAGACCGCTAACTCGAGTTTGAATCCGGGTTCAAGTCAGTCCCCCCAGCCCTGATGGGTACTTAAATCACGTTAGGGAAAATAAAGGCGGCTGGGCATAGTGCTGTTGACTACATTTTCACTTCATATGCCAAGGTCAATGAAACAGATGAATTCTACTTCATCTGCCCATGTGTCTTCGGCACGAACGGGGAAAAATGATAAAGATCGTCGGGGTTATGACCAGAGTAAGAGCCACACCATAGATCAATACAAAACTGCATTGCTAATACATGTTCCCGAAGTATTCGTAGGCTAAGTGCTATTTTCTTTAGGTGGTGTCATTTGGTCATTAATACTTTGTCTGTTGATATAATACATTCTGAAGTATGCTGTACAAACACCAAAGAATTAATTTAACCAAGTCTAACACAAAATGTTACTCTAAAATGCAATGGATAGCGGTTTCTACATAAGGAGCCAGACCAACACCAAGGACTAGGGGTCATCCATAAATGACGTCACGCTTTTTTTGACGATTTTTACCCCCCCCCCCTCCCCTCCGTCACACGTCGTCAAAAAAATGCAGACCCCCCCTAAAATGACGTCACACGTCAGCCTACAACCCCCCCCCCCTCAAAATTGCAGTTAAATTTTTTTTTAAACATGGATATTTTTCTAAAATCTTGTCTGAACTCTGTCAAAATAGAGTTTTTTTTTTTTATCATTCCTATTACAATGTATTAAAACAGTTGACTAAAACTCGAAATAACGTCTAAAATTAGTTTTCTAACTTTGGTTTTTTATAAAGCAAAAGTGTGACGTCGCACCATCTGAACCCCCCCTCCCCCTCATCACACACCGTCACAAAATTACGGACCCCCCTTCCCCCCTATGAGTGTGACGTCATTTATGTACGACCCCCTAGACATTGTGACTGAGTGCTTGGCACTGCTGAGGTTCGGCCTTGTACAATTTAGCCACTTTTTACTTTAAATAAAGAAAAACAATAAGCTTTTCTCTCTATCTGAAGAGAAATACAACGTGCATCTATCTTTTAAATGTAAACAATACGCTGTTCTCTCTATCTGAAGAGAAATACAACGTGCATCTATCTTTTAAATGTAAACAATACGCTGTTCTCTCTATCTGAAGAGAAATACAACGTGCATCTATCTTTTAAATGTAGGAAGTCAGGATGAGATGAGTACCTCGTCAAAACGGTTCCGTATGGCCCGTACAACGTCAGAGATGCAGCCCGCTGTCCCCAAAACCGAGAACCCCAGGGGTTATAGGTAGGTTCAAAACTTTCGTCTATGTCTACGGTAATGAAATGAGTTTGCCTAAGGCGAATTCGTTCAGAATTTACGTCTACGGTAATGACATGAGTTTGCTTTAGGCGAATTCGTTCAAAGTTTACGTCTACGGTAATGATATGTGTTTGCCTTAGGCGAATTTGTTCAAAGTTTACGTCTATGGTAATGACATGAGTTTGCCTTAGGCGAATTCGTTCAAAATTTACGTCTACATGTACTGTAATAACATGAGTTTTCCTATAGTGTATTCTGTCTTTCAGCTAGCTTTGGTTGCAATGTTTCTTTGAGACTTTTTTTTTCTCCGGGGGGGGGGGGGGGGGGGGGGGAAACGGACACTTGATATTTTCATAGGGGGGGGGGGGGAGGGGGACGGACAACATTTTCGGGGGGTGGGGTGCGGACACTGGTAAAAGTATGTTTTCAATATTAATTCCATTTCGTTCGGGGGAGGGGGCGGTAGACTTTCATCGAAGAGATGCCTGAAAGAAACTCTTTGTTTTAAACCCATTTTCCATCACACAGATATACTGTTTTATTTTGTTCGTTTTTTTATTATTTCTAAAATAAAATAGAGCACGATTTGATTACTTACTTTTGTGGCACCTGGTTTTCCTATTGTGTAGACGTGTAATTTAAAAAGTGGTTTCTTGTTGATTAGTTATACACACATATTTAGTTAGTGTCTGGCCGATATTTTAACTTTTTCAGTTAGGATCATATTCAGTTTAAGATTGGAGGTCAATAAACTTGACCTCTCGAGAGTATACATGTCTTGTTAAGAGTTTACAGAACATGACCTTTCACATGTAGACGTCATGCTGTGAATATAGGAAGAATGACGCATACCGATATCATTCTGAGCATATAGGAAAAATGACCTTTCAGACATAATGAGGTCATTCTGAGAATATAGGAATATGACCTTTCAGACATACAGAGGTCATTCTAAGCATGTAGGAAGAATGACCTTCCAGATATTGTGAGGTCATTTTGAGAATATAGGAAAGTGACCTTTCAGACATACAGAGATCATGCTGAGTATATAGGAAGAATGACCTTCCAGATATTGTGAGGTCATTCTGAGAATATAGGAATGTGACCTTTCAGACATACAGAGATCATGCTGAGTATATAGGAAGAATGACCTTCCAGATATTGTGAGGTCATTTTGAGAAAATAGGAATGTGACCTTTCAGACATACAGAGATCATGCTGAGTATATAGGAAGAATGACCTTCCAGATATTGTGAGGTCATTCTGAGAATATAGGAATGTGACCTTTCAGACATACAGAGATCATGCTGAGTATATAGGAAGAATGACCTTCCAGATATTGTGAGGTCATTTTGAGAAAATAGGAATGTGACCTTTCAGACATACAGAGATCATGCTGAGTATATAGGAAGAATGACCTTCCAGATATTGTGAGGTCATTCTGAGAATATAGGAATGTGACCTTTCAGACATACAGAGATCATGCTGAGTATATAGGAAGAATGACCTTCCAGATATTGTGAGGTCATTTTGAGAAAATAGGAATGTGACCTTTCAGACATACAGAGATCATGCTGAGTATATAGGAAGAATGACCTTCCAGATATTGTGAGGTCATTTTGAGAAAATAGGAATGTGACCTTTCAGACATACAGAGATCATGCTGAGTATATAGGAAGAATGACCTTCCAGATATTGTGAGGTCATTCTGAGAATATAGGAATGTGACCTTTCAGACATACAGAGATCATGCTGAGTATATAGGAAGAATGGCCGTTCACACGTCAGTGGGCGTGTTTATGGAATGTGACCTTCAAACTTATACAGGCATTGTGCAAGTGTATAGACTGTGATAGAATTTGACTTTTCACACGTCTAGGCTTCTATAAATTCGTGTTGCGAGAAGAAGAAGCATGTTCCGAATCGCCGGGCAGACAATAGTGACATTATTTCATAACCTTCCCAGAGTAATGTAAGGTTTGCCATAAATGGTGTTACATATTTAAGGAGGATTAGGTAACAATCCTCTATGACAGGTGTATCGAGGATGGTGGTTATGGAATGTGTGACTCAACATATATTTTTACATTAATACGTACTAAAACGATGTACAATCTGATGATTTTTATAAGAAGTTATGGTCAGTGTTTCTTCCCGACTTTTTTCTCGGGGTGGGGGGGGGGGGCGGACTAAAATTTCCGGGGGACTGACACTGTAAATGTATATATTTTCTATATAAATTCCATTTCGTTCGGGGGGGGGGGGGGTGAGATGCCTTGAAGAAACACTGATTATGGTTGATGCGGAAAGTGAGGTTTTTCAAATGCTGTATTATTCCTTTAGTGGGAAAGATTAAAACTGCCTGGTGCTGTTTAAAATGGACTTCTAAACACGGTATCTGTTAGCCTTCTTATTGTATGTAGGTTTTTGAGCAACGATTGTAACCTACCGCCTTAAGTAACATCGGCTATATAAACATTTACCCATGACTAATTGAAAAAAAAACTGAACTGCGAATATTTAAACTGTAAACTAAACTTTTTCGTTATTTGTTAAACAAAATTCTCAGGTACAGCATCACAGGTACCCTCGTTGGGGAAAAGGAAGGATCCCGCAGCCGAAAATCCGAAGATACGAGTTCTATTATAAGTCGGTTGCCTATGATGAGTTTGACAAATGAGCCACCTATGCTACTTCCATACCCAACTCATGGATTATTTGTAAATATTTCTTTTTAAATAAAAAATAAAATACACCGGCTTTAGTAGCTTGCTATTATTGGGCATTTGGTAGACAAGTGTTGAAGTTCAACTAAGAAGTTGGTCATTAATTTAATTTTTATAGCTTTCGCGATAAACAAAAAACTATAAAACAAATAAAAATTGAAAACCTTAATGTATATAGTCTATAGCTAGTTTGTGTAAAAAGGACAATAATATATAGATATACTGTGGCTCCCAGCAAAGGGGGATAGGCCAAGACATAGTTCGGGTGCCTAGCTAATAGCCTATTTTCCTAATTATAAGCGACAGGTCGCCTATAGAATAAACCAATGTAAACACCGGCTGCTAGGGAACACGACGCAGTCACTTAATGGCTTTTCTTCTGTAGTTATTACTTTCTGCTAATTTTTTATAAAGAAAATGGTTCCTACAGAGGAAGAGCCCACTTCTGAAGAAACCGTGGAAAAGCCAGTAATTGCTCAAGTATGGATTCAATTTTATCAGGCTTTTATAGGCAACACTATTTAATTTTTTAATGTTTACTTCTTGGAAATATTGTTACGATTGTAATCTTACGTACTACTTCTAGCCTGTACCAGCCCAGGCCAAACACTCAAACAGTAAACAATAAACTAAACACAACAGTAAATGCTATACAAAGAGATCTGGGCCCTTTACGTGACTTTAGCACTTTTTTGTTTAGTTAAAGTTTAGTACTATTACTAGATCTAGAATTCTCTAATACTGTCTAAGACTCTAAGAGTCTAAGACTCTGCTAAGACAAGACACTCTGTGTCTTGTACCCGTGTAGACTAGAACTGTAGAATTAGATCTAAAATAGGTTAAGAATAAGATTGTGAGTCAATTTCAGTAGGCTAATTCACAAATCGTGTTTCTATAATTAATGTTAACAGAATAGTTACAATTCTATATTTATAACTACTAATTTACTACTTATTCAATTAACATATTAATATTACTATTTATTACTGTACTTAGAGCTATTATAGACTAATATAGACTTTACACTTATAATTTATTCTCTGCATTTTTTTCTTATTTCAGCCCAAATTACATAAAGCTAAAATTCTTGTTTGGTAAGTTTTGTCATTTCTGAAAATGAAAATTAATATGTTTATAGCTTTTAAAAACAAATTGATTAATGTAGGCCTAATAAATTAAATACTATCGGCTTTTTGTGTTTAAGCACATTTTATTTAAACATGAGTTTTAAGTAGGCCTAAAATTAAGTACTTATATTTGAATTAAAGTATTCATTAATCTTCAATTTGTATTTGAAATATTGTATACTAAATGATACAAAAATAGCAGTTGAATTTGGGTTACGAGATTGTTGAATAACTGTAATTAAACACTACATTTTTCATTGAGTATCTGCAACAAACTTTGTTTTTACTTAACAAAACTATTTTTGACTTGAAGATTCAAGCCAGTTCATTTTTATAACAATAATGTTGTACTATAAAAATTATCAATAATTTATTTTGCATTTGGATATTAGGTCTGATCTATCAGTGGATGCTGTAGATAGATTGAATGAATCCCTCAATGTCGATCATATCAAACAGTAAGTGGTTTCATGTAACTAATTAGGTTTGTATGTTTATTCAGTAGCAAGACAATATTTTGAGTACCTGACTCATATTAGGGAAAGTAAAGACAGCTGGGTGTAGAGCTGACCACAGTATACCTTCATATGCCAAGATCACTTAAACAGGTGAACTCTGCTACACCTGCCTTATGGACCATAAGGTTTGAAAGGGTACTTTTCTTTTTTTTTTCAAGTAAATACACTTAAATCCCTACAACCTCATGACCTTAATAAAATTTGACTCAACTGCCTTAAGAGTATGAATAGAACAGGGGTTCCCAACCGTTTTTACTCTAGAGCACATTCTAAAATATTGGTAGGGAGGCAAGCACCACCTATTTTAAATCGACAAACTCCTTCCAGAGGCTTAGCGACCCTTCCCATCACCTGGGGACAAAACTTTCGATTTGCACCCCCTCCCCCGCTCAAATTTTCGATTTCCATCCCCTTCAACCTTTCAATAATGTTTATGAAAAAAAATCTGCCTCTGTCAAATAGTGGCGGGGCACCTACAAATCGTTCGGGCACGGGGTTGGGAACCTCTGGAATAGAAGTTTTCTTTTTCAATTTCATATCTCTGCAACAAAAAGATAATTACCTTTTTTTCTGATTAGTTTAATCCTCTAGCCCCACTGCATTAAAATATAGGTTTAGGAAAACTCCATGGTAATATGCATCCTATGAATCATGAGATAGCAAAGTAATTTACCATGCCTAGCATATTTAGAAAGGCCACTCAAACCTTGAGCTCTATATTTTAAAGACCAATGCTTTTATTAAACAAAGCAAGTCTGTTTTATTTCTTTATTTTTATTGCATTTAAAAGCTTATTATTTTAAAGGTTTTTTTATGTTTTTCTTCATGTAGAGTTTTGGCAGAGATTTTTAGGCTAGAAGGCTGGAAAGACAATTTGAAAACAGGGATCATCATGGATTTATATTACTACACATTGCAGTTTGCTAGAGAGCAGGGGTTTTCAAAAGAAAAACAATCCACATTTTTCTCCATAATAAAAAACATATTTGAAGTTTGCATTGGTAAGTTATATGGGCCATACACAGTTTAAAAAAAAGCCTATACACTAAAACTATATTACAATAAAAAAAATATGTCTAATTACCATACATAAAATTAAAATTCATAAAATGTCAATTTTTAAATTGGATTTTATATTATTTCTAAATTCCTTTTTATACATTTTCTGTTTGCAAACCATACATGACATTATTTTTTTTAAGAAACACCATTTGGCAATTTAGACCATACATTCCAGTACTTTAAAGACCTCCTTCATTGTCATGCAGTAAATGTGAGTGATAAAATTTTTCTTGAATTCTGTCGAGATTTCTAGAGCTTTTTGTGATGTTTATTTTAAATAGGTTATCTTATTTGTACTTATGCAGATTTAGTATTTATATAGATTTATTACTGCGTTCAATTAAATATAATTGTTAGCTTTGTAAAGAGACTCAGAAATAATAATTGTTTTATATTTTCAAAAATTGATTGTTTTCATTGGCTCTTTCATCAGCATCCTCCATACAGTATTGAGCTTTTCACACCCAATGAAGCCAGGAAAATTTCAGAATATACTATCAATACATTTTTCAGGCATTTTAAGATGTACAAATATGCCTTCACAGCACAGGTATCTAGTGGTGTATTGATTGATAGAGTTAGGGGTCATCCATTTATGATGTCCACAATTTTTAAAAATTTTGGACCCCCCCCCCCACCCCCCCAAAAAGTCCATATAAAGTCAATTGTTTTCGGACCCCCCCCCCCCCACGTCATAAATGGATGACCCCCTTAACTGATACTATACAAAGAATTTTATATAAACAAGAATCTCTGCTTTGTGCAGTTGTATTTTTAAAACAAATATCACAATAGTGATAATTTCTATATAATATTTGAAAAACCCTATAATATTTGTTCTCTCATATTAGCAGGATTAGATTTTTCTTAAACTTTATTTTCTTTCTATAACTGCAGCAGTGTTTCTAGTTGCAATCTATTAAGGCACAAGCCCCGTTCTTGGTTTTCAAATTATCTACATTCATTTCAGGTACGATTAGATCTTCACATTTCATATCAAGGGATGGCTTCACCTCCACCATCTGAAGGTAAAAAAGTTACATCAATCATTTTATGGAGGTTAGGAAGAATTATAGTTAACCCTTTAAGTTGAATATGATTTTCATTCCTCTACTAGTTTCTACAGCCTTGAAGGAAGAGAGTCAGCTCTTAGAAGATGAAACTCTTGGTGAACTGGAGACAGAAAAAATTGTGGAAGATAACGGTACTTTTCTAAAAGTTTCTTTTTGTTTGCTTCTATTTCCATATCCCAAATTTAATTTGTTTTTAATTTGCTCTAAAATTGATCTTCATAAAAATAGGTGTTTTATATTTTAAGACTAGATGTATATTACTATAAGATCTCAATGTTCTCAGCATAAACTAAAGTCCTGATGTCTAATAGGATATAATTATAAAGTATAGCTATTTCAATGATAAGTGCATATTTCACCAGTACAATGTTTACCCATCTATAATTTTCATAGGACAATTCAGAATTGAGGTAGGCGGAAATTCCTATAGCCTAAGAAGTGCCTAGTTTTTTTAAAGATGAAAACTTTACCCCTCGCTCTTATAAGCTCCGCATTTTAAAAATTTAATAGAATTTTTGCCTGGGTGAACTCAAGCCATTTAATTAAGATTTTTTTTAGGAAGAAAGTGTCATTTTGAAAATGTGGCCAACTTTTGTAATAAAATATTTCTCTCCCCTTTTCTGCTAGATGAGCAACTGATCGCAGCAAAAGAGGAATTTAAAAGTATCGTCAGGAATTTTCTCACACAAGAAGCTAAAAAGATAGAAGGTAGAGTGGAGGATCAAATCAAAGCTGCAGTTGACACACTAAACAACAAAATAGATCCAATGATTGGCAAACCTGATGCTAAAGTAGTCAAGAAGAAATAGGTCTATATGCTATTGAATATTTCTGTTTTTTTCAATGAGTAAGTAGGTACTTATACAATGAAATACTACAGGCAAGATGCGTAACTACAAAATGGAATAATAATCTTAAATAAAATAATTAACCGATACTATTTTCGTCATGTAGTGATTATTTCAAGTTTATTGCACAAAATTAAACATAACATTATACAACTTTTTTTAATCACAGAAATTTGATACGTAAGAGTATTATACAAGAAAACTATTAGTTCAAAACAATGAAATTTTTTAAATTTAAATGTTAACTACTAGGTTTTTTTTTAAAAATATATAACTTCATGTTATTCTTTTCCAATTAAGTGATCTGAAATTGTTTTCATTGTTATGTAAGGTGTTGTAAAAGTATTGTATTATAATTGCTTCAGTCATAACTTTTGGATATTAACCTTAACATTTACTATTTTTAATTGTTTTATAAACTAATTACCTTACAATTGCCATACAAATAATAGTGTTTGGTGGTAGTTCTGTGTATATTTATACATATAAAAATTACAGGAAAACAATTTAAATAATAAATATAAATGACATAGTAATGCTATGTTCTCTGTCTCTTTGTGGGAGGAGTTGTTGAGGGGAGATAATTGTTCTGGTCTAAGTTGTCAGTATTAGCTCTTTCCCCTTGGATTTGATCTACCCCAGAGGATGACTCATTCTCTTGGATGTCTCGGATTCCTCCAAGCTAAATATTTTTAAAAGTGGGGTAAAAAAAAAATTTTTAATCCACAAATATATTTCAGTTGATAAAATGTATGCAAACAATGTCTATGTATATATTACGTTAAAGATATTTTTATCTTGTGTTGTGAGAAACTGGGATGGAGAATAAAATAATGAGTTGATACATAATAAACTTATGCAGTAGAAGTTATATAAATCTTAAGGTATTTTTTTCAATTAATAAAACTGTGACAAAACTGTAATGGTAACCCTATTAGTATTAGACAGTAAAATACTCTCCCAGCTAGCCCCATTTGAATATTTTTTAACCTTCAAAATACCTAGCTAAGTTTTAGAAATATCTTAAGATAAAAACTACTCACTGTAATTTGAAAAGAGCAGACTGTCTCTTGTTTACTAGGAGATTTGTAGAGTAGAGCTCTTCTTTGGTTATTTTCCCAGTACAAGATAACTCTCATTGTACTGGCATGACCCCAGTTTTCACCAAGAGCAGGAATCAGATGAGAGTTTCCTTCCCCTGGTAGTATTTTGGTTGTCATTTGGTTAGTAAAAACAACCTGTTATGGGAACAAGCATTTTAAACAGAAACTTAACTAAGTTTTGTCAAGTTAACTGAAAATAATATTTTAATTCAACTTAAGTCCAACATTACTAAAATAATATATTAAAAAACTAAATTTAGGGATATATATTACTTTTTTGTACTTTGTAAATAAAATAAAGATACAACATAAATACTTTAGTAAATTTAACTTCTCCAAGGACTTACAGCCACATTAAAATCTGAAGCTATTTTGATAAAATTCTGTGCCAGGGAGGACAAAAGTTTGGTGCGGAGAGACATGTCATCCAATTCATTTCTAAAAGGTGAAGCAATGCTGTCAACTATCACAAGTTTCACCTGAGATAAAATATTTTAAAATTGGGGGTGACATTAATTTACTTTTTGTGAGGAGAAACATGAAATTAAATTCATTTTTAAAGGGTGAAGCAAATTTTAAAACCATAACAATATTCACTTGAGATAAAATATTTTAAAATAGGTGTGACATTAGTTTACCTATAAATGTAGGAAAGAAGGCACTATTGTTTTATTGCCTCCCTTCATTACCATTTCAGTTTTTTAACCTAAGGCTATTTTGAGATAAAGATGAAATGGGGTGTAGGATATCATTTTTGTGATTTGAATTCTTTATCATTATTTATTCATCTAAGTACAAAATTCTTGAAGATATTTTTAAAAAGCTTAATTTACAACTATTTCAAAAGCCATTTAAAAGTAACACTCTAAATAAGACATAATAAAAATCATTTTTTTATTTAAATCTTATTTAACTTTAACTACAATATAAAAAAAAGTTCAGAGACAATTAGCCAAAGTTTAAAGCTGTTGTCCAATTGATATCAACATTTATAATGCTGTAAGACAGGATAGATAACTCAAAATTACCAAGACACACAAAAATTAAAACATAGTGGAGATTTACAATAACTTTACATATATATTAAAACAACTCACTTTGCTATGTTGTGTCAAGAATTTAGGCAACATATGTATAGTTGCTATGAGCTGAACATGATCAATACAGCGGAAGTAGTGAGTGCCAGCTAATACTTTATTCACAGTCAACCTCTGTTCTTCTGAAAACATTTGAAACTGTTTACAAGAAAACATATCTATGATATATTTATAACTATTTCAACATAACTATTGTTTCTGATATACATAAGAATAAATTATAATTTGGAATGTGTGAACTGTGAATGTGCTATTCATATAAATTGACATAATTCTTTTCTATAAAAAAAAAAACCAGCAGAGTGTTAGACAAAAGGTTCTTTAAAAAAAAAAGTTTAAATTTGGAAAAATACTTTGTTTCAATAAACCCCAGTAACTCTTCCTGCCTTGTTGTGTGTTTGGTTGTTTACTTTTGTCCCCCTTTACATACTAGCCAGAGTTATTGACAAACTTAACCAATTACCATACATGGTATATTTGTCAAACACAGATTCAAAACCTTTCTCCTTCATACCATTACTTCCTTGATTTCCAATCTGATGACAGTGTTCCACTGTAGCTGTGGCAATGTCTACCATCCTTTCAACAATAAAACTTCCCTCTGTGTCAATGTAAACAACCTCGCCATCAAGGCCCCCAAGGTGCTCTGGTATATGTGCATCCACAGCTAGTTGCAGGCTGATAGACACAACAGAAAACATTAATTCAAATGTTTCTTCTGATTATTAATTGCTATTCCTTTTGGCTCACTCGGGACTATAGAGCTATGAAAATCTAGTCACTCAAAAGTTTTAATTAAAAGATTTAGGCAGCCTCAAATTTTTGTATGAATAAGAAATATAAAATCATACGAAATCTGGTTCTTGTTTTAATGTTGATAAGACAAAACACCATCAAATAATAAAATGGATGATTTTTTTTAAAAAAAGTCATGTCAGTTGGATAATGTTTAGCTTTTGATCATAATTACGGTTAGGGCTAATAAAAGCAAAAGGCTTAGGGTCAGGGTACCAAAACAAATAGATTTGCTTCAATAGGTCTTACTAATGCTTTACAAAAAAACAAAATTATGTATATAATATAAATATATTGAATACAAAACTAACCAGATTTGTGTTTTGCCTATCCCTGGTGCTCCACAGAACTCTGTAATTTTATGAAGAGGTACACCTCCCCCAAGCATGTCATCCATCTTCTCACAGAAAGTGATAATTGAAGTCATATCCTGTTATTTTAAAAAAAAAACATTTTTAAATTTTTAAAATGATAATTTACTTTACAAGTTTAGTTAATTAAAACAGTTATTTACTTTGTTTTTATTTATGATCAATAACTCCTATGGAGAGTTCAATTTAAACATTTCATTTATTTTGTTTATGAGTAGAATTACATATCATAAAGCAGCTTTCCTTAGTAATCTCCGTGTATTTTTAAGGAACATGGAAAAGAGTAGAGGGCCTTTTTAAAAAACTGTTTTCAATGTTGGCACACAATTATAACTTTTTTTTTCTCTAACTCTTAATAGAAAAAAACCCAGATATAAATGTGTGCCTTCTAGATTTCAATTTAATATAATATAATCTTATCAGATATGTAAGTTTGAATTAGGATTATATAATAGATGTGTAAATGTTTAGTTTAATATTAAGCTTAAAGGAATATTATTTGGTTTAACATAAGTTTGTATTAATTTATAGGAACATAAAAGTAGGCCTACTGATAATTGCATGTACTTCCCATTTACTTAGCAATGAAATTCCTAAATCTAATCTACAACTATTCACTACAAATCATTTACATATGCTAAAATTAACAGTGGTTTTTTAAAACTGTTAAAAAGATACTAAATTAAATCCCAAGTCTTTAGTATGGGAGACACCTGGCTTTTCACAGGTTTTTCAAAGATTAATGAAGTGTAAATTACCTGCTCTTCTCTAAACACATCCAGTGCCGTCTTAACAATAGGGACATTTTGTTTTCGTACAGTAGCATTCACATCAATGAACAAAGTCTGAAGAACTTCTAAAGCCTCAGCCTGTGTAATGTTGGCTTCTGCAAAAGTTACAAAAAGAATTTTCATAATACTCATATATGAAGATACTAAAACAGAAGCTAATATTTAAATATAGCTCTTAAAAAGTATAAACAGCAAGTATAAAAGTCCAAATAATTAATGCACAATCTAATAGTAACTAGACTAGATACAGCTATGAATTTTTAGCAATTATAGACTGAAACTTTGCAGAACATTTTTTCTAATTAATTTATTTTAAATGTTTTCCCACTAAGCATGATAGAGAAATGACTAAAAACAAATAATATAATAAATCAGCATTACAGAAAATTGTATCTAATTTATAACAATAAATAAATATATAAATATATAAATAAATAAATAAATAAATATATATATATATATATATATATATATATATATATATATATATATATATATATATATATATATATATGTTATTTAGACAAATAACATTACCTAAGCTTAATTCTGAAGGTTTCATAGTAGCAAAATCTTCTACTGTCCAAAGCCCAACATTTGACAACTTATTTAAAACTGCATGACTAATAGGAAATGTATTTATTTCTCTTCGACTTGACATTGTTAATTTTTTCATTAATAGTGACTATGAATAATTAATTTCATTTTATCACAAGAAAATCAGATTTGTATTTGAAGGATAGGTCTCCTTGTATATGTTTGATTAACATAATTATTTATAAGGGTAGCACCATAATAGTCAAAATGTTGCCTTCATTGCATACGCTTATTTTTTCCTGCAAAATAGAAACATAAATAATGGGAGCCAATATGTTGGTGTTCATGTAATTTCATAAATGTACATTAAAGGCCTAGTAATCCTAGTATACAGGCTTATACTAATTATTAATTATTTTAATTAATGCAATAGAGCAATACTAATAACGAGCCCACCAGCGGCGTATCATATGCCGCTATTTAGTTGTTTTATTTTCTACTTTTCAGTAATTCATAATTTGGGAGTTCGACAGTACCACTGCTGTCACTGAAAATATTTGCTTTAAAATACTATCAGTAAGTCGTTAAGGACAATACCCCCCCCCCCCCGTGAAAGCAGCATCCTCTTAGCTACCTCCCCTAAGTATAAAATCGTTTCAAACTAAATTATCTGCCCCTAATAGCCTTCACTAAACCCGTTTCTACGATTGTAAACATTTAGCGTGAACCACAGCTCACCAGACTTCCTAGAGAGGAAGAGAGGGGACTGCAAGGCGCGTTTACAGCTTGTTTTCTAACATCTCCAAGAAGAGAATTATATATATTATATAATATATAGGCCTATAGATACTTAGACCTATATCTACTGTTTAAACTATTTATATCAGACATCAGTATCCTCAATCAGTATTAGTAATACTAACTAAATACTAACAAATTAAATCATATATTGAATATTGATAGATCTATATAGTATATTATTATAATATTAGTCACTTTTTATTAGGCCTATATATATTACTATTATTACTAATATTAGTAGCCTAGTTACTACTTATAATATTAATATAATTTAAATTATTAGTAGGCCTAATTTATTAGGCTCCCTATTATTAGGCCTACTTTTTTTTATTAGTTACTGTCTGAACACCCCTTTTTCCTCCAAGTGAACTACTGTGTAAGTGTATGTGAATTAGTGAGTGTAACACCACTCTTCTCATTTTAGTCTTTTTTAGTCATTTGAAATTTCGTTTTAACACCCTCCCCCTCCCACCACCAAGAGTGCCTTTTGGTAAGGTCAGGAAGACCCCAGACCAGAGGCCAAAGGAATCTAGTTCTAGATCTAGATCTAGCTTTCTAAATTACTTAAAATTAGACCTAGACCTAGATCTAGATAGTATAGATAGAGACTGAGTTTTCTCAGGCTTGTCTTATTTGCCAATATTTGGTATTTTAGATTTAGATTTGCCGGGATCGGCGCCGGTATAGATCTTCTACTAATAGTAGTACTATTTTTAGTATTTTAATTTTTACTACCGAATGTAAACAAATGGAAACTAGATTTCTAAATGTCGAAAGATCCTGGAAAATAAGACAACCAGTTTGCTTTAGTCACTGATCTATTGCATTTATTTACATCAGTTAACAACATGTAAACAGAATCATTCGTTATGGTTAATCAAAATACACGGGCTTATATTTTTAAAAATCTAGTCTATTTTGTTTTGGAAAATGTCTCGTGTTGATTTGGAACACAAAATTAAATAATGCTCAACAGAACTAAACACTAATACTAATAGTAGGCATATACTCAAATACTCATATAGTAATAATAATATAGTATTCGGACACAAATTAGCGAATTATAAAAAGTAAAGAATGTCTTCGGGCTCGTCTTTTTTTATGCATTTGGAAAGTTGTTGCAAATACTCCTGGGGATTTTTTCTGCGAAATAAAATAATTCAGGCAAGCGGCGCCCCGGCGGGATGTGGTTTAGCGCCCGGAGTTCTCGAGTTGCTTTCTTAGCAACTGTGTCTGTTCGTTGGGCGTCCTGTACACGAGGCAAGGTAACTAGATATCTACATCTACTTGACTCAGCGGTCAAACTGCACTATATGCGGTCGGGTGACCAGATCCAGCCCGGACTCTCCCGTGAGCTCTATGGCGCCTATGTTCGTTTTAAGGCGTGCCATACGGTGGACTACTAAAATAATTGACTAAATAGAATCGGGCGCTTCCACAAGCGCCCCGACGGAAGGTGACTAGGTGCGGATGCGCCCCGGGCTCCCACGTGAGCTCTATAGACTCACTATAGAGCCTGCGTGATAGAACGACATATACTATGGATTCGGTAGTGTAAACGGTGGCTCCAGAGTACGCCCCGCGATGCCTCTGACACGATCGGTGGTTTTTCAGGTGTGTTCTTCCTAAACTTAACGTACACTCAAGATGTTCGTACTGCACACTCTGAGGTGTCTGAGCGGTAGTGTAGATAAACTTGGCCCCAACAACTAGGATCCTAGAAATATGAAGCCGACATTGTTTTCATTTAAATGGCTTAATTTATGGGAAAAATGTCATATTTCATGAAATCCTCTAAGAATTTTGCGTCAACCTTTCCTCTGAGATCGCATAATTTAAATCAGCTGATGTTTACTATCCCACGCTTAATAATATGTGGAGTATCTATCTTTCTCCGGGTTAAGGGGGGGGGCTCATTGCGCCCTCCTTTGGTCAAAATAAATAAATAAAGTTTGATATAGCTCAAGAAAAAAAATTCAAATAAAAATGAAGATAAAAAAATTCAAATAAAAATGAAGGCTCCAGGGGGAGTCGAACCCTCGACCTTCTGCTTACTAGGCAGACGCTCTAACCAACTGAGCTATAGAGCCTGTTAACTCGTGATTCAACAATAACATTTTATACATAAAATAGCTTATCATGCAAATTACTGTAATTAATCAATTAAACAGGCAAATTGATACTCTGTGTGATAGTTAATAAATTGACCTGCACAAATATGTCATATTCTACACTGGGAAAACGGTAGCAAATTTGATGATCAGACTAATGAACATGGGAGACAACTATTGTTTTTTCCCCGGAATGAGGATGTAAACAAGATGGCTTCCAACGATATAGATTATCATGCTAGAAGTCTTTTGCAGTTAGCAAGATCGTTGGGAGCAATTAAACCAACTCCATGGGAAAAGGTAGTAGAGAAATTTATAACAAGTCTCTCTTTTCTAGATTTTAACAGTGCTTTGTAAGTAGATACCCCAAAGTCCTTCAATAGAAATCGATTTTGCATTGTTGTCATTTGATTTTGTCAACAACAACAAAAACAAGGTAATTAAAAAGTCTAGTGACAATTTTAGCGCAATTTCCTTATGTTATCTAAAAATAGCTCTGTCGTAGCGTAAATCAAGAGCAGGGTTAGTAAAACCATTGGTTAAAATACATGTTTTATTTACAATAGAGTTACATGACTAAAAACCATTGCGCGCCTAGCTACTGAACGTGATGACGCAGCCATTGAACGTGATGGCGCAGCTATTGAACGTGATGACGCGTGTGGTTTGGTTGGAAAACATGCCTACTAATTCGGTCCAAATTTTAATTAATTAAAAAAATTTTTGTGACCGAACGAAAGAATATTTTTGAAAACTTTCTTCGGCAATATTGTTCTAAATTATGGCAGGAATCGATTGGTACATGTTTCAAGTCGCTAAGTCGTCTGGTTGCCGAGATATGGGCCAAAAACTGCTTTTTTTCCGATGTTTTTTTTTACTTTTCCGGGAAATCCATGAAAGAAACCCGGAATTTTTATGGCCTATGTTCATCCTCGTAACTTGCTGAACATAATTGCTTTTGTAACTAGTCATCAATATTGCTTCGTTGAGGAGGAGATACGACTTAAAGCCCGGACACACATTCATACATCCATTCATTCATCCATCCATACATTCCCAGAAATGACGAGTTAATAAACGCAATTCTCCAGAATGGAAATTGCGCTAAAAAATTATTTTTTTAAGTGGACTTCAATTATTAATTTAACTTTAAATCTAAACAAATAACAAATGGGGGGGGGGGAGAGCGGTGGAAGCGGTGGCATTTGTGATGATTTAGATCAGTGGCTGGTTCTTAACCTTTTTTGGAGGTACCAAACTCCACCAGCTTCTTAATAAGAAAAATAAGAAGGGTAGGTAATCTATCGTTTTAGGTATAAAATGAAGACTAGCGATGTTTTCATCCGCTGCAACCAAACTCATTTAATTTAGCAGCCATCTTGTTTACATTTTTCTGTAAAATTATAGTTAGAGATTCAGGGGAAACCACTTTAACTTACAGATGGCCGCAGTTTATATAGAAAATCTTGCTAGCAAACACTGCTATTAGTATTTGAAGTTAATTTCTGGCCTATATTGATATATTTAGCCATTGACTTTGGTTTATTATTCAGTTATTTCTAATATTTAGCCCAAATATATCACAATATTATATACTTTATTAAAGCCTTAACAAAGAGGCAACTTTTTTGCACATAACTAGCCTCTCCAATTTTACGCACCTAAAACAATTATCAAAATAAGATATTTCGCTTATAGGCCTAAATTTATTTCAGATTTAAAACAGAAGGTCTAGATTTCATTATTGTGGCATTATTATTACAGACACTTTTATTTATTTTATAGGCCCTACAGTAACATAGTGATAACCTGAATCATCTTGTCTAAATCTTTAAAAAGTGTTGTGCCATAGTTAACTACTACTAGATCTAGATTTTAGATAAAATTACTTTTTTAAACTTGCTAATGTCAACACAAAATCACTAAGTCGTACTGTAGCCTCAACCTTAATTGAACATAATACTAAACATGAGGTTAAACTACTACCAAAAGTTAGCTATGATTGCTATTTGTTTTTCCATAAGTTTTAATCCTATGTAAAAAAGCAAATGCTTTTTAACTTTTATTTGCTATTAGGTAGAGCGTCTGATGTTAATGTGTCCAAATTCAAAGGATAAAAGTGGAACTCTTCGATTAGATGGACGTGGTCAAAATGCAATTATTGCTTTGGGTGTATATTTGCTGGAATCTGGTCTGCAGGTAATAACATTTCTACAATATGAACATTTAAAGAAGAGTATCATTTCATTGCTCAATATGAATTATAAATTCACATTTTGTTTTTATTAAAATTCTACAAGTAATGCAAATAATATAGCTTAACTATTTAGTGATAATAGACAAACACATTTTAAAAATTTTGTTAAGTGAGTAAATTAAAGATGTTTTTTTTTTATCTCAGAGCTAATAATTAAAAATCCTCATTTGTTTTACCGATTTAGCACAGTGAAGTGATCATAGAGTATTTGTTGATGGTACTGGAAAGGATGCCAAATGCACAGTGGGTGGACGGTCCCATAGGAATCAACAAGTACAGTATGTATACCTAAAAATAATATGTCAAGTCATCTTTATTCGGTGTGCTTTGATTGAAAAAACGCTTGTTTAATTCTGTTTAATATAATCTGTGTTACCAAATAATTTGTAAATCATCTCCACAGATTTACCGATGACTGAGAATTTCAGTTTTTGTTTTAACACAATTTTATCTGATGTTGCAAAAAGACTTCCTTCATACAAAGACAAGGTTATAATACTTTTCCTGTTTTTAAAAATAATAAACAATTATTGGTTGATTTATAACAAAATTTACCAAATGAGTTTTGACCCTCTCCCACTAGATTCTACATAAATAGCGATTCTATCTTAATGTTTATGTAAAAGCATATGCAAATTGCAAAAAAAAAAAAAAAGAATTTTTGGCAGTTAATCCTTTTCATTGACTTTTGTTAAAATCTTTTTAATTGTAAATCAGATCATTTTAATTTTATTTTCACTTGTTTAAAAACTAAAAATGATTGTGATATTGAGTAGATTATCACAGGAATGTTGAATTTGAACTTATAGTATTCTTTTTTTTAAAGTCTTAATTAAGAGCAGGGGCTCTCTTAATCTCAAGTTATTAGTTGCTAAAATGAAGTAAAATTTATTGCAAATATTTCTTGAATGACAAATGCGTTTGCTTGTATAATTTTTGAAAATTAAGTATTTTTTTACTATTTTTTATGTATTCAAAAGCATTTAATTATAAAGCTTTTTACACTTTTAAAATAAAATTGGGACAATCTGAACTTAAGCTAAAAATCCCAAAACAAGTTGTGAAAATAGCATTTCTATTGCTCTCTTACAAAAAAGATGTTTCAAAACATAAGATGATTAGAAGCTTACAATTTTTAAAATTTAAAAAGCAACTTATTACTCTAGTGCCATTTTTGTGAAGTTTTTGCTTTTTAAGAAAAAAGATATGTAATGTATCAATTTATTATTGTTTGTTTTATTAGATTTGATCTCAACATTTCAAAAATGGACAATAAATTAAAATTAGTAATGACACAGAAGAGGATTTTTATATTAGATTTTTTAAAAATCTATTATTAAAAAAATTATTTCAGATAATTAATAATCAGCTGAAAGTTTTGGAATTCATGACAGCCTTATGTGAACAACCTGGATCACATGTCACAGGTTTGCAATCTTAGTTCTGACTTTTGTGACAATTAGTTGTGTTTGTGGTGCAAGGGGATAGGGGAGGATTGTTAAAATATAAGTAGATATAAGTAGTAGTGGATAGAAATGATGTTAATATTTGTTAGAATATCTTTGTGTAGAGAATTGTAACTTTGTGACTTCTTTGAGGGTGGGAGGGTCTACTGGTTTTTTAGTGGGTTATAATGGCATTATTTAATTTTTTTATAAATACTTTTCAGAACACGTTTTCAACACCTTTTAATTGTTAAATTCACCAATCATCATTGTTATAAACACATTTGTTTTTTTTTAGACCATGTTTTTGGCTTGAATGAGACTAATAACCTTATTGATGTAATGCTTTCTTTGGGAAAATGTTGAGTCTCCAAAAGCTAGACATTAGTTGTCAGGTTTTAAACTAAGAGCCTTTGTTTATCCTTCTCAAAATCTATAAAATAACAGATGTAAACCCTATGAGTAAATATTGAAAAGCATGTTTTAAACATTACAGAATTTCTCCTTGGTATAAGAGTTAGAGGTAATCACATAATTTAGTTGGCGTGGCCAGTTTTTTCTGTTGTAGCTTTTTCTTTTCTTTAGAGCATTTTTGCACATTTCTTTTGAGATTAAAAGTTGTTTTTTTTTAAATCATTTTTTTATGCTTAATGAGTTAAAATAGAGAGAAAAAAATGTAGATATTAGTCTGGTATTCTCGTTTTTTTTTGGAATAATAAACACAACATTAAACTATATTAATAGATTTAAATTTTTTTAAATATACAATTTACAAAATTTAAAATATTTCATTTCTCTTTTATGCAGGCCTACTTTTTATGTTGGTAGTTTATTAAATAAAGTAAATATTTAAAAAAATAAGGTTTTATTTTGCTCAACATTTGCTTTATTTACATCTTTCATTAAACTAACCTATCTTTTACAGAGAGACTGTGCACTAGGCAGATACCAATGTTACTTGGTCTAGCAAGGTCAATAGGTCGCTCCAGTGATGAAGAGTGCTCACTTATTTCCTACCTACTGTCTGTCAGGGAGGCACCAATATCCATGCAGCGTGTGCCTCGAACTGAGCCTGTGCACCGCAGCAATTTCAACTCATTTCGATCCATCATGCCCCGCACCATGTCAACTGTTTTCACTCACTCTGAGGCTGGCTCTTCAAGTGTATCAGGGGCCGGGTCTTCTGATGCTGTTGGGGATGGGGCGACGGAAAGGAAATCCAGCTTTAGAGATAGGTATGATGCATCTACAGATATACCCAGTTTTGTTGCAGGCATTGGAGTTTGGTAAAAACCAATTATTTAGATATACTAAACCAAAATGGCACGAATATAATTACAAAGTTTGAGGAATCGTTAGGAGTCATCCCCTTAAAATTTTTAGAATTCTTTTCACCATTTGTCCACGTGTCCAGTTTGCATAAACCTCTCCCTGTCCACACTCTTTAGATACTTCCACCAACCATGGTGTAAATTGATGACTTCTGATCATTTATAATATTTAAATGAATACTTATTAATTCTTATTTTTTATGAAGTATTAGAACTGTCTACTGTAAGAAATTATTTGTTACATTAAGTCACTGTTATTTTTCAACATTAAAGTTCTTGAAGTTGCACATATGCTTAGATGTAAATTGATTCCTTGCAACATGTGCTGTACAATTTTACAGGTCGCCTTCACCCTTGGACTCAACAGGTAGAGACACTACCATGTCAGGTGTAACCAGCAACCTGGGAGATGTTCTCCCCTACACAATCTATTTTAACAAGATCGCCTCAAGTTTCACACGGACGAGGCCATGGGGTTTTGAGATCATCCCAGAACAGGATCATCTTAAATTTAATGAGGAACAGTTAAATTGGATTTTACAATGTGTCAGTTGTGTATTTTTTGTATTTGTTTTAGTTAATACAGATTGTAAAAAATATGATTTGTTAGTTTTGTTTCTGGTTCAACTGCTAGTTTAAAACTATTTTGAGAGTAATTTATTTACAGGTATACTTAAATTCTTGATAATTTCAGGCCAAGCGACTGTTAAAGCGCAGAGTGCTGAATGGGCTGGATCACATTTTAAAGGATGTTATAGCTGTTTCAGTAAGAATTCTCATTTTCTTCATTTCCTTGTATATTATAATATACATATACTGTGTTTCTAAAATAATTCATGAAATTAAGAATAGTATGTCTTAACCTTCATTTTTGAAAAAAGTTTTAATCAAATTGTCAGTATTCTAATTGTAAAAACAAATATTTCTAATACATATTGTAGATAATCAAAATAACTTTTTTTTTGCTCTTTTTATAAAAAAAAAAATTGTTGAGATTGTTTTGACAGCTAATTTCAGATTATCTTAACAATCAAGATTCAAATCCTCAATAAAGCATGTTGCTGCACAAAACTTATGTTGATGAAGCATTTCAATGAGTTTCCTTTTTTTTTAAACTTTCATCTTTAGTTACATAAATAGCTTATTAAATATTTGGTTTCACTCCACAGAATGGAAATCTTGTTCGCTTTCCATACAAGTCATTTAGCGAGACAATTAGTGTCATTATCCTTGCTCTTCTTAGAGACATTTTGGAACAAGAAAAAGGTCTGTTAAACAATGTGCCGTCAATATGTAATTTCTTGACAATAACCAGTCAAGTCAAACAGTTAGTATTTTATTGATTTTAAAATATCACATTATTTGTAAATCGGGTTTACCATATTATAGCATTTCAATACTTTAAATTAACTGGCTGTATTATTGTTTTAATGTTTTATATTCTCATCATCTCTTCTAGATTTACCTGTGGAGTTTATGAAGGAAGTTCAGGACTTTGTCAAGGGACTTTATCAGGCAGGTCAGTTTGACCTAGAGAGCAAGCCTTCAAACCATGCATTAAAGGAAAAGTTGACAGATTTCAATCCCTACCAGCTTCTGGTACACGCCAACGGAGCTTGTGTTGACCTTTTGTTTTGGTCTATTCGAGAGGAATCAGGTAAACTAGTTAAAATAGTTAACCAATGGCTAAATTCATGCAACATGTATGTGCTGTATATTAATGCACACATTTTTATTGTGATCATTTTATAAAAACACTTTTGGGTTGATGAAGTTTACCATAACTTACAAAGGATGGATACAGACATATACTTGAGCTGCCATACGTTTAAAACTCCAAGGGAGTGAATTAAAGGCCAAATCTTGAACTATCCCCAGACAATTAGCCCATTTTAACTGTACAATGTTTGTGTTTGTAGAGGCAGAAAACTTGTGTGTAAAACTAACTGAGAGAATCAGCACCAATACAGAGAGAAGGCTGTTGTTGTCGCACACACCACTTCTGTTAGCTTCATTAGAGGTAATTAACTTTTTATTAAACTACTGCTTATTCTGATAGAAGTAATTTCGTTTTTCTCTATAATTTTTTGTTTACTCAATCGGATGTAGTTTTGCATCTTTAACTTTCTGTTTGCTTAATTAGTAAAAATTTATTTTCAAGTTGGATTTAATTTTAGTAATTTAGTTTCTTCATTGATAACAAAAAGACGATAATAATTTTGATACTTAAAGTTAGTTAATTAAAATTTAATACTTTGACACTAGGTTTAAAGATTTTACTTTAATTACTTTTCAGGCACTAGGTAAAATGGCTGTAAAGTTTCCTAATTTAGCCAATGCAATGGTGGCATCTCTTCGAGATTTCCTAGTCAGTCCATCCCCCATTTTAAGTAAATTAAACAAATATGCCATCTCTGAACAAGGAGGTAAATACTCTTCCAGTGGTGGAGGAATCCGCATTACTGTCACAGATGAGGATAAAAAGGAAAGAGGGGGAGGGGTTGCCAAAGCTCCTAAAAGTTGTCTCCTAGCAACCATGGAAAATTTAAGGGACAATGCCATTCATAATATTTGCAGGTATCCCCTTGTTTTAACAATAACATTAATTTAATTATAAAATATAAGTAATCACTAGCACATTTTTAGTAGACATTCAGCACATGCTTATTCTAAAGCTACCAAATACATAAATCAAAACTACTAATTTTTGGAATGACTAATTTTGTGATCAGCAGATTACACAAGGCCAAATATTTTATTTTAATAGCTATCTCATGTTCCACTCTAAAACCAATCCTCCCCCATTAGCCCAGTAATATTACCTTATAAGTTTGATCATGTAAGTACTTGAGCATACCTAGATAGTAGTTATGTAAAAACAAAAAAGTTTTAAAACTTGGCCTACTATGATAAATTTTAGACATTCACTAGAGTTTATAAATAATTTTTAAAACTAAATTTTGATACCAACTTGCTTATAAATGAAAAAAAATAATGTACATCGTTTCTTAACAGGGCTTTACGAGCTGGCCAGCAGGTAGATGAAGAATGTGTCCCAGCATTCCTGGCCTCCATATCTAATCGTCTGTACCGTGCCGAGCTGAGCGACAGGTAAGTTAACACCTGCGGCTGTGTGTCCAGTCAAGTATGTGGCCGTCATGCATGACCTGTGCTATCTCATGTAGCATGTCCTCCATGTCACATCTTTTGAAGCATGTTCTGTTGTCATCTGGTAGCGAATGTCACATTGTCATCTCTGGGAGTTGACTGACTATTCTTGTAGCATTTTTCTCAGTATTTTTTTAAAAAAAAATAGCTTTTTTTTTTTTGCTGTTCCTTGAAGCTTTTACTCTTTGATAAATCATGTCATTTTTTTTATTCTTATACTTTTTTTTCTCAAAAACTTTCATCTTTTCTTGTTTATCTGTTTTATTTACTTATTTCTAGAAATCTGGATTTTTATTACCATGGTCAGTAAACAGGCAAAATGTTTAGGGTAATCAGCTATGCAAGTATAGAAGAGTCAGGTAGAGAGAGCCAGAACAATAAATGAAATTTATCTTATGTAATATTTTCTTACACAACATTGAACCAACAGCATTAAAGTGTTTTAAGTGTTGTTGACTTGTAATGAAATTTCTATTCATCACGCAATCATTTTTTTATAACTATTCTAAATATGCATTTGGGTTTGTTTTTTTCTTGAATTTCCAGCCACTGTAGTAAAATTAATAGTTTTAAAAAAAATTTATTGTAATTTATACAATGAATGATTTAGACTACTGCCAAAAAATTATTTGGTTAGCATGTTGCTAAGTTCATAAATTAGTGCCATTTTTAAAATTGCTAGTAAAGTCACATAAATGTATATAATCAAATGAAAGCTGACAAGTGAAATAAATCTGGCCATTAGAGGAATGTGTGGCAGGTTGGCCATTTTAAAGTAAAATTGGTCAATTTTTTGTATTGGTCATGCCATGTTGATATAATTTATTTTCTGGTCAATTTTTTGTATTGGTCATGCCATGTTAATATAATTTATTTTCTGTCTTACGTATATACGTACTTACATTGTTTCATGTCTTCATGTTTAGTTAAGGCACTGTCAGCACAATCTGCCCATGTTGTTATGATAGAAACAACAGACAGCATTCACTTGTACTATGAAAATCCATGTCAGATCTTTGAATATGAATATGTTCATTAGTGCTTAGTACAGCATCACATTTTCCTTTGCCTTAACATATTTCTTCATTCTACAGCAAACTAAGCAAAGTGTGAGTCCTTGGTCTAATCACTCTATAACATCAGCAGAAAAGTCTAATTTCATTTTTCTTCTCTTTACTACTTCAGAAAATATTTCTTTTAATGTATTCTATTTAAATATAATTTTTAATAGATTCTATGAAAAGCATTTACTTCCTTTTTTTTTAATCTATTCGTTTTAAATTATTTAATTTTTTAATTAAACTTAAATTTGAACTAGATGAAGCCATCTTTAATGAATATTTAAAAAGAAAAAAGTTAAGGTTAACATTTTTAGATTTTATGATAACTGTGTGTTAACATTTTGGTAATGAAGAATTGTGCACATAACCCAATGCTAGACACCACATGTTAATTATAAGAATATTAACACAAAAAATCAAGCAGCATCTACCCGAGATAGGCGAACAAACCCTGGTGTACATGCGCTAATGATGTTTCTACTTGTGTCTTTCCCTCCATGTTTGTCTCTCTAGGATCACCAATACCAAGTCTGCTGATACTAGGTGGCAGCAGTTGAAAATGGTTATGAAATTCATTAACCCTACAACGTCCAATTATGAGCTTGTTGATGTTCTAAGGCAATTGCTGATCATTTTTTCCTCCTAATTTTAAAAAAGAAAAAACACTGCTAACTCCCAATTGCAAAGATTTTTTACTTTTTTAGCACCTAATATTCTCCTCATGCTGTATAACGCTAGCTGTCTAACAGATGGTGTTTGTTTCTAGATAATCCACAGAAGTTGCTTTGCACTTAATATTACTGCTTTTGCTGTATTTTGATGTCGCTCAGCTTTGAATACTTTTTTTTTACCATTTTTTATTTTTATCTTGGAAAAATGAAAATAAAACTCAAATAAAACCCAATACTCCGTTACAATATTTTCTTTGTTTTAAACTTTTAAAATAGCCTTGTTTTTAATAATATGAGGTAGATAATCTGCCATGAGCAGTTTGGTTCATATTTTCTAAACAGAAGAGTAGTCAAACATTGATGATAATGTAGGTACAGACAGGTCATAGATAATTTAATAAAGGTTTTGTCATCTGTCTTTAGTGAAATATAATCTAGTGAATGCGTTATTTTAAAATGTTGTTTAAGTCCAATAAAATTAAAATAGAATAAATCAAAATAGAAATGATATTTATTTTCATCAGAGTGTGTCTACTACTTTTTGGGTATGAAACTAAAGATTCAAACATAATTATTTGGATGTTGTGATTAGTGGCGTGGGCAGGAAGGTATAGGGGGAAGGGGATCGTCGACCCCCAGAACTATAGGTGTCTGTCTCACATTTAGTTACAGCTATTGGCAACATTGTGCTTGTGTTGCTTTCAAATTAAAAAAAAATAATTTTATGTCGTCAACTTACAATTTTATATTCTAAAATCATTATGGAATGGATATATATATATATATATATATATATATATATATATATATATATATATATATATCAAAACGCAGCTCTTGATTACAAGATCCTGCCTATGCCACTGGTTAAAATTATTCCCTTGTTTGTCTTTATTAAATTAAAAATGATTTGATTACTTTCTTTTGAAAAACTATTTGTTTCAAGAGTTTATTAGTTCCAGTATTTTAAAGCTACAGTATTGTTAGATTTTGCTAGAAAGCTTTTGTAACTGCCCCTATATGCATTTTTTTTTAGAACTGTATTGGGTTAATTTTTACACTTAATACTAAGTAAAATAAATTTAGCATACATAACATAGACAGATGAAATGTATTAATTACTAATTGTAGAAACATGTATTTTTAACTATTGTAATGGCATAAAAAGCTAATTACTTTAGTCAGCTAATTAGATCTAGATGCAGGTTAGAATTTCTTTTTTAAATTTGTAACCTGTCAATGAAAATTAAAAACAATTTATGCTGAAAATAGTTTTCAAATGTAGAGAACATTTGGTAATTTAAAAAAAATTCTAAAGGAAATAGTGGCGGTGTTTACTAAAACAAATAAAAAATTTTGGCTATGTATCCATAGTTGTTTTTTTTTATTTTCACAGGCAGTCCTTAGACAATTTTTTTTTTTTTACTAACAAAACTCAACCTTAAAAATGAAATTTTAAAATAAGGTTGATGGTGTTTGGTAAGAAATCTGTATACTGCCTTCAACAAATTTTCCATCACATAGATTAGTACTCCTGAGAGCTGTCTAAGGCATTTCTTGTTTTCTTTTGTTTTTTAAAGCATGAAAACAAGGGCAGCTAGATCTGAAGAACCGTAAGAACGTCAGAATTCTGAGTTCACTTTGATTTTTCACTAATCATTTGTTCTTTTTCTAACTCAACAAATGGGGGGTCAGAACTTATAGAAGGATTTATAAATACTGTTGTTTCAGTTTCAAATTAAATTTAATATCACTACACAGTAATTTACCTTAACTTAAGGACTGCCTGTGCGAATTTTATGTTGAAATTATCAAAAAGAACAAATATGTTTTCACAGTTTATTCTGAAAAATAAAATTTATTATGCAACTTATCTTTTTTAAATATGTGAATATTGTTCATTTTATTTTAAATTTCCTTTTCTAATTACAATTTTTATTTTCGTACTAATTTACTTTCTTGTAATTTCGAGATTTTACAAATTTACACTACAAATATCCAGTGAATTTTTATTAGTGCTTTTTGTGAATATAACCTTGCTAAAGGCTTTTTTCAGGAAATACTACCAAAGTTATTTAATAAGCAGAGTTAAATTGCTTAATAAATATTATTAAAAACTTTTAATACTTAAAATAATATAAAGAAACCATTTAATATTATCTTATAATAATGTATCAATTAATAATAATAAAAACTAAATAAGATTAATTTTTCATTTAAACAATTTTCAGAATCATTACTGGCTAAACTATTTAACTTTAACTAAATAATCTAGTGATGCAGTAATTTAAGCCATTCCATGTTTAATTTAAATTCCTACTATCAGAAAATATTTGAAATAACTATTTTCTTTAATGAGATTTTAATTAATGTAAAGATGTAAATGGGAAGTAATGATTACGCTATACTTTCAAAGAAACATAACTAATCCTGCTCTGTTTGAGGAAGCATAACTCTTCTTGTGTTTGTTTTTTTCTTCAGAGAATCAAATCTCATTTCTACCAACACAATCCTGACATTAGGCCACCTGGCAGTGGTACTGAAGGACCAGCCCAAGTTGGTTGAATCTATCCTTCAAATCTTTCAACAGCGCTTCTGTTCACCTCCCTCACAGTTAGATGTTCTCATTGTTGACCAAATGGGTTGCATGGTGATGGCTGGCTGTGTAAGTATCAAGCATAACCAATGTTTTTTTTACGCCCTCATCTTACAAGATAGAATTTAAAATGAATTAGATCGTGTTGTTAAAAAGGAATTATCATAAATGTTATTATAGTCTATCTTGATATGTATTTAATTTTTTTTTACTCTGGTATTTTAGTCTAGTATCTACCACGAAGTCCTGAGTATGTTTACCCAGATCAGTGTAGAAAGTAGCTCACCTTACAATGTCAATGAAGCCAATGACAAACTACGAGGATTCAGGTAAGTGTTGCCCCTTCCCCCCCCCCCCCCCCCAGCACTATCTTAAGCTGTTATCTTTGCCATTGGTCAATGTTCAGGTACTCTAAAGGTCTTCTTCATCCTACCTTACATTAACTTCATTACTAGATTCAGGTTCTTACAATATTCAGCCATGACTCTAAGGGTATTCTATACATCCTACCATGCATTGACTTCATTACTAGATTCAGGTTCTTAAAATATTCAGCCATGACTCTAAGGGTATTCTATACATCCTACCATGCATTGACTTCATTACTAGATTCAGGTTCTTTAAACACTCAGCCTTGACTAAGGGTATTCTATGCATCCTACCTAACATTAAATTCATTACTAGATTCAGGTTCTTACAATATTCAGCCATGACTCTAAGGGTATTCTATACATTATACCTTGCATTAACTTCATTACTAGATTCAGGTTCTTTAAATATTCACCCTTGACTCTAAGGGTATTCTATACATCCAACCATGCATTGACTTTATTACTTGATTCAGGTTCTTTAAATATTCACCCTTGACTCCAGGGGTATTTTATTCCTTGAATTGAATTTATTACTAGATTCAGCCTTGACTAAGGGTATTCTATTCATTATACCTTGAATTGACTTTATTACTAGATTCAGTTTCTTTAAATATTCAGCCTTGACTAAGGGTATTCTATACATCCTACCATGCATTGACTTCATTACTAGATTAATGTTCTTTAAATATTCACCCTAGACGCTTGTGGTCCCCTCTACCTTACCATGCCAATAACTGTTTCCCTAGGTTGGTGTCACAGGCTGTCATCAATGCCTTTGCCAACATTGCAGCCAACATTCAAGGGGAAGCCGAGCAGTTGGATCTGCTCTCTCGACTCTTGGAGTTGTTTGTACAGCTAGGGCTGGATGCTAAAAGGATCAATGAAAAAATTTCTGGTCTCATGAAGGTATGGATTTAGTGATTTTAAAAGATATAAACACTTTCTTAGTTTTCTATGTTAGAGCTGTATTAAATATTCTGTATGTGCTCTGTGTTTTTGCAGGCTTCTTCTAGTGCGGGAAATTTAGGTTTACTTATTCCTGTCATTGCAGTGGTAAGTTAACTAAATATGACATGAATTATTTTTATGATAGGGGAATTAACCAAACTTGTAAATTCAACACAAAATTTTAATTCCTATATTGATTTCTTACCCAATATAATATTCTTGACTATTTAAAATATTTATTTAAAAAAATATATATATTGGATTAGGTTTCATGATTTTATTTTTAGTCACTATCAGTTTTAGGTTTAATGGCTGTTTTATTTTCCCTTAAAAGCTAATGAGAAGATTACCACCAATTAAAGAACCAAAACGACGGCTTCACAAACTGTTTCGAGACTTTTGGCAGTATTCTGTTGTCATGGGTTTTACAAATGAAAACCAAGGTACTTAGAACAAGGATTGAATTATCTTTAACTAAACTTAATTTGCTTTGACCTCCTGAGTTTTAACAAGTGCTATTTTTCTCTAGGTCTGTGGCCCACTGAGTGGTATGAGGGTGTGTGTCAAATAGCCATCAAATCCCCACTCCTCATTTCAAAAGAAAACATAAGCAAAGAACTTTTGTACAACACGGCCTTGAGAAATGATGCTGTAGCCCCAGTGAGTTACTGGTTTTTAGATTGTTTTAGAGTAAATATTTTTATTAACCCAACATCATCAGACAGACCTTAAAATAGTTTTAGAGTAAATAATGTTATTAACTCAACATCACCAGACAGACCCTAAAATAGTTTTATAGTAAATAATGTTATTAACCCAACATCACCAGACAGACCCTAAAATAGTTTTAGAGTAAGTAATGTTATACCCAACATCACCAGACAGACCCTAAAATAGTTTTAGAGTAAGTAATGTTATACCCAACATCACCAGACAGACCCTAAAATAGTTTTAGAGTAAGTAATGTTATACCCAACATCACCAGTCAGACCCTAAAATAGGACCCTCAAGGGAAGCAGAAATGAAGCTTTAAAAAACAACACTTGCCTATAAAAAGTTCAGGCAGATCACATGCGTTAAAATTTATATTTTGTTGCAATTGTTTTAATTCCCAGAATGAGCTAACTGACCTGCGTAACAGCATCTCTAATCTCCTGGACAACCCAGAAGTGACAACCCTGATCAACCGGCTCAACTTTGCCCAGTGCACTTATTTACTTTCTGTTTATAAGCTTGAAACTCTCAGGTAAAATCCTACTTTCTTTTGCATTAACTATCCTTACTGTCTCTACATCTGCGCTTTAAAAAAATTTACATCATCATATCTGATCATATTCAACACACATTTGCCGTTATATTTTATTTATTTAAATTTCTTTATACATTTTTTTACTTTTGTAATGGAAAGGAACTCTAATGTAATTTCATCATTTTTGTCAGCTTCCATATTAGGGTAATTACAGAATTATCTTCATTAGTTATTGATTGTGTTAAGCTGTGATCTTTTCATTATAAATCATGTTTGTTCTCCAGAGTCACTCATTCATCAGATCCCAATTCTGTCCATGGAATCTTCGAATACCTAGAGGATCGGTTTCTTTTCCTAGATAAATTAGGTAAAGAATTTAATTTTTAATGATTGTATGTGGTTGAGACTGCTTAGAAATTTGAAAATATTTTGGTTTAAAATGGTATGTTTTATTTTTATTTAACATTTTTTTGAAGTCACTTTATAAACTGAGATATAATTTTAGTAGCCTCCACATATTAACTGATATACAATTCTGTAATGTATGATAATGTCCCCTTGTATTTCAGACTGTAAAAATATATTTTAAAGCTTTGGCAAAAATTACTAGACCAAAATAATTAATCATCTTTAAGCTTTGATCTTTATCTGAAATTTTATAAGAAAGATGATAAACAAGGTTAAAATAATTAAAATACAGTTTTGTTTTGCATTTCACTGCTTGTAGATCTGATTGTACTAAATAATTCTGACTTGGCTTAATTTAAAAAAAAAAATAATTTCTAGGCATGTGGCAGTGTGTAGCAGCTGTAGCTGAGAAAACATTTGACAAATACATGGATGAGCTAGATGCAAAGGTGAGTTTACCTCTCACACACTTTATTTTAAGACATTTTTTTTGACTATAATTTTTTGGTTCATATTTTAAAATTTTTGCAGCCAAAAACAGAAGAGAAAGAAAAACAAATTGAAGCTCACGCCCAGTTCCTGTTGGTCAAGTTTAACCACACCTACAAGCGAGTCAGGATGACAGCCGACAAGTTCATCTCCAAATTTGTCAGCAGGTCAGATGTCAACTGCTTGCCTGATGTTGTCGTACGCAGTCTCACTGCTTGATGCTAAAGATTAGCTAGTAATGCAATATATCCATCAATGAAAAGGACATTCTTTTCTCTTACAATTTTTGTCCCTGCTATCCTTAAACAGATTGTTTTTTGTTTTTTTTTGGAATTTTATTTTTATTAGAAAAAAAACAACATGAAGTATTAATTAATTAATTGACATACCTGTCTCCTAGTAAAAAATTCAAATGGATTTCTTATGTTGTTTCTTATCTTTATCTTGGCTGGCAAATAATTTATGTTTTTTATATCAACTTAGCTTTAAGCATTTATTTTAGTCCAATGAAAAAATACCTCCATTATTTCTTTTAGATTTCCACATTTCCTTTGGAGTGGCAAAGTTTTGAAAGCCATGCTGGACATCCTACAAGTTGTCTGTGCTGCCTTAGACCTGGTAAAATGCTTTGCACTCAAATTCTTGTTTTATTTATATCAACCTTGTTAGGATGTATGTTATTTATTGTTAAAAAAGATGTTCATTAAATTATATCATATTTTGCTTAGGACCCCCATGAAGATGCTCCAGAGATACAAATTCCTGACACCCCTTACAAACTTCGGATAATGGAAAATCTGAATTCCAGAGATGTAAGGAACACTTAAAATAACTTATCATCAAGTCAAGTCAAGTAAAAAGTTTATCTGCTGATTATGTAGCATAGATTAATATATTCAATGTGCTTTAACATATTTCCTTTGTCTGTGGATTGCAGCAAGTAGTGAAAGACTTCTCTGCCCGTAGTTCGACCATCCTGCAAGAATCCATGAAGTGGGCCCCCAACGCTGTGAGGTCTCACCTCATTGAGTATGTGCTGCAGATGAACACGGAGGCCAAGGGCTTGTTGATGCACAGCGGTCTGGCCATGGCCACAGAGAGCGTCCTCAACTATGCTGGGTACAAGAGCAGAGAAGGTGTAGCAACTTTGGTAGGCAGCGCTGCTCATATGTTAACACTTGTAGGCTTGGGTTGATTACAGTTTTAGTTTACTTGGGTCAGTTATAATAATTTTAGTTTGACTGTTTACAATTTACAACTTTTGTAGGCCTGGATTATTTATATATATATATATATTTTTAGGCTTTGGTTATTTACAACCTTAGTAGGTTATTTGCAATTTTAGTAAGTTTGGGTTATTCAAGTTTACAAGTTTGCTCCCATGTTGTTTATTTTTTTCATTTTAAAAGCAATTTAAAGCATGAAAAGAAAGTTTTTGTACAAAGATTCTAGCCTTATTACCGCCTTCTAAAATTAGTAATTTAAGAATTCAAAATATATAACAATTCTTTTCTCTCATTTTAAGCCTGCATCACTAGACAGACGGCCAAGTTGTGTACATTCAGAAAGTTCCAGTTTTATGGCTAATCTGAGCATTAGATCTCGATACCTAGGAGAGGTAAACCTTTTTGAAACTACTTTCTTAAATTACACACTGTCAATATTCATATATGCGGATATCTCACCTTATTATTACACTGATATAAATAACTTTTGTAATAGGTTGATTCAAATTACAAAAATTAAAATAAAATTTGCACTAATTTTCCTAAAGAATACAAAAAATTTCTTAAAATCTGATTTTATTTAAATGAAAAATAGAAAGGGTAAGCATAAAAATAGAGAATATAACTTTTCAAAACTCTGTAATAGGAGATGGTAAAATTTACTTAATTAAGTTTGTGTAAGTAAACAAATTTATCTGGCAGGTGAATGGCATGCTGGACATGTGTGAAGACTGGGCCACAATTGAAGAGAAGATGTGTGAAAAGTTACATAACGCTTATCTTAATGGGGGTCTGCTTTAATTTTTCTCTTTAAATCTGTTTGTTTGTTTGTTGTTTTTTTTTTTTTTCATGTTGTATTGTTGGGGATTAAACATGCCAGATTTTAAACCCCCTACAAGTTAAAGCAAACTAAAATTATGGAATCTTTTATTGATAAAAAAATTAAAACAAGAAGTAAAATAAAAATGGGAAAAATAAATACTAATCTCATAATCTAACGGAGAATTTATGAAGTTTTATTTTAAATATTGGTCTTGCAGTTGTTTATTAGATATGTTGAAACTGATGTAATATAATATAGTTTTCTCAGACATTTTTTTTTGTAAGAACTAAGTGGTTTGATGTTATCTTTACTTTATAGGTATTTTGTTGTCTCAATTTTAGATGTGGCTGTGGCTAAAGTGTCCATGCTGAGAATCACTGCTCTACAGATCAAAAGACCAGGTGAATAGTGAATTGTAGGATACCACGCTACTGCATGTTGGCAGTAAAACATAACACTACATGCCAGAGAACTTCAGATGTTCATAAAATATTTATTTAAGTAAAAGATTTAAGTGATAATTAGTAATAAATTAAGTTTTTTTCTCATTCTATTATTTGTTTAAATTTCTTGTACATAAATAGGTTGACCTTATGTTTTTTTTCATTGATGCTCTTGTGTGTCTTCTGAAGATGGTGTTTTAACTCTTTTTAAGTGAAGTCATTTTGTGTTTCAGGCATAAGTCACCACCTCCTTCAAGCAATCTGTTGGGGCCCTGTCAAGCTCTTTAATGTCGAGGTTATGGAAGTTGTAATCATGTGTTGGGAGTGGATGCTCTCTGCCAGGCCAGAATTTACTCTAGAGGTAAAATTTATAAGTTGTAAGAAGTTTGATTTCTCTAACTGGAGATTGTCTAAGCTTCACCTAAGCTCATGACGTGTCCTGCTAACAAGTTAGGAACTGAAAGCAGTGTCTAACTTTGTAGAACCCTTGCACCAATAGAGTTTTTAGTGGTGTATTATGGGGTGTGTTTCCTGTTTCAGTTCCTTTGTTTGATGGCATCAGCCTGGCAAGTGTGTGCTGATATGAAGCTGGGGATATTTGCTCCAGACCAGCCCAGGGCTGACCCCTTGGCAAAAGCAGAGGATCAGAGACTGGCACCTAATCCCCCGGTGGTTGGACCCCACAACCTGTGGACTAAGGTTAGTTTTTATTATTTAATTATATTTTTTTATTGTTTTATTAAGGGGCAGAATGGTTGGGTGGTAGAGCGCATGACTGCCAACCCAAAAACCAAGAGTTTGGTTCCTGTATTGGAATTTGTAGTGTCCGTGGATCAAGTCTACTGACTCAAGTTAGGGAAAGTATAAATGGTTTGGTATAGTACTGACCACATTATTCCTTTATATGAAGACGTCACAGAAACAGGTGAACTCTAGTTCATCTGCCCATTAATTATCTAGTCTGAAAGGGTAACTTTTTTTTTACATTAATTTTTTTCTCTACTTGGAGCAACTTGTACCACACACCCTTTGGACTTTTTTCTTATATAGTTTGAGAAGGTTAATGATTATAGGAGCATTTTTTAAAAAATGGCCCTAGTTTATCCTGAGTTGGTGGTTTATCCTATCTGTTGGTGGTTTATCCAGAGTTGGTGGTTTATCCTGAGTTGGTGCTTTTCCTGAGTTGGTGGGTTATCCTGTCTGTTGGTGGGTTATTCTGAGTTGGTGGTTTATCCTGAGTTGGTGGTTTATCCTGAGTTGGTGGTTTACCCTATCTGTTGGTGCTTTTTCCTGAGTTGGTGGTTTATCCTGAGTTGGTGGTTTATCCTGTCTGTTGGTGGGTTATCCTGTCTGTTTGTATTTTACTCTGGTTTGTCTCTGTCTCCAGTTCTTACAAGAGAGGGTCGAGATATCCAAGTACAGCGACTCTGCACAAATACAGATTTTTCTAACCCTGCTCAACAAATCCTTGTCAGTCACTGTTGGTAAAAGGCCTTCAATTATCTCTCGTCACACTGCGGCTATTGGACCAAGATATAGGTACAGTAGTCAATTATGTAGATCCAAAATGTATTACTTGTTCAGAACTAATATGGGAGTAATGTTGATTGAAATATTCAAAAAATAAATTAAGAAACTGCTAGAGCAAACACTTCAGTATTGAATTTTTCTCTCCCCCCACAGGCTTCTGTCAATGGGATTGTCCCTGCTGCAAGGAGATATCCTTCCCAACACACCAGCTAAAACTGTGCTCAGAGAAAGGGTCTATTCAGCAACTTTAGATTTCTTTTGGTAAGTAGAAACTGTATCGTTGTGTCATGGACACCACAGAGTAGCAGAAAATTATTTTTAAATGAGTTTGTTGTTTTTATTCAGAAAGTTGGACATTATCTAGTAGGCCCTTGCTTATAAGGTAAATTTTTTAATGATTTGGCAGCATTTAGTTTTTTCTTTTGGCTGAAGTTTGTTGACTTGCTGCCATTAGTTGACTTAAGTTTGTTGACTTGCTGCCATTAGTTGACTGACGTTTGTTGACTTGCTGCCATTAGTTGACTTTAATTTGTTGACTTGCTGCCATTAGTTGACTTAAGTTTGTTGACTTGCTGCCATTAGTTGACTTTAATTTGTTGACTTGCTGCCATTAGTTGACTTTAATTTGTTGACTTGCTGCCATTAGTTGACTTAAGTTTGTTGACTTGCTGCCATTAGTTGACTTTAATTTGTTGACTTGCTGCCATTAGTTGACTTAAGTGATCAGAACTTGTTTCTCCTGCAGTGGTCCTCCCATCTGGCCGTCACAACAACCAAGTGAACTGAGAGAGGACATCAACTTGCTCATCTCCTACTGGCAGAAAATGCATTACGACAAGAAGCATTTGTCATCTAACATGGTATCATTAGGTCTGGCCTATTCCATAATTAGTATTCTTTACATTATAATATTCTAAGAGTAGAAAATTTTCCATCCTAGTAAAATGACTTTTTATATTCTTTAATAAATTTTATATTGTGATTCTGCATTTCTTTTGTATATTTTAAGAATGCATTATATATTTTCAAGTATTTAAAAATTTTTTTTTTTTTTACAAACAGCCAACCTGATTAAAAGGCCACAGTGCCTGCTATTATGGAACCATTATAAACCAAAATTTCATTTTATTAATTTTAATTTTGCAGCATTCTGTGGTTTCATGTCGTCATGTGCACATTTTATTTCAGCCGGCGCCATGGACTCATCCTCCCCGCCTGCGGTCATCTCCTCCACTGGTCAGCAGGACCTGCGCCTACAGACCGGGTGGATGAACACCCTCAGCAACACGTCCACCTACTCCAAGCGCTCAGTGGGTGAGTCCTGTTTCATTCATTCATTCATTCATTCATTCATTGTCTGTGGGCTGAGTGACTCTGGTGCCATCACCATAATAATGCCAGTCACCCGTCCATCTGTTTACCTTTACTATTCATTTAACACAATAACTTGTGCTGTTTTCATGACATGGTACATTATCTACAACCTCATTGATTAAGTTAGGTTATTCTATAACTTCATTAATCAATTTAGGTTATTATTCTATAAATTTAATAAGTAACTTAAAGTAGTTTCACGTGTGAAGGTGCTAGAACCATTGGATCACGCCCATAAGTTTCATAGAAGCAGTTATTATTCCCTAAATCTAATGCATAGTTTAATGTGGAGACCCAGTGAGTTTTATAGTTACAGCCCTCAATCTTTACACCTGATAACGTTCTTTAAACCTGATAGTGTAATGTGTGAAGACCCAGGTAGTGGCACATGTCCATAATTTTCTTTGTGTTCCAGATTTGCTCGCTCCTAGCTATAGTGGTAACTACCTTAGTTCAGTGCATTGCATTTCATTTTTCTAAGTTGACTTAAGGGATTTTTTTTTTAATACCATTGTCATTGTGTGACTGTTAACATTGAAATTTAGAGGAAAAAAAATATTATTTCAGTTTTACTTCATTTCTTTTCATCAACTAGTTTTTAATGATTTTTTTAACATTTGATTCAGTTGTAATTAATCCTAGTAAATAAACTAAAAGCATCTTAGTTAACTAGAGTACAAAACTGATCTTTTGCTCAAACCATAAGACATGCATGTCCTCGCGAAGGTCTTCCATAAATGACTTTATGCAATTAAAGCTGATTTCTTCCCCCCCCCCTCCCCACTGTCTTTACAAAGTTTAACACCCTCTTCTAAATAATCTTAATTCAAGCTTAGGTGAACATGTTTATCATAATAAAGTACCTTTCCCTTCCCCCATAACAAAATTCACAACCCCTTCCTTAGGTGTATGATGTCATTTATGGATAGCCCAATTCCAAATAATGACCATGTACATAATATTAATATACTATTAATAAAAAATAGAGAAATAATTATCCTTGTTATAGATACTCTAGTACATTTACAATTTGGACATTGAAAAAATTCAATTTCACATAAATATTTTAAAATCTGTATTAATTAACTCTATAGCTAATTATAATATGTTTTTGATTAACCTAAGTCTAACATGTTGATTAAAATATGTTTTTGATTAACTTGAATCTTATAAGTAGAGGAAATATATTTTTATGATATTAGTCTTTAACGTAATCTAAAGTAGAAATTTTCTTGAAAGTTAGTCTTGTAAGTAAACTAGGTGAATGATGGCAGTCACACAGTGAGAGGGGCCAATGCCACCCCATCCAAAACCTTGCTTTAAACTTTATACACAACACTAAAGGGCGCATCTGGCTGATCCATCCTACTCTGCTTTCAGCTTACAGTGACTATGATTTGGGCGAGACACTTAAAGGTTTTTCCTTCTACCTGCATGTCACTCTTTCATTACACTGCCTGGTTATGGGTTGTAGGTTTTTTAGTTGACTAGCTCCACCCAGGTTTTATTGTAGACAGTTACACCTTTTTATTTTTAAAACACTGTAACCAGTTGATTGATTTCTTTGAAATTTGACTTGAATGTGAGAGGTATGTAATTAGGGATAGAGGTATGCGTCTGTCAAATGCATGCGTGATCACCTTGGTATGGTCAAGGGCATGTGCTGGTTTTAAAATTGAGCACAGTGATGATAAGTTTAAGTTATTAGTTTTTTTTATTTCGTTTAGTGAATTTTAGTAGTTTGGAAGTGTTAGAATTGTGATGATCATGTATTTATAGATGTGAATGAAAGCATAAAATGTTCACTTTGAAGCCGTGGTGTTTACACAGTTTTGGCATGAGTCTTTTGATTGTTGACAGGGGTGGTAAAACTCAGTTTACAACTTAGAAAACTGTTTATACTGTGATACTTAATAAGTTATATTGTTTTTCACAGTTTAAATTTATTTTTAAAAAAATATAAGTCATACTTGGAAAACTTACAGGTGTTCAAAAATAAATTCAACTAAATCAATAAACTCTTATCAGTAGTAGTAAATATACTAAGGGAGTTAATCCATTTTTAAAAAATTGTCCAATAATGCAAAGAGCATGAATGTTAGCATTTATCCTGAGGTAGTTGTAGATATAGTTCATCTTGAACATTGTAACTGTATACCTTGTAAATTTGAGATGCTAGGGACTGAATGTGTCATGCTTGAAAAAATAAACAGTTCTCACTACTATGTCATTAGGTCTCACTCAAGGCCTGTATCACAACTTTAACCTGATCTTAAACTAACCTGTGCTGTAACCTTAATCTTAACCAGTAGAAAAGACATTGTCATTTAGATAAGAACACACAAAAAACTGACTCAATGAAGAGTTTTAAAGTGGTTTTGTTAAAGGTACAGCATGTGTTAACTGTGTTAGTGTTTGTGTTTGACAATTTCAACTGTTACCTACCAACAGTTGGAGGGAGTGGTCACAGGTCATCCATTGTATATGGAATTCATGGACATTTTGAAACCAAAGAAGTCATAATTGGCAAGTATTACCTCCCCTGTGCATGGGACTTCTGCTATGAACTGGCCACCAACTAATCTAATGTGCTTGAAGGCTGAGGTTGAGTGTGGGTCATGGCTTGATGGTGTGTTTCCATATTTTCACCGATGGGTTTACTTATGAGGACTAGTAATTAACTAATTAACTAATTGTGTTTGTAGCAGTGCAGATAACCACTAAGTCCTGCTCATTTTGGTGTTCATAATTAGACCCACAAAATGATTGGCTAACTGCTGTAAAAAATAAAATGTTGTCAAGGCTATGCTGCTGGTTTGAGCTTGTTTGCTTACTGTGTGTGTAGTGTGTTGCCTGGTCAGTAGAGAAGCACACAACAGACTGAAGCATGCTTGAGAATGGGAAATCTAATGTTGTGTTTCATGGACTAACTATGTGCTCATGTAAATCATTTAATATCATTGTAATTGTTTTTCCTGTTTCTCTGTTCTTGGAAAAATTATATATTTGCAAATGGCATCTTTTGAAAGTATTGTTCACTTGATCATATTTTTATTTTTCTATGTGTTAGAGCACACTTGATCTTTGTTTATATGGTCTGCCTGAAATTGTATAATAAGTAAAACAAGTTAATAAAAAGTCTAGTGACAATTTAAGCGCAATTTCCTTAATTAATTTTTTTAAAAATGTGAAAAAATGATTAGGCCTAGCGAAACAAAACCTTGTAATTGTAACTCCCTATCACTCTCATATAAATTATAAATAAATTAATAGGGTACAAAAATAACGTTTGAATTAATAAGTAAAAAAAAAGACAACTATATTAACCTATATCAACGGAAATAGTTTTATTTTAACGAGTAGGCCTACAAGATGCTCAGTTTAAAAAAGTAGTAAATATCAACCTAGGCCTACACGATGCTCAGTTTAAATGTTCTTAATTAATTTTTTGTGACCGAACGAAAGGATATTTTTGAAAACTTTCTTCGGCAATATTGGTCTAAATTATGGCAGGAATCGATTGGTAAATGTTTCAAGTCGCTAAGTGGTCTGGTTGCCGAGATATGGAGCAAAAACTGCATTTGTTCGAGGCTTTTTGGCTTTTCCGGGAAATCCAGGAAGGAATTCCGGGAATTTTTTTGGCCTATGTTCATCCTCGGAACTTGCTTAACATATTTGCTTTTGGAACTAGTCCTCGATATTGCTTCGTTGAGGAGGAGATACGACTTAAAGGCTGCGGACACACATCCATCCAGAAACGACTAGTTAATAATCGCAATCCCAGTATGGAAATTGCGCTAAAAAAAGTTACGACCAATATTTAAATTTTTTTTATTTTAACCATTAATTTATTTTATTGACTTGTTTGATTATATCCACTTGTGAATTAAGATTAATAACTATGTGAACTCGTGGTTTGATAATCAGTACTCATAAGTCAATCATTAATTAATTAAGTAGTTAAGTAACAAAAAGTCATTTCCTTCAACAAGCAGTAAAACCTTTAGTAGATTTTCTTATATTAATCAATATACTACTATATATATATACTCTAGTTTTCTTCTTACCTATTGTTATACATATTTTTTTAAGATATAAAAAATGTTTTTCTGTATATTGGTGTTGGATTAGCAGTTGTAGCTGTTGTTCGTTAGTAGAGGCCACAAGTTATATATGCCTACATTTTTTGACAATTTTGTATACAAGAACACGGTAACATGTTATAGTATGTGACAGATTGTGTACATAAATGCACTGATTTCTTTTAAATATTTTGAGGGACTTGCCAAAAATGGGGGGGGGAGAGATTATTGTTTATTGTTGTTTTCTTACAAACTACTTATAGACTTTCTCAGATTTCTAACAATTATAATGATCAACCTAATCTTGCTTTTGAACCCTTTGCTACTGTATGTATGTAGGCTTACAAATACAGCATTACTTCACTATCCAATGTTTTTTAATTGGTCAAAACAGTGTGCTCTATTTATATGTATTTTCTATTATTGGTGGCTTTTTCAAATATTTATTTCCTGTTTATTTATAAACCTATTTCTGGCTGGTGAATACTTTTTGTGTACTTTATACTTGTCTGTTCTAAGCAGTTGATATTTTTCATACTGTACTCCATGTCTCATTTCTAGTCATATTTTTTTAAAATCACATTACAAATTTATTGTTGTATTCTTTTTAGATTTATTACCAAATATTATTACATGCATGTTTAGGTTTTTAGACTGCATGTTCTATTGTGTATTACGTAGATTTTGACACTGCTCTGTAAAAGTACTATACAGTTAACTCACATATAAGATGTACATTATTTTTTAAGTACAACACTGACAAAGTTTGAAAATTGTGAATAGTACTACATCCATTTTTCATTGTAACTTGATACTTATTTAGCACTAGTGAGATTTTTTTTTTTTTTTTTTTTTTTTAGCTTTCAGCTTTCAAGCTATGCTAGTTAAAATATTTCTATAATATAATAGGTCACATTTTTATTATGTCGACTAAAATTTTTTAATGTCTTGAATGCAGGAACCAGTAGGAAGGGGCAGGTGAATGAAAACAGTTTGGTCAAAGATTACATCAGGAAGAGAAATATTATTTTATGTCTTGTGGTAAGTGGCTGTTTTTGTTATTTTTGTTTTACATAGTATCAGTCATTATGTTACACATAGTATCAATCATTATTTTACACATAGTATCAGACATCTTGTTACACATAGTAACAGTAACCTTATTACACATAGTATTAGTCATATAAATTATCAGTCATTTTGCTACACATATCTTGAGACTTCATTGCCTTTGTGTGTCCTACAGGCTTATATAATTATCAAAATTTCCTTTCTGTAGGCCAACACAATTGACACACAAATTCTTTCTTTAGGCCAACACAATTGACACACTAATTCTTTCTTTAGGCCAACACAATTGACACACTAATTCTTTCTTTAGGCCAACACAATTGACACACTAATTCTTTCTTTAGGCCAACACAATTGACACACTAATTCTTTCTTTAGGCCAACACAATTGACACACAAATTCTTTCTTTAGGCCAACACAATTAACACACAAATTCTTTCTTTAGGCCAACACAATTGACACACAAATTCTTTCTTTAGGCCAACACTATTGACACCCTGATCACCATACACAACCCGCTGGAGCTGGCGGAACAGAAGTTGCAGGATGAGGAGTTGATCTACACCTGGGCCAGACACAACCTGACAGACAGACAATGGAGGGACATAGCCAACTATTCCTGGGAGCTCTCCCCCACCTTGGCTGTCTACCTACCATTCAGGTAACAACCTACCTGCCATAGCATGTTCTTATGTATCTGATTCTTATGGATTAGAACACATAGTCAATAACAGAAATTGTCCATAGGGTGGTTAAGGTAGAGCTAATCTGTTGCTTTGGTCATAGCAAGTGAGTGGGTTGTGTGGGAGATATATGTACAGCCACCATTACACATTTGATAATGATATGGTAGCATGTTGGGTTAAGGTTTTGTTTAGTTTTGGTGTATTATAACCACTCATACTAGTTATATGAGTATGTAGGTTTGGCTAGTTGTCTGTTGTCATATATTTTCAACAGAACAATAATGCTAAGATCAATTATAGTGTAGTTACTTACTTTATTCAATCTTCCCTTTTTGTTACTAAATTTAGAAACTGATACTCTGAAAAAGGAAGTAGCTCTCCTTTTATCTGTTACTATATATAGAAACATACTTTGAAATGGGGAAATAACTCATCTTTTGTTTGTTACCAGATTCAGAAACTGTGATACTTTGAAAAGGGAAGCAACTCGCCTTGTTTCGCTGAACCCAGAGAGTGTGTCCCACATTCCAGAAGCCATCAGTTTTCTTGTCACAGCCAACAGTGTGGAGGCAGACACACCAGAGGTACAGGACAACTTGTATTGTATTAGAGGGTGTAGACTTGTTGAGGCAGACACACCTGAGGTATAGGTCAACTTGTATTGTATTAGAGGGTGTAGACTTGTTGAGGCAGACACACCTGAGGTACAGGACAACTTGTATTGTATTTGAGGGTGTAGACTTGTTGAGGCAGACACACCTGAGGTATAGGTCAACTTGTATTGTATTTGAGGGTGTAGACTTGTTGAGGCAGACACACCTGAGGTATAGGTCAACTTGTATTGTATTAGAGGGTGTAGACTTGTTGATTGTTTCACAGGGCAATCTTACACCTGAGGTATAGGACAACAAATTTTATTAGAGGCTGTAGACTTGTTGAGGCAGACACACCTGAGGTATAGGTCAATTTGAATCTTATTAGAGGGTGTAGACTCCTTGATTGTTTCACAGTGGAATCTTACATCTTCTATCCACAACTGTCCCACATAATCATCCACCCTCTATCCACAGCTGTCCCACATAATCATCCACCCTCTATCCACAGCTGTCCCACATAATCATCCATCCTCTATCCACAGCTTCCCACATAATCATCCATCCTGTATCCACAGCTGTCCCACATAATCATCCATCCTCTATCCACATCTGTCCCACATAATCATCCATCCTGTATCCACAGCTGTCCCACATAATCATCCATCCTCTATCCACAGCTGTCCCACATAATCATCCATCCTCTATCCACAGCTTCCCACATAATCATCCAACATGTATCCACAGCTGTCCCACATAATCATCCAACCTCTATCCACAGCTTCCCACATAATCATCCATCCTCTATCCACAGCTGTCCCACATAATCATCCAACCTCTATCCACAGCTTCCCACATAATCATCCAACCTCTATCCGCAGCTGTCCCACATAATCATCCATCCTCTATCCACAGCTGTCCCACATAATCATCCAACCTCTATCCACAGCTTCCCACATAATCATCCAACCTCTATCCACAGCTGTCCCACATAATGACCTGGGAGAAAGTCTCACCTGTGTTGGCCTTGTCCTACTTCTCCAGACAGTACCCGCCCCACCCCCTCACAGCACAGTACGCCATCAGAGTTCTGAGAGCCCAGCCTTCAGTAAGTCAGTGTGTTCAACATTTTTACCAGCGCTGTATTCATTTACTTTGCAAATATTTAACTCATCCAACAACAAGTCAGTGTGATATTAATTCTCTAACCTTTGTTTCTCTTCTTCAAATATTAAACTCATCCAATAACAAGTCAGTGTGATATTAATTTTCTAACCTTTGTTTCTCTTCTGCAGGAAGTTTTGTTGTTCTACATACCACAAATTGTGCAAGCCTTGCGCTATGATCCTGTAAGTCACATATATTTATTCAGTCTTAGTCTGACTAGCAAGCATAGAATGGTTTGGTTTGTTACAAGGATAGGTTAGGTTATAGCTTAATTGGACTACTGTCTTCTACAGATGGGGTATGTTAGTGAGTTTATCCTGTGGGCAGCCAAGAAGTCCCAACTTCTGGCCCACCAGTTTCTGTGGAACATGAAGACAAATATCTACCATGATGAAGAAGCTACAATGAAAGATGGTAAAACTAACAGCTTTTTATTTAAGTTATGCTAATATAAATAGATCTATGTATCAAACCAAGTTCACTTGTAATAAAAACATTTAAAAAGTCAACAATATAGTATTGGAAGCATAAGGGATTTGAGCAGCATATGGAAGTCACTGTAATTCTCTTTTAATGATTGACTAAAGAATAAAATACATTTCTTTTGTTGTGTTTCCCAGAATTTATTGGTGAAAAACTGGAGGAAATGGAAAAGAAAATTAAACAACAATTATCTGGGACTGCTCTAAAATTTTATGAAAGAGAATTTGATTTCTTCACCAAAATTACTGATATCTCTGGCATAATTAGGTAAATAGCTAGACAGTGGATGATTGTTGTAGTACTTCTGTTTATGGGGTTGATCATTGTTGGCTGTATGTACAATTTTCAGACCTTTCCCTAAAGGGAGAGAACGCAAACAAGCCTGTCTGGATGCTCTTTCTAAAGTACAACTACAACATGGGTGTTACCTCCCTTCTAACCCAGAGGCCATTGTGTTGGAGATAGATTACTCATCAGGAACTCCTATGCAAAGGTAACTCTGTTCTTGTAAATTGTTTGCATCCCCCTAACATTGTTTAACTTAACTGGTTTATAATGCCAAAGAAATTATGATTTTCAACACTTAATACAGTCTATAAAAGAAAGGTACATTGCATTAGTACTTTGAAACCCCATTATAAATTAAATCAAAACAGTGGCATTAATTTTTTTTTTGTGTATTTGTTTATTTCCGTGCTTGTTTCACTTATGTCTTTTGGTATGCTACAATCTGCAATTTCATCTTGTCTTATCAACCACCTTTACTTTCCCAACATGAGTTAGGTTCCCATTAGAGCTGAGTGGACTCAGCAAAGTCCCGCACACTTGAGCCTGTGATCTCTTCATGTCTGTGGTCTCCCAGTCCTAGAAATATTTTTTTCAGTACAAATACAAATTTCATTAAAATTAAAATACAATTATAGTTGCTCAACATCAAGACACCTAAGTCCACCCAGCTCTGGTGGGTTCCTGAATCATGTTAAGGAAAGAAAAGGTGGATGGGCATAGATTTGACAAAACTATTCTTCACATGTCGATGTCAGAGACATATGAGAGCTCTAATTAAGTTGCCTGAAAAATATCTTTACTTTTCTTTTTTTTTCTATAATCAAGACAAAAAATTTTGACCTGTCATTTTTGTTATCTTTCATTAGTGCTGCCAAGGCTCCGTTCCTGGCCAGATTTAAAGTCCAACACTGTGGCATCAATGGCCTTGAAAGGTTGGCCTCCTCTGAGACAATGACCAGTTTGGCCATAGAGAAGAAGATCATGTCCGAGGGTTCAGGTGTGGACAGTGCTAAGGCTGTGCTACAGATCCACTGGCAGGCTTGTATCTTCAAGGTTGGGGACGATGTCAGACAGGTGAGCTCAAGTTTTTAACCAATCAGCACACTGGCTTTTTTTTACTCACATCCAAAGCCTAGGCAAGTTTAAAATACTCACATCATGTGTCCAAGTCAAGTTGATTATTATCTTGATCAACCTACCGTGAAATAAATATTTTCAATATTTCAATAATGAGTCCAAAAAACAATTTTTTAATTTACTTTACTGATTCCATTCTTGTTTGTTATCCATTTAATTTCAAATTTTAATTTCAAACTTCCCTGAATTTCTTGGCTCATCTCAAGTTTGTGTTTTTTCTACATTATGTTTTCAGGACATGCTGGCTTTACAGGTGATAGAAATGTTCCGCAACATTTTTGAGCAAGCCGGGTTAAAGTTATACCTGGCCCCATACAGAGTGGTAGCCACAGCACCAGGGGTGAGAATCTTTGTCTTCCTGCCTCGCATTAGTTGATGCGAGTTCATTCACATCATTTTTTGTTTGCTTCTGTATTTCAAAGAGTTGACACGTTTTTACATGTTGATAGATGAGGTGGTAAAAGCAATAGTTTGAGCATTAAAAAAAAATTACTATTTTTTATCCTTCTAAATCTAATAACAAATATCTTTTTAAATTTACAGTTTCTAAATCTAATGCTTATAAACATTTTTTTTTATTTGTGTTTTTTTTTTTCAGTGTGGAGTAATAGAATGTGTTCCCAACAGCAAATCCAGAGACCAAATTGGTCGGCAGACTGACATCACACTGTTTGAATATTTCTTGGCCACGTTTGGGGATGAGCAGTCTCCAGCTTTCCAGGAGGTAATGGAGAATGCACTGGTTTTTTTACAATTGTACATTTTGCAATGAGTCATAAGGATACTATGATTTTTAGAAAACAATGTGATTTAATTTGTTGTAACAGAGAAATTGTACTGTTCTGATCATGTAGGAGAACATAAAGAGGCGTCTATAAAGGCATCTATGCCTCTGAACTTGAAATTAAAAGTGAATTTCTTTTTTCAGGCACGTCACAATTTTGTGGTGTCCATGGCTGCGTACAGTATAGTCAGCTTCCTGCTTCAAATCAAGGACAGGCATAACGGCAACATTATGATCAATACAACAGGACATATTATACATATTGGTGGGTCTTCTTGTTTGGTCCATTTAGAAATCTCAACAACTTAGTTAAAATTATTGTATTTTCTATTTACTTTAACAAAACATATGCTTTTACTAAATAATTTCTAAAATGTATTGTATTTGAGATCTAAATAAATGTTTAAGGATGGAGCAACTAATGGGTCTATTTCACTCTTATCAGCAATGTTTTCTATACTAATTAGTAGGTTAACAAAATTAATAGGATAAAAGACATTTGTATCTGAACACGTTCAGTATGTTGAGAACTTTCTCTTTCAGATTTTGGCTTCATGTTTGAAAGTTCACCTGGAGGAAATCTTGGCTGGGAACCAGACATTAAACTAACAGAAGAAATGTTTCGAGTTATGGGAGGGGCAATGGATGCTCCCCCTTTCCAGTGGTTTATGGAACTTTGTGTGCAGGGATTTTTGGCTGTCAGGTCTGTTGATAGAGAATTCTTTCATGGCATTTGTTTTAAATGTTTTAATTTTAATACCCAGTTATACCTCATATGGTGTAATTACTTATTGCCTGTTTTAATCATGTTTTATAGCTAAAGGACCCTTGAAATCTGATGGTCAAAAGGAGTAGAGTTTATCTGTTTCTGTTGCATTGTAATACTACAACTTGACCAAGCTACCCCTAAAACATTTCTATCTATTTTTTATCCATATGTAACAATAGTTAATTTCTCTTTCAAACATGATAGTCCACGGAACAAAAGTTGAGTTCACCTGTTTCTGTGACTTCGGCACATGAAGGGATAGTGTAGTCAGCACTATGCCTAGTCACCTTTACTTTCCCTAACATGAGTTAGGTACTCATCAGAGCTGCTTGGGCTCTGGGACGTTCTTTCTTGAACCCAGATTTGAAATCAAGACTTTTGGGTTAGCACTCTAGCGCTCTACTTATAGGCCACGCTGTCCCTCAGTGTGAGGGGGGATAAACAACAACCACCCAGATGTGTGAGTGGGGTGATGAAGATAATACCAGCCTGGTTATAGTTTGGAATTAACAAAGTCGTATCCAAAAGATAAATGTCCTTTATTAAACAATCAAATTAATTCCCTACCTAACTAGCCTATTCTATACCCTCTACTTCTACTGTCTACCGTTTCCTAGATCTATCTATCTGACCGTTTCTATCTCACGATCTACCTCTAATTCTCTACCTAACTCTGACCGCTCTCTTCACTAATTATCATCTGTTACCTAGCCCTACACATCTCGACCGTCTCTAACACCTAACATCAAGTCCGCCGCTGATCTCACTACTAGCCCACGCCTCAGTGGTCAGCTGACTGTCCCATGTGACCGGTCAGCTCCTGTACGTCCATTGGTCTCTCTACCCAACTATCTATAGTCTGTTTCAGCTAACCTCTATCTACTTGACCTAAACTAGCGTCATCACACTCAGACACAGTGTTCTGTGGTGGCAAAAATTATGCCTCACCTATCAAGCTTTGCTACACTAATCATGGTATTTCTTTTCCTCTCCAGACCCTACCAGGATGCAATCATCTCCTTGGTATCTCTCATGTTGGATACAAGGTTGCCTTGTTTTAGAGGTCAGACAATCAAACTTCTCCGCGCAAGATTTGCACCCCAGGCCAGTGAGAGAGAGGCGGCAAACTTTATGTTAAAAGTTGTACGAGACAGTTGTCTCAACTGGCGTGGTAAAACTTATGACATGTTGCAATACTATCAGAACCAAATTCCTTACTAGAATATCTATAAAAACATTGCATTTATTTATTTTTGTTAAACATATTTTAAGTTTTATGAATGTTGATCAAATTTATTTATTTTTGAGGTCAATTGCAATTTTATTGTATAGAGTATTATTTTATAAGAGCATTGTAAAATTATAGATGGATCAATAAAGGTGAAAAACATTAATAAATTAAAATAATTTAGTACAACGATCAAAATGTTTAGTATAAATTACAGAGATATTTCAAAATAATTGTATTTTTTTCAAAACTCAGTTTCACTTTTATATTTTTAATGATAATTAATCTTGAAACTACAAATCAAAAAGTAAGTGTAAGTTGCTAAAAATACTCCGCCTATAGTTCAAATATATTTTTTTCCAATCTGTGATAGACCTATTCATGGTTGTACTACTTGTTTTAAAGTGAGTTCATATTGGGGTATATTTATCAAAACAGCTGACATTAGGGTAAATTACCCTGTCAATAAGCTGACATAGAAGTAAATTACCCTGTCAATTGAGTTTACTTACCCTATAGGTATATAATATGGCATTTAACTTAAGGAATTAGCAATGTACAACTACTCAACTAATATTTTGTTCAGTCAGGTTTTTTAATGTTTTTTTTAATGGTATGATTTTTTCTACTGTTATTTTTTTTCTACTTAAATGTTGGCGAAGACTACCTAGACAATAACAGTTTATACGTTTGTTTAGCCTACTGATTATACAGTCAAACATTATTTGAATAGTCCAGCAGTTTATAATTATTAAATTGTTTGGACAGTCTGTGTACTCATTCAATGTTCCTTTAAAGATTTAATAGACAGCAAAATCAGTTGTTTTTTTAATATGTTGAAATTTCAAAGTTTGTGAGAGCTCTGTTTCCTTAAACTAGTAGTGAAATGGGAAAAAAGGTATGTTAGGTATGTAACTTAAACTGTTTGGTTTATTACTTTTGCTGTTGAGGTTTTCAACAGGGCATTATATAACTAGCTTTAAAGTGTATGTAGATAACACAATGTTTTATATGTCATCATATGAAGAAGTGCCATAATAACTGGAATTTCTTGAATTTCTTTAAATTTAAAGTTGTGCCAAATGGTTGTTAGTGAATAACTGGATTCTCTTTTGCATGACATTTGTAGCGTACACTTTCTATCTTAGATTAGGGTTTAATTTGTTTTGTTTCCTCTTGTGTATGTCCATGGTTCTAACAGAGATACATGAGAAGGACACAGGGAAATGTTGGTTGTGCATTAGCCGGGCTGCAACACACTTCTTGGCTATGACCAAAACATTGTTGTGACTTGATTTTAAGTGGGTTGTTTAACATTAAGCTAATAGTTGTCTCCCTGCTTATCATGTATTTCTTTGGCTTGGTGCTATCGTACTGAATGTAGAGAAAAATCAACCATGTTTGCTTCAAAAAAACCTTTATGGAAATCCAATTTTTAAAAAAAGTTGTAATACCATAACAACATATGTATAATTATACAATACATTTTATTAGAGCCAATGAAGCTGTTTGAGAATTTTAAGGTCTGTCAGTTAAGAGTTAATTCTGCACTGTGATATACCCTGTCCAGTCTGCTGTTTAAAAAATATATAAAATATTACTATGTTATATATTTGCTTATCATTTATCCATTCACCCTAACCCTGTAGAAGTAATTTGTAGAATATTATGCTTTTATTTTATTTATTTTTTGTTTGTCCTTTGAGTAATGTTTTTATACATTCCTCTCTGCTAAAAGCAAATAGTTGGGCTCATTATTTTATTTTTGTTATACATTTTTAAACTCCTATTTGTTTTTGTTTTTTCAAGTGTGAGATATTTATTGCATTTATGTTTTGTAAGTTCAATATTTTTTGCATTTATGTTTTGTAATATAAAAAAATATAAAAATAAAAATTCATTCCGTTTATTTATTTTGAACTGTTTGTTTGTATACAGTAGTCAAAAGAGTTATCTCCTATTTTGAAAATTTATTATAACCTTTTAAATTAAAATAAAGTACCCCTGTTTATAAACAATCATAAATCTACATAAATAATGTTTTAAAATGTGGGACATCATCCATAAGCTATTTAATTAAACTAGGCAAAAAAATATACTTAAGAAAGTGTTAATGTTGATAATCTTTGGGCTCACAGTTAAGTAGTCTTGTTAAAGAATGAACTCAAGACATTAAGAGTGTGTGTCTGGTCATTTGTTTAGATATAGGAGTGAATAGAGGGAGTGTAGAGGTAATCAGAAAGTGAGTGCTAGTTTTTTTTTTGTGATTCATTCGTCCACGTGTCAAGTTTGAAATAAATCGGACTGCTAGAAGTGACCGAAATTTTGCTTGTCAGTTTTGATCCATGAATAAGACAAAAGAAAGTCAGAGGAATCAAGCTGGTAAAAACTTGACTACTTTTTTTTGTTTCTACCTATTTTGTGATTAGTGTTTAAAAGTGGTGAGGCTTTGTAGGCTTACGAGTATGTACTAGATCTAGTCTAGAGGGAATAAGAGTTCGTGGCCCTAAAAATGGTTACGTTTTTCTCATGGAATTCTTAGCACATACAACACTGTTATGTGGAACTCACAATTTGGTCATGTAAAATGCCCGGTTTTTCTGGGAATGGCATAGGGCATAGGCGGATGTGGGGGTGACTTGATGGGGACTGACCCCCCCCCCCCCCCCCCACACACACACACACACACACAAAGTCTAACGACCTTGTTCCCGTCGTGGCATTCTAAAATCTAACTGAGCGCTTCCACGGCCATCAGATAGGGGAAATTTCCATCAGATTGGAAAGTTTGAATAAATGGTTCCTTGAAAAAGTGCAACGGAAAAATGCGCAAATTCATTATAGTAAAACCTTTTCATTTGGTCATAGATATGTATCGTGGTAAAAGGTTTTATCATGCCAATTTGGCTGACCGATAGAAAAATCGCGGACACTTGATAATTTTGTAGATGACGAATTCTACGTGCTGCCCCCCCCCCCCCCCCCAAATAAATAAGAGTGAAGTCGATCATAAAATAGAATTTAGCAGTAATGAGTAAGTCAGTTTATGTGTTTTGTCACTGTTCGATGTATTGATTTGTTACTTTTTTTGTTAGGCTGTCATCCTAACCGTACGGCGCTGTAGATGGTAATCGTAACGGGTTTTAAATGTTCTAAATAACTATAAAGAAAACTGTTGGTCACTATATTAATATTATCTATTGAATACCTTTACAAAATACTAAAATTTAATGAGGCAACCCACTCGTTTTATTATATAAAGTTATTTAAATAGTGGTGTATTGTTATTTTCTTCTTTTTGGTGCATAATTGAATTAGACCTATATAAAAGCTTTGACTATTATTAAAACATTTTGTTTATGAATGAATGAATTTTTTTTTTAACTAAAAGCCAATGAGGAAAAACTGCACAAAATATGACAAAAGGATTTTAATTTGCGCTAGAGGTTTTTTTATTAGATTCTAGCTTTTACGGAAGAAAATATTTTTGCTGTGGATCTAGACTAGGCCCTATTATTTTATATTTTATTAGTGTTTTACATTTATTTCAATGTAGGTCTACAAGGCGATTGACGCTGAGAAACACATGGAGCATCAAAGCTAGTCTATATTTTTAACTGCTAATTCTCAAAACAATTCGCCTTCAGTCACAGAACTTACTACGACTAACTACGAGGCCTACAGTACTACTGGATCTAGATTCTACTAACTATTGGTTTAGTTAACATGTACATTATCTAGATCTTCTATTAATAATTATCATTATTAACTATTCAACCTCTCTGGATTTCTCACTAAATTTATTAGTTCGACCCTCAGTCTATTAAAAAAATAAAAATAACTCAGGCTGTGAGTGTGAAAGAAATGAGCCCTGAGTGAGTGAGCTCCCAGTCAGTAGTGAGTAGTCACAGGCCTCTCTCTAGTCTCTATCTATACTATACTCTATACTATAGCATTCTCTATAATAAATAATAAATTAAATAATATAATATTTTATATTGTATTATGACTAGACTGTTTTATATATCTGTCACTAACAGAGCCCCCCCCCCCCCCCCGAAGAAAGTCAGTCCGCCCCCATCCCCAGAAAATTTAGGTTGCTTTAGAAGATCATACTGACTAAAGGACAGGTAGACCCATCTTCTATAATCTAGATCAGTTTCCTACTTTTAGCCACTATATTTTCTAAATAAATTCTAATGTGTTGGGGGGGGGGGAGGCTTAACCCGTACCCATAGAGATGCCTGAAAGAAACTCTGCACTCAAACCACTTATAGGCGGTAGTATTATCGAGTATAGATGACATTATTATTGTGTAATTTTTTGGCAAAGGCTTTTTTATTCAATGTTTTCTCTAGAATCAATGACGTCATATTATTCTGTGTACTTTTCCAGCTTTAGAATATATCCTATATGGCATATATGGTCCATGTGACGTCACGTTTTGTTTTTCGTTTGGCTGTGAAAGTTTTTACTTTCCTTGTGTTTTCTCTATAGTGTTCCCAACAGATAGATAGAGTGAGAGAATAGTGAAACTATTATTATAGATACTACATATGTAATTGACAATTGTATATCCATGTAGTATATGATTTGTTAATATTTTTATGAGAAATTAGTTAGAGGTAGTGATTATTGTACACCGGGTAAAGTAGCATTAATTATATTTGTTTTTGAAAAACATTTCAGACTTTGCTATGAATAGTTATGAACCACATGATGACTATCCAGCTATTGTTATTGACAATGGATCCAGCACCTGTAGAGTTGGATTAGCTGGAAGTGATGCACCTCTTTCTGTATTTCCTAGCCTGATTGGCAAAAGAAAGCAGAAATTAGGTAGGCTATATACATATATATCTCCTCTTAGTTGGCCTTGTAAGTAAATGAGTTAGATAATGATGGGTTTGAGAAAAGGGTAATAGAAATTTTGCTTGGTATAATTTTTTAACAAGTTGACCTTCAAATGGCCAAACTCCACTTTTAAAAAATGTTCTCAATTTTGTTTTCCTTAACATCTTTATTAATAACTTACATTAAAGTTTTGTATAATAATAGTGAAACATATGGCCACGAAATTTTTTGTCATGTTGTCTTGGTGGATTTAGAATGCAACGTTTTATAAAACTTATGGATTTAATACAGTCTGGTTGTATTAAAGCGATACATATATATATACTAGCTTATACCCATGCATCGCTACAGATTTCCATTCTCCACTTCCCTGTGGTGTAATTTAAACCACAGACGAACACGTTTCCCCTGGCTTCCACGCCCAGGGAGAGCCCTCCCCATGCATGAAACGCTTGACTTGCACCACCCCACCTGCAAAGACAAAGTTGCTATACAGATGACACAGACTGACACACAGCCTGGCCACTTATAGATATAGATATAATTTTTAATATATATATATATATATATATAATTATATAAATTATAATCCCCATAGGTGTGGACAGACATTATGTTGGAGATGAAGCCCAGGACAAAAGAGAACTTTTAAATCTCAGTTACCCACAGGAACATGGTATCATAGTCAACTGGGAGGACATGCAGAGGGTCTGGGATCATGCCTTCTTCACAGAGCTCAGAGTCTCACCTGAACAACAACCTATTCTTATCAGCGAGTCGCCATTAAATCCTAAGGGCAATAGAGAAAAGATGGCACAGGTGAGGTCAACGTGGTTATACTATAGTTTTTTGTGTGGTTATACTATAGTTTTGCTGACCACACCATTCTTTCTTGTGCCTAAGTCAAGAATTATAAGAGCTATGCTTCATCTGCCTGATTGATCATTAGGTCAGAAAGAGGAACTTCACTCTAACAATGTTTATTATTACGTGTTAAGTGGTAAAGAGGTGTTAAACTGATAACATAAGAGACCTAAATTTGAATTACTGTTAAGAGTGGTTCAGTTTTATGGGACCTCCAATTAAATGGGCATTTACTTATGTAATTTGATGTGAAGGATGGTTAGGTCATGAGATAATAAATTCTCCTTTGTGTCCACAAAACTCTCTTATCTGTATAAACATGTGTTATTTTGATTAACATATCTTAGCACATCAAAAGTTATTAAATTGTATTTTGTTTGTATTTTATCAGTAATGATGGCTTTCAATTTTTTTCCTAAAGGTCATGTTTGAGGTTTACAACACCCCAGCATTCCACATAGCTTTTGAGCCATTGCTGAGTCTCTATTCAGCTGGTCGAGTCACTGGCACCATTGTGAGCTCTGGCGACGGCGTCACTTTTACTGCCCCTATTTTCGAAGGTTCAGCCCCACATCATTGCATACTGCGTTCTGACTTTGCTGGCCGCGATTTGACTCTTTACCTACAACACCTGCTGTATAAAAAAGGTTACTCTTTTACAACTTCGTCAGAGCTGGAGACAGTGAAAGATATTAAAGAGGAAGCGTGTTATATTTTAAATAAAAGCAGCACTAAATCCTTATCCTCTTTAAAACCAAAGACTTTCAAGCTGCCTGACGGTACACCAATTCAGTTGGACCAGGAACAGTATATGTGCCCAGAAATTTTATTTAAACCAGATAAAGTGTTTAACACTGGAGAAGGTCTACCTACTATGGTTTATAACTGTATAAGCAGCTGTGATATCCATATGAGAAAAGAATTGTATAGCTTTGTTGTTTTAACCGGGGGTACAACTTTTATCCCTGGATTTTCTGAGAGATTACAGAGAGAGCTGCAAGCTGTGACTCCGACAGCACTGACTTCAGTGCGAGTGGTGGCCATGCCCGAGAGAAAGTACCATGTGTGGATAGGGGGATCCCTGCAAGCCTCTTTGACTACTTTTAACCAGATGTGGATTACTAGAAAGGAATACAATGAGTACGGTCCCAACATTGTACACAGAAGATGTTCATGAAACTTTTAGAGAACTAAAAATGTGTTAGGAAAGCTTTCATGTAATGTTTATTGTCTTACTGAATAGCATTGTCATCTTTATTAGCCAGTGTAAAGAATTATGATCTGGGTAAAGAAAGTGTAACCCCCCCCCTAATATATACTTTACCAGAGTCGTGGTTCCCCCCCCCCCCCCCCCCCCAGAAAGAAACTCTGCATACTACTTCATGAGCCAGCAGTAAGCTGCAATTTTATATTGAATACCTTGTACATTTTAAAACGTACAAACATTTATAGAGATGATAGTTGACAGAACTGTTTATATATTTATAAGCTCGTCAAACAGATGACTAAAATGAAATTGTTTCAAATAAAGTGTTTTATTGTGATACCTCCTTATCTTTACAACTGATTAAATAATGCCAATATTTAAAATACAGATGAACCATGTAAATAAAAATTACATTTACATATTATGTACATTAACATAATTTTACATTAAAAATTTATTTTTTACAATCATTGAATTTTTTTACTTTCATATGACAAAAAAAAAACAAGGAATGTCACAATTTATACAATCACACAGCACAATAAAACCATTTTTAAGATGGAAAATAAGTAAAACAATAGTTCAATCTTCCTTAATTGTGGTTAGCTAAACATGGAACTAATCTTGTTTTCAAGATTAAATTACCTTAGACAACTTGAACATGAATTAACATGACTCACGAATCAGTCATATTATTTATAGTCACAGTGCTTGTTCAACAATTTTTCTTAATAGGTCTACCAATAGATGTTAATACTTTAATTAAGCTCATATTTTGATACTCTACATTTTTAATAAATACCCAACTATATTCTCTGAGAAAACCTAACTTTTTTTGTGAGTGCTCTTACACATTTTATTTTTATTTATTTAATTTGTTCATATGGTATAGCGGAGCAGGAAGTAGAGGTCAACAAAGAAGACAACTAATCCGACAATAAGCCCTGACATCATTTGCTGAAAATAAAAAAAAAAGAATACATTTACTTGTTAATAATAGGCAATCAATACTCAACTAGCCTGCTTAAATTGAATTTCTGTAGGAATAAATTAGAAAGTAAAACAAAATGACTTATATCAGTTTTAACTATTACATTTCTGGTCAAATAAAGCTTTTACTTTGGTAATATGATTATAAGCATCCTGCTTTACAAATATGTTGACTAAACTCAGGACAATCAGTTGTATCATCCAACTGTAAAAATGTGACTTCTAAAATCCTTAGTAATATACCAACAATATATTGGATACTAATGTGAAACACTACTGGGTAAAGTGGTCACAACAAGAGACACTGGACCAAGCTTACTACACCAGCAAAAAACACTGGATTAAGCATACACCACTAAATAGGCTTTCAACACAAATTACTTTTTACTCAACTCACCATAGCAAGTGTATGACCAAACATATACTCAGTACTTTTATATCCAAATGCAAATCCAGCAACAACAGTGAGAAAGAAGTTAAAAACTGTGATCAACTGTTTGTTCAAAGATTTTACTGAAGAAAAATCAATGTTAACTTTATAAATTAGAGAAAGACACAACTGTATTAATTATTTAATTATTTAAATTTTTAGTATTTGTATTAAACACATCTTTATTTTTTTTAACTTAACTGTTAAATAAATTACTTGATTTTTTAATGAAATTACAACTATCCATTCAATTTTAAGTTTCTAATTTATAAGTTTTATTTTGAAATTATCATCTGACTGTCTTTAATTAATGATTTTATATAACTATTTCTTTCCTATTTAAAAGAATCCATTTATATCATCAAAAAAGGTATTTACCTTCTTCTTGAAATGTAAAATTTTCATGGGACTGAAAAAACACAATGTAAAGCACTGAACAAAAAATGTTTTATTGAAGAACGCAAAAAAATATTTTTTAATAATTTAATAACTGTATTATATTGATTATATTTTTAAAAAATTGTTCAAAAGGAGAGACTATATAAATTCTCCAACTATGAAGTTATAAAATCTCACCTTGGGTCCAAGATTGCGTGTCATCCTTTTGTACTCCCTGTTTTCTTCCAATATTTTCAGTTTATTAATCCTTGCCTCAAGTACAGGGTTCTGCAATTTTTATAACAAGCATGAGCTTATAGGCATACATACTGTATTTTATATTTTCAATTAAAAAACTGCAACTAATCCAGATGATATAAACAATATATTGAGAACAAAAGATTGCAAAATACTGGGTAACATACCCTAGGTGGTAAACTGATGGACTGGGGTATAAGGAGAGCATCTTCAACTATTTCATGCAGAAATACTTTGTGCCCTTTGGGAAAAATGAAAATAGCAGAATATATTAATAATTTGAAACATTTTATTGTTAATTTTTAAACTGTACTCAGAACATTGAGAAACAAATGTAAAATACCCTAGTTTTAGATCTGGCTAATTTCTTTGACCAAAACTTTTAGGGGATTGTGTGGTTGCACTGCACCAAGCCACATTTACATTCTCAACTAAACAGGTACACATTAAGAGTAGGTGGACATTCTACAGTTTAAGACTTTTGAGTTAGTAATCAAATTAACAGACTTAACCTCACCATACAACTTTATTAAGAAACAACAAACAGGAAAAAACTCATTATAGTTGACTGCTTTCTAGACAAATATTTCAGAGTTTAATTATAATGAATGGGTACAATTTCTTAGTGTCAAGATTAGTTATTTGCCTACATTATACCAACCTTCATTCCTTAGTGTGTTGTAGATTTCTCGCACCATTTTTGTTGATATTACTGCTTTATCACTTTCAAGAATTTTCTCATACTCATTTTTGGCCTCTAATGTTGTAGATGCACACTTAATAACTTGTTGTAATGTTTTTCTGATATTTAATGTCACTAGCAATTCTGGGAAATTACATGGCTTTTCTTCCATTTTTCCAATAGAACAAGGACTATCGGCCTAAACTATTAGCTAATACTGTCTGTTAATACCTAGTCACTACTGTCACTGCTTCTTTCAGTTCAACATCACCATCCATTCACTAGATCCAGTCGATCTTATTTTTAGTATCTAAGACAAAGTAATAAGTATTAGTAATTAGTAGGCATTAGGTCAGAGGTTTAGTCTTTACTCTAAAAAAACTTTGTGTTAATAATAAAATAATGATAATACTTAGGCGTAGGTTGTAGCATTTGGACAAAGGGAGATAATTATACAAAAACCTGTCAAGAGCTCTTGACTGATATTTCAAATTTTGTTTTCACTGCGGTCTTATAAAATTTAAATTAATATCATGTTAATTTCAATACATGAAGCAACCACATTATCAAAATCTTAATCTACTGAGGTTCAGCTATAACCTGGTGTAATAATTTAAATTTACTTTTCATTTTTCAATTTGTCTTTAAAAAAATTATTTGAAAACAATATTGAATATAGGCCTACCTATGTGCTCTAAATCAACTTTATTTTAATATATTAACATTTGCCTGCACAAAAAACTAATCGGTGGTTCTTATTTTTATAAAGAAATTGTGATTTAATTTTAAAAATACATTTTTTTATGAATTTTTAAAGATTCAAACTTTCATCTGCCATGTTTTCTCTGATCTAGCTAGTAGCTAAGCTAGGCCTAGGGCCTAATAATTTTATTAGGCCCTAATTAATTAGTTTAGGCCTATAGAATAGATCTAAATTTCATCGATATTTATTCGACATCACCATATTAATTTTAATATTTTTTAAAATATCATCATGTGACTCAGACTTAGTCACTGACTGACTGGATTTCAAGGGGAAAAAACAAGGTAATCTATCGTTTTGGGTACGTAAAATCGCTCGCGGCTATTAATGTACGAAAACGTTACCTCATTATCAAGGCTGTAATAGAAGTATATTGTGATATGTTTGTGTCAAATATTATAGATAAATGAATAATAAACCTAAATCAATGGCTAAATATATCAATATAGGCCAGAAATTAACTTTAAACAGCAGTGTCTGCAAGCAAGATTTGCTATATAAACAGCAGCCATTTGTAAAATAGAGTGACTCCCGCCTGAATCTCACGCTTGAAGTCTATAAAAATAAAACTTTAACAAGATGGCTACTATAGTAAATGAGCATGGTTGTATCTGTTGGAAACATCGCTGGTGTTCATTTATTACTGAAAAGTTTTAATTCAATTGAATAAAAACAGGTACTTAAATGAAACAAGGAAACATTTTTGTATTTTTCAAAACATAAATCCTCCTCAAAATGTGAAAGAATTATTAAAATTTAAGGAGTCACCTGGTTTTCACATTACAAGTCGCGGGCGATTTTACGTACCCAAAACGATAGATTACCAAAAACAAAGATTGGAAACAATTCCTTTCCTAGATCTGCAAGCAAAGAATGAAAATAAAATTCGAAAGAGAGAATGTATGCAACGGTAATAGGGTTTATTTCGAAAAGTTGCTTATAATCTATTAGGCTAAATCTAATTATGATAGATCTGACACAATTCTAGACCAGTTACCAGTGAAGTAGATCTAGATCTAAAGACAAAGTTTTGTTTACACAGGAAGACGAATGATCACTGGTGTTCAGCTACACTAAACACCGAAAATAAACGAACCGATACACCTGTACTGTTATCGTAAAAAGAAGCTATCCTTTCAAAGTATCTGAAACAAATTTCGAGTTGCTTATTGAGTGACTGATAGTGCAATACAGAAATATGACAGTTTTTATTACTAGCTACTCCTGTAGCATGTCCGACACCCAGCCCTCGAAGACTAATAAAAAATATATTTTATATAGATCTAGATCTAGATTTAGAAAATAAATAGCTTTTAATGCAGCTGTTTGAATTTGGCGTTGTCTCCCATCGAGCCTCATCTGCTCTTTTTATTTTTTCATTTTCATCCTCACAATTTTACTTTAAATATAATAAAGAAGTCCAAATAATTTTTATAACCGTCAGATAGCCTACCTAATAATCTTTGACATTTGACGGGGTGGGTGTAGGGGTGGGGGGTTAAGAGCTCAAGATAGGTTACATGTCGCAGATGTGGTTTATGTCCGGGGTGTAGGTTACGGTCAGTGTTTCTTCCAGACTTTTTTCTCCGGGGGGGGGGGGGGCACTTGAAATTTTCGGGGGGGGGGGGGATAGACTTTCTTCAGGGGGGGGGTAAACTTTCTTCAGGGGCCCCCCCCCCTCCCCCGAAGAGATGCCTGGAAGAAACTCTGGTCTATGTCTAGTGGGCTTTGTCGATTGATTGGGGCGATAATTTGCGTTCTTCTTCATACCCTGAGTGTCTTGTGCCGATTTTGTTTACACTATCCGGACGTCTGAAGCAATATAAGCGTCTCTGCTGATCCATTGAATCGGCAACTATCTTATTAAGTTGTCCTCCAACGAAGATATTTAGGCATACATGCAATGATTTCGAATGACAGCGACCACTTCGCCCATTTGCTGTTATGACAAATGTAAGCACACAGAGACACTGCCTATCGGTAATCATATTGCTAACAATAAATTGCAAAATAAGTCAATATAAGATCAGCTCGGGCAGTACGAGACTAGAAGATCCGTGTGGTGTTATCAGGATAGTTGTAATGTTGGTCGGCAAGAAATTCACCGCAGCCACCCCCCCCCCCCCCACGCACATTGTTTGAATGTCATAGGAGACATTAAATGATTATTAGTTAGCTTCTTAATGTGATTAAGCTCCTTGAATCAAGCAACTCATTTTCAAGTTAAAAGGCTTTTTAAAAAGTTAAAATTATAAATTAGGCTAAATATTATATTATTTAATAAATCAAACATTGAAAATATTGCATTCGATTAGTATTTGTAGTAAAAAAAAAAGTTTAGCTGAAATTAAATTATTTTAATTTTCAAAAGAGCGCTAGCCTAGGCCTAAATGAGTTCCTCTGATGGAAACAGGACAGATTGTAGTTAAAAGGATTTCATATTCAAAATGGCTGCTTCATTGTGGTGGGATGAACCGGAGACGACGACTAAACCAGATCAACAGAGCTCAACAGATGATCTGTTGGTGTTTGGCTACGCTTGTAAATTATTTCGCGATGACGAAAAAGCAAAAGATATCGATAAAGGCAAACTTCTTATTCCTTGGATGGGTGATGAAAGACTCATGATTGACAGGTCTGTGCTCAGGCAGTTCAACATTTCATAAACAAAGGTTTCGTTTCGTAATCTATCGCGGCTGAAATATTCGCGTAATGACATTCTCTTGCTTTTCAGCCTTTTTATAGTTTTATAATTAATATTGGCCAAACGCCTGCTTGGTGTATGATGAGAATAACCACGCAGTTTCCTTCAACCTTGAACTAAGTTCAAATGCTCAGTCATGCTGCTTGCCACTGCCCACTGCTTGGATGTAATTTGGTGGACATTGATTTGAACAAAAAGCCTTGGAAATTTAATATCTAGAATTGAGATCTACTCCAGTCTGAATCTTCTATAGTCTCTATACACTAGTCTATAGAATTTAGGCCTAGATCCATAACTGTATTGGCCCTATATAGGCCTATTTATATTTATTAGGCCTACTAAATCTATAACTGACATTCTTCTATTATTAGAATCTAGCTGTAGACTGGAGGCCCTATTCATTTTTTTTAGATTTTAGGCTAATGCTAGTGTTCAGTTAGTCTAGATCTAAAGTTTAATTTTGTTAAAATAAAATGATAAAGCACCTTGTACTTATATATAATAGATCTAGCCTATATCTTTTGCTCAACGTTTTTTTTTTAATAATTGCTCACTTTTTAAATGTAAGGGATAGACTCACCCAGTTCTTTTTAATTAGATTTTGAATATGTTTTTGTCAATAGTTCCATTTTAAATAGGCCCACAAAATGAATAAAACATTTTGTAATTTGTTGTTTATAAAAGCAATAGTGCTGTTTTTATGAACAAGTTTTTAGACTGTCTTAGCTTTGTAATAAGATCTAGTCATTTAATGAATTTTTTGTTCTTTCTGCTAAATAAGAAGCTTCCTCAATCTTTTGATATCTGACAACAGTAGCAAATCATAAGTTCCAGAAATAAATTTAAAATGCCAGTTTCTGTGTTATGAAGAGCTACGACTAGATGACCTCAACCACCTCTTCATGTTCTTGTCAAAGGATCAGTGCCGCCACATCTTGTATTTGTTGATAAATGAATCAGTTTCAGGAAATATATTTTTTTGGGCATTGTGGATTAGAAGGTGTTCTTTCAGGTGAATGCTGGAGGTTGACCAGAAGATCTAGCATGACACGGATGGGTATGCTTTCAAAACACCACATCATTTGGTATTTTAAAAATAGGTTTGCATTTAATGATTAGTAGAATTTTTTTTTATTTTAATAATTTTAAGATGTCAATTAAATTGTTAAATTATTTATGCTATTATGAAATTTTTTTATATTATTGATGATTACATTTTCTAGCAGGCTGGAGTGTTAAGGTGGGTCATTGCAAAGAGAATATATTTTTATTTTATTTAGAATAACAAATCACAGAAGTTATCAGTCTTTACTTTTGCTTGGCACAGATATGATGGCCGTGGGCATTTATACGACCTTGCTGCACATGACTCAGAGAAGATAGAGGATAAAAATCCAGCTCTTACTGAAGAGGAGGAAGCTATAGAGAAAGCTTGTGAGGAGGAAAGGTACCTAGAGCTGCATACAGATTTACGGGAAGCACAAATATATGAAGGTTAGTATTAAATTTCAGTAAGGTTATTGTTATCATAAAACAGTTTTTTTAAAATAAGTTTTTTTAGATGCAGACATGATGATATAATATTCTGTAGTATATACAGTAATATACAGTATTTTAAAAGTAAATGATTTTCTTTTTCTCATAGAGGAAGAATGGAAAAGGTATTATTTATCACTGCAAGAGGGATACAAGGCTGTTGGTTTTAGCTATGATGAACAGTATTCAGAGGGGCAAGAACAGGCTTTATACACAGGTTATTTTCCTGCTACACTGTTAGGAATTTCTCTTTTATTTAATAAATATATTAAATATTAGCTTTATAAGTTGACATACAGTACTAATTAAATCTATAAACATCTCACATTTTATCATAAGTTTTAAAGATTTGTTTGATTTCAATTTTTTGTAGAACCTGTTAAAGAAGAAGATGACAAACCATTTGTTCCATCTGAAGAACTTCAACTTCCTTCAGACATTCAGCTTGTAGGTGTATTTTTTTTTATTGGTACAGCTTATCTTTTTAGTTTTAATTGAACATTGTTGACATTTTTTACTTGTAATACCAATTACTTATTACATCTTTTACATTTACTCATCTTTTAGCCAAAATGCGGCAAGCATAATGCCCGTATTGAGAAAACAGCCAATTTTATTGCTCAACATGGCATTCAGATGGAGATAATGCTAAAAACTAAACAAGCAGGCAATCCACAATTTGACTTTTTACATTTTGAGAATGAGCTCAACCCCTATTACAAACATGTACTTGGTATGATAAAATCTGGCAAGTACAAACCAACAGAAGAAGAGGAGGATATTAAAAAAGGTTTGCCACTGTGTATTTCACTGCTTCATAGGCATTATTTAGTTGTAACTTTTGCTAGTCCTTTGTTTGAATATGTTTTATAGTTTTAAGCTTAAGACATCTGTTACAAAGACAAATGCTACAATTTACTTAAAATTTAATTTAATGCAAATAAAAATTGGAATATTTATTTTTATTTACAGAGGAGGAGAATAATCACAGCTACCTTCATCCTTCTTTGTCTTCTTTGTCTTCAGTGACACAGTTACCTCCCCCTCCCCCTCCAGTAAGTTTTTTAAGCAGATCAATTATATCATTATGATTAAACACATATTTAAAGAACTAAAGTGACTGCAAGATTTTTTATAGATTAAATAACAAATGTTACATGATGTATTGTAATGCTGTTGTATTTGTTTGTTGTTTTAATACTGAATTTTTTTCATTTTGATTTTATGTTTTAAGAACCTAGAATTAAAGCTTATGTTCAAACAAGTTGTACTATTTCAAATTAAAACATACTTTTTTTTTCTTAAATTTTAAGATTTTTTTAAAGTAAACTTTTGTTGTAGATTGACATGTTAATCAAGAATAATTACAATACTCAAAAACAACTAGTATATCAGTATACAACAAATACATTTGTATGTGGTGTTAAAACAAGAGACTTGTTCCATTCTAATATATAAATTGTTGCATTTGATATTAGGTTTAATTATTTTTTTAATATAAAATGTCAGGCCAAAATTCTAAAGCATGTTGTTTTTGCTTTATCTTGCTATGGTTTACTTCTGTCAATAACAATGCTATACTATTTATACCTGTAAGGTTAAAAAAAATGTAACCAATTTCCACAGCCTTCTAAACCTATAGAGCTGCCTAAAGTATCCATACATGACACACCATATGGGGCTTTAGTCAAGTCCATCAGACAAAACACAGAAACGTAAGTTTCAGTTGTAGAATTTTTTACTCAATCATTTATTCAGTAATATTTGTATTTACTCTTAATTACCTGGCCAGTAAAATTGAAATGCTATTTATCATAAAAAAAGAGATCACTACTTTAGGTCAGTAGGCCAATATGTTTTAACTTAATTGAGTTTGATATATTTAATTATAATGTTTTTTTGTTTATAGTTTGTTGGTAGACCCTTCTTTATGTCTTTTAGTATTGGAAAAACAAACAATACTGTTTTTTTTTTCAGATCCCGTCTTGCTGCACAAAGTATGCATACCAACAATACCCACTATCCCCATGTGTCTGAATATCAGTCTTATTATCACAACCCCCCACCACCTGGTACAGAGCCAGTGACTTTACCTATTGTCAGCTCTCTGAATGGTCAAGAATTTGTGAATCAGCTGTACAGAACAGAAGAAAATAATGGTGATAGCGTCAAAAAAAGGAAAAAAAGATCTTCTAGTTCTGATAGCTCTGGCTCATCCAGTTCGTCCTCTAGCAGTTCTCCCTCCACACAAAAGAAACGGTATTTTTAAGTTTGTCATTATCTCAGAAATTTTTATTTTCAAAGTTATTACACATGTTGAAAACAAAGTGATAAAATTTAAAAAACTGCATTATTGCTGACATTATACCTCAAAAACTTTTCATCTTATTATCAATTTCCTTTTTTTATTTTTTACACAAAAAAATACTACACATTTTTTAACATTTGTCATGTTATTTCTTCATAAAGACACTTTTTGTTTACATTCATTATACTATTATTTCAGTAAATCTAATGGACCAAAGAAGGCAGAAGGTCCTTGTCAGATTGTAACACCACCACCTGATGTACAACCTATTGTTGACAGAATGGCCATGTATGTTGCTAAAAATGGTGCAGAATTTGAAATGGTGGTAATGAATAGGAAGGACCCAAGATTTCAGTTTCTCAATGAATTCCATGCTCACTATCCATATTATAAGTTAAAAAAAGAAAGGTTCATGAAGGTGAATAATTTATTTTAACATACCTGTAAAATAGTTTTTCAACAATTTATGTACATCAATAGTTTAGGAGCTATTTATTGAGATTAATGAAAACAAAATAAATTTGCTTTACAGGAGTTGGGTAAAACAATAACTGAAAGGGGTGATACCCAGGAGGATAAAGCAAGTCAAAATCTTCAACGAAGTGTCAGTTTTTCTATAAAAGCCCGACCAAAAGAGCAAGAGAGTAGTCAGCAGCCAGGGAAACCATGGTTGTTTGAATATGACAGTAGTGAAGGTAGGTTTTAACTTTCTTCATACTGTCAGATGATTTAATATATATAAATGTTGCTTTTTTTAAAAGTGGCAACAAATCCCTAAAAATTATAAAGTGACACAGATTATTATTTTTTTGTGTATAAACAAAAGACCCAATATCGCATGCTACTGGGGCAGTTTTTTTTATTGCAAAATCTTAATTTTTTTATAATTTTTAGGAGATGAGGAAAAACCTCGGGATCCTACTTCAGAGACATTGTCTGGCTCAGCAACACCAACAGCTAAAGTGTATCAGGATGAAGACACACAAAAAGAAAGTAATACACTTTAACTTACATTGTTTGAATAACAAATAAATACCTTTACAATCAACAAGTAAAGCCTTTTAGCATTTAACAAAATATTAGGTTTTCTAAATGCAATTGATTAAACAATCGAATAAATTCATGCACCTTTAAATATAACTTGTAACTGAATCTTTTTTGTTTCAGTGGAAGAAAAATTAAAAGACAAACTAGCTAGTGCTGTGAAAGAAAGAATATCCCAAACACACAAAGAAAAACAGCTTCAGATGGAAAGGAAGAGGAAAGCGGCCTTGTTTTTAAATCAGATTAAAACCACCCAGCCATCTGCCCCTTTACCTAATGTTCTTCAAGAGGATTCAAGTTCGTTGTATGTTGGTGAGTGTATTAAAAATTATTTATTAATGTTGTAATTTAAAAAAGAATAAAAGTATCAAAATACACATTAAATTTTTAAAATACTTTGATATGATTTAGGTGAAACAACACCCAGCACAGTTGTATTTGATTATGACAACCAACCAGTACCACAGATCCTATCCAGTAGGTATGACAAATCTAGGTCCTCTAGGGACAAAAAAAGAAGACGACGATCACCAACACCACCAAGTGCTTACAATCTAGAAAGAAGGTATTAAATATTGTCAGCTTTTTAAATGCTTAAATTTTCTATCTGTATTATTAGCTTTATTTTGTTTTGGAATACTTTTTTAAAAAAAAGTGCGCATAGTTTTTGTGCAAGTTTAACTTTACTGGCTCTAACTCTGATCTAGACTTAACACGTTTTACAGTTGTTGAAAACACCTTAGTACATATTATTTTGCTGTACTTGCTTTTTACAAAAAAACCTGGTTTTGTTTGTGTTGTTAATTGAAAATATTTATTTAGATCACCAAACCGTCCCAGTCCATCTATGTGGCTTAACAGACCTACTAACTGGTCCGCTATGAGAGACAGAACACCTCCATGGCAGCGGAGAAATCGAGAAATAATGAACAGAAGGTCTCGCTCACCCTACAGAAAAGAAGAAAAGAAAAAACACAAAAGGTCAAAATCCAGGTATGATAACTGTCAAGCTTGGCAGTAAGCTTTGCTTTGAAGCTAGGACCATTTAAATTAATGTAGAATTTAAAACTTTTCAACAAAGACCACAAGAATGACATGACTTATCACATTTCAGACATACACTACAGGATAGGGTAGTTGAAAACCCACTAATAGTCATGTAACAATTAAAATTTTTTGGGTTAAAATGTCATTACTTTTGGGCTATGACTTGTGTTGAAGACTATAGAATCCTAAAATTAATAGTATTGTTAAGCATTGCTACATGCTATGGAAATTTTGTTGGGAAAAAAAGATTATTTAGTTTACCATGTACATAAACATGTCAACTGTTTCACGAACTTAATGCTATGAAAATATATTTAGATCACCATTAAGAAGGGAGAAACCTAAGGACAAGTCTAGGCACTCAAAAGAAAGAACAAAACACAGATCTAAGGAAAAAGAAAAGAAAAAGAAAGAAAAAAGCAGACACAGGAGTAAAGACAGAGATTCTAAGCCTTCAGTAAAGGATGCTGTAAGTGATGGAGAAAGCAGTGATGTTGAGATAGTTGAGAAATCTCCATCAGAATTATTCCCAGAGGATCCCACACGTTCTAGTATTGAGAGAGATATATTATCTGCAGTGAAAGAAAATACTATTAAAAACAGGTGATTACACAATTTTAATTTTTTTAATCTTTCTTTCTTTTACCTTGTTAGGTGGATTATTTTGACCAGAGTTAAAAAGATAATTGCAGTTTGTCAATAAAGAATTGTCACATCAAAATCTGTAATTTATTTTTATCAGTTTAATTTTTAAATTTATTATATGAATGGAATCTTTTAATTGAATACACATTTTTATATATTTAACAGCGAAAGCACAGATGACTTAACAGCCTCATTGAGTAGGACAACAAGTCAATGTAATTCCCCGGCCACTCAGGCTAGTGTATCTAGAGGTAGTACACCCAGCAGGTCTTCTACAGACTTAACTTCTGCGGCATCTTCTGTAAGTTTTTCTCACTTTCGGTAACTTTATTTTAGTATACATTTTTATAATCATGATATACATTTTATATGAAAATATTTGTATAAAATACAAAATTATTTTAAAAAAAATATTTTCCATAGGATTTGATGAGCAAAGTTCGTGCCATGTTAAAGAAAAGCAGAGAGATGATACGTAAAGAAGAAGGATTATCATTAGAGGATACATAGTGATAAATAAAACTTGTTAGTTTTTTGTTACCTTGTATATAATGTATGTTTTTTATGTATTTTGTTGGAGCAGATGTATAAAGTAGAAAAGTGTGAAAGTTTTTAGAGTTCACTACAACTATTTACAATGCTGATAATGTGCATGTTTGTATGATGCTCTGAAAATAAAAGTGTATTTTTTCCAACAAGATCACATTGCTCAGGGTTGTTGTAAGCCTCTAGTACAATTGGTTGCTTGTAAATACAAAAATTAAGGCTTATATACCTTTATGTAATTATAATGAGAGGTTTCATTACATTTAGTAATTTATTTGTTGAACAGTCTGTAATAAAATTATTTTATTGTAATATACTGTGTTGTTAATTTTTGTATTTGTCAGCTGTAGTTGACACATTTATACATTTCATTTTTTTAGAGACAAAAAATTATTTTGTACTTTGTAGATCAGTCTAAACAAGTGGAAATATATTACAATACACTCAGGAACAAACTACATTAAAAACCTGATAACTGATTTAAACATTCTACTGTAGAATTTCTACAGCTTACAATTTTTGGTAATTATTCTAATGGACTGACTAAAAATCACAATATGGTAACTCCAAATTATAAACTAAATAATTTTTACTCTCTCTTCCAACCAACCCCGCCACCCCAATCACAATACATTGGATCAAAAGTGGAATACTATAATACTGCCAAAAGTTACTATCCTTGTCTTACACTCACCCTGTTTTGAGTTTGAAATCTATAACCATAATTCTTTAATGTTAATGTATACATATAATATAGATCTACAAATAGTACACCGTTTTCAAATATAATTAAGATTATAAAATGCAATTGAAAAAAAAAAAAAGCACGAATAGAAAAAAAAACATCGTGATTATCTTATTTATATATATACGAGCCGGCCCGCGGCATAACATACGCCGCTATTTAGTTGTTTTATTTTCTACTTTTCAGTAATTCATAATTTGTGAATTCGACAGTACCAACGCTGCCACTGAAAATATTTCTTTAAAACACTATAAGTAGCTCGTTAAGGACCATAACCCCTTCCCTCCCTCCCCCCCCCCCCCCCTTTACGTTTAAAATCGTTGGCTCTGCTTGTAAACATTTAGAGTGAACACAGCTCACTAAGACCATGTAGGGTGGGGAGGTAGGGAGCGCGTTTACAGCTTGTTTTCTAGCGGCTCCCAGAAGAGAATTATATATATAGATTAAACATTTTTAGAGTTGTATCCCCTGTTCACACACGACCGTAAACAACAAAAATGGCGACTCTCGTGGCAAGGTATGTCATTCACATGAATCAATGTGTTATGAATGACTTAAGAATTATGTGTCGTCCATAAACGACGTCATGTTCTCAGGGGGCGGGAGGGAGCTCGGGCTTTAGTGACGAAGGTGGTACGCAACGTGATGACACTTTATTTTACATTTAAAAAATTAGGCTGTTCCTCGTTTTTGTGTGTGGGGGGGGGCGGGGGTCATTTGTCCAAATGCCTCGAAATGAGTCAATGTCTTTTTTGTGTCATGAGGTCCACTAAATTATCCCCGCCCGTCTACATGGGCCCAATTTGGTGAAACTCCCCGTGGGGGGGGGGGGTCACCAAATGTAACAAGCATTGTTGAGGGTAAAAATAGTTGAAATTCATAAAGTCGCTCAGGATATTAGTTTCATGTTTGTTTTAAATGTTAGTGCTTCGATTAAAAATAAAAACATGTGGACACACACATGGATCCAAACATTCCAAATACTCTAAATATTTTGCCATGAGATATAATTTTGTCAGATCTTTAGTCCATGATACCATTTGTAATGGTTCTGGTACATTTTGTCCTGATATCTTTTGTCAGTGAGATCGTTTGTCCTGTCACCCCCACATTTTCTTACAGAAACACTGCTGGACTACACCTGTGTCAAGTTTGTTACAGATACGCACATGGATTATTTGTTCCCTTGCGCACAGAATCAACATACAGAACTGCATTGCGACTTTCAAACTTTCAAAAAGTTGAGCCTCAAAGGTTTCTAAATCCTAAGAATCCAGTTCTTTCAAGGAGGCTTTTATCAGGTATACTTTTAGATCCTCTGATTAACACTACCCCCACACATTGAGTCATTTTAACTAGCATGCTAAGTAGAAAGTTTGCTAATTAAAGAATTCACTGGAGGGCAATACTATATGGTATACTTTTGGTTTATCTGCTAGCATGCTGTTAAGGTAGGATACTAGCTGAAATAAACTTTGACACACCTTTTTTGGCAAATTTTGTAGTTTCTTATTTAATTTTGTAGTGTCTTAGATGTTTACTTAAGGAATTGTTATACACATTTATAACTCTTGCAGATCAGAATGTCCAAACCAAGAAAAAATCTTTGTCGACGTTGTCCAAGTTTTCCCTTGTTGTTTGTGGGTGTGTCCCTGTTGGTTACTATGTTATTCACAAGATGACCACAGCCGAAAAACCAGGGAAGCCTTGGCAGGTGAGTACATTATCTTACATAGAATCATCATCATTATCACTGCCTATCACCCCTGCTAGGGAATGGGTCGCCAATTAAAGATCTCCAGAGTCCTCTGTCCTGCTGGGGTATTGGCCGCCAACCAAATATCTCCAGAGTTCTCTGTACTGTGCCATCTTCTTAATCTGGCCCAAGGTGAAGCCCCTTTGTATGGTTTCAGCCTCAGGATACCATCTCCAGGTGTTTTGTCTTCCTGGTGAAGTTGTTCACATAAAGTTGGGCTCAACAATCACAACTGCTCCTGTAAACCTGAGGATTCTCATAAAATAAATGGTTTCAATACTAGCAAGGAGAAAAGATTTTTTTACTTAGATTTTAAAGTCAATGTGCTATGCATATTGGAAAGGGGATTTAAAAAATTAAAAAGGTTAAAAGTTTATTTAAAGGAAGAACTTTGGGGCTTCATTTAAGAACGGCCCTACTTTACTGTATGGAAATGTCTTATTGTATACTATTATAACCAATTTTTATTAAAAAAAGTTTGGTGGTATATGCAAGCCGCTTCCTTTTGAGAGAAAAATGTGATCTGCAGAAGTTTTATTTCTGTTTAGCTTTCAACAATTTTTTATTATACCCAGGACTGAATGTAGCCACTATCATGTGATTTACATATTTACAACCTACATTTAACAGAGAACAAATTATTATCCCACAATTAGATAGGATTTGTATTAATTTAATCAGCTCTACAGAGTTCTCTGTCCTGCTGGAGTATGGGCCACCAACTACAGCTCTCCAGAGTTCTCTGTCCTGCTGGAGTATGGGCCGCCAACTACAGCTCTCTAGAGTTCTCTGTCCTGCTGGAGTATGGGCCACCAACTACAGCTCTCCAGAGTTCTCTGTTCTGCTGGAGTATGGGCCGCCGACTACAGCTCTCCAGAGTTCTTTGTCCTGTTGAAGTATGGGCCACCAACTGAAGCTCTCCAGAGTTCTCTGTCAAGCTCATCATGTATTTTTTAAATGGCCTCAAGCCTACTTGCAGTAAGGGTTCCATTTTAGGGCCTGTCTGGTAGATGTAATTGGTAGATTATTTCAACAGTATGTGCCTTAGTCATACAAAAGTCCTGCTCCTTATTTAGTCATCAGACAAGAGATGGTAGCTCTTTAACCAGAGGTTACTGTATAACAACTGGCTGCTTAGAAGGCCTGAGTTATAATCATCTTCCTAACAACTAAGTTAAAATCCTAGTCATTATCTGTATGTGATTTGATCCTTTATGACTTCATTGTGTGTCATGAGTCTTTGTAACATGATTTCATAAAAAATAACATGTATCTAATGATACCCTAATTAACAAATAACTTAGTTATTGTGTTTTTCCATGAAAAAAAAAAGGGGGGGGGGGTTAAATTTAAAAGAGAAGTCCAAATGCTGGAAATCTAAACACCTTTCTCCTTGCAAGTAACATTAAATATATATTTAAGATTGGTGGTTGGTTGGTCTCCTCCCCCTCCCCTCCTTATAAAGTTTAGATCTCTATATCCTAAATCTTATAATTACCCTTACACTTCGGCTGCCTCCCCTACCCCTAAAAAAATAGAAAACAATATCATTTAAATAGAAAATATAATATAATACTTTAACCTGTGCCCCCCCCCCCCCTCGAAAGTTTTTAAAACTAGCCTAAGATTTACCTGACAGTGACAGTTAATCACCCTTGGCCCTTGCCTTATACTAAAGTTCGTTATTTTAAAAAAGTCTTATGTTTAAAACTGATATAAAATTGGACCATGTAGATATGTCTATGATTTTTTTAAAGTAATGATGCCTTTGCCCGATAGCGATACGAATTTCTCAGGCGTGAAAAATTCTTTTGTCATACTTTTCCACCAAATTGTAGGTCAACCCTTTTTCTAGGTCAGGCCGCGCCGTTTCTGCAAATGTATACGCTTTCGACATTGGCGCAAGCAAATAGGGTGATATTCTCGACTCGTGAACTCGGCGAGGTTGTCTTTAGTATGGAAGAGCAAATGGTCATTTTGTATTAAATGCGTGTAGGGGGTTAAATAATATTTGTTAGGCAAAAACATTTAAATCGTGAAATTTTGACGGAGCACCATGTTTATTCTAGCATATGCCTGGATAAGATAAAAATACTAAACGAAGTAAAAATAATTAAGAGTATTTTTTACTTTAACGAGCCGACCCGCGGCATATCATACGCCGCTATTTAGTTGTTTTTTCTACTTTTCAGTTATTCATAATTTGTGAATTCGACACTACCAACGCTGCCACTGAAAATATTTCTTTAAAACACTATAAGTAGCTCTTTAAGGACGATAACCCCACCCCCTCCTCCCTCCCCCTCCTCCCTCCCCCTCCTCCCTCCCCCTCCGTTAAAATAAACTCCACTTAGTTACCCCCCCCCCCCCTACGTTTAAAATCGTTTCAAACTAAATTATCTGACCCTAATAGTCGTCACTAAACCCGGCTCTGATTGTAAACATTAAGAGTGAACCACAGCTCACCAGACCATGTGGGGGTGGTAGGGAGCGCGTTTACAGCTTGTTTTCTAGCATCTCCCAGAAGAGAATTATATATATAGATAAAACAAATTGATACGTGTTTTTATTAAAGATACACATACAACATACAATTATTAAAAATTACGTTTTATAAATAGTTTTTGTTTTTTAATAGTTGGTTAATATGACAAGTTAAAATATCATAATTGTTTAAACGCTTTGCTATTAATATAAATGATTATTAAACTCCCAACTCACATAAAAATAAAAAGGTAGTCTAGCTTGGAAATAATCAGAAAACTTCTCTTCATATTATAGGCATATTTGAAAAAGAGAAAAAAAAGGATAGAGTCACTCTATGTAGTTTATGCTATATCTACAATTCATGCATTTTGCCCACTTTTTGGCATCTCCGGTTAATTAACTGTACCGACTTAACTGCATGGCATTTTCATTTTCTTTAACCAAAAGTAAAATAATAAAACAATTTGACCGTACCGGTGTATCATAAACAGGGGCAACAACCGGGGAAATTCTTAGTATCTAAATAATCGATCAAATGCTGGATAAAAATACTACCGGCTTCTCGGTAGGCTGGCATCGATTGTGTGTACATTTTTATTCAGAATATTAGGATATAAGAACACGTATTGTGTACAAGTTGTATTGAATGTGATGGAATTCTTCTAGCTTAACTATTCAATGGACTACGGTACTGAAATCAGTGGATATCATCGTCGTTATCAGCCCGTGTTCATTTTTAGGTCAAGCTAGGGGCAGGGCAGAAATAATTGGGACAAAAGTGGTATCATCCGTTCATTCCGTGCTCCGTGAGGGTGTGTTTGTTTTCGTTCAACATTTGGTAGGGTATCTCAGCAAATGCATGACAAAATACATGTCGTCGTCTAAAGCAGTATTGGCCTAGCTTTGCTGCATTAGCTTCCTCTAAAAAAAGATAATGCACAAATACACTCAACAAATCTTTTAATACCAGTACAGCCCTTGCACAAAACAATTAACATAATTTTGGAATTTAGTTAGATTCATATACATTTTATATAAATAAAAATAATAGATTAGGCCTATGTTTAGATTTATAAATAAAATATATTATATATTATTATACTTATAGTACTATTTAGACCTAGATCTATCGTATTATTCGATTAACAAAAATAATTAACATAATTTAAATTTGTACCTGTATTGAAAATATTTAGAATCTATTATCGATTTTTCATGAATAAGTTTCATAATTTTAGATTAATAATAACATAATATGGTAATCTTAGAGATGGTATGTTAATGATTAAATTATTTTAGATAAATAACATATGCCCCGTATAGATTTTACATAAATATACGTAATTTTATCTCGATGTTAAGAGTTAAGACAATTGCTTTTTCGCATTTTAACGCGTTAAAAACAAAAAGCATCAGAATGTAGGCCTACTCAGATTTTTTTAGTGTTCCGTATAGCAGTTGTTGCTGTTTTCTTATAAAATCAAATCTGCTTAGCTCTAGTTTTGATAGTGGCATTACTGGGGTTTTTTTTTGTATTTTGGATCCGTTTGAGTAAAAAAAAAAAAAAAAAATTGGTTAAGTACCATTTGGAGCTGGGCGGTACATGTTGCAGGTGAAGTAGAGTTCACACTTTTTAATGACCTCGGCATATTTCCGTTCGATTTGTATAATCCGTGTTTAAATTGCTCTGAAAATTGATCCATATTTAAGCTTAAGAAATTCTAAATCTCTAATCTTTCTCCACGACCTAAATTAATTTTTTCCCCAAGTCATCTGTGTTTTAAATGTGATGATTACAAGATATTGTGTTTATGGGGGGTGGGGGGGGGGGGGGTGGAGGGTCAAAACTAGTAGCAGCACTTGTGATGGTTGTTTAAAACACCTCTGCCAGAAAATGGCCGTAGATGGCCAGCCCTTGTATGGTACTTGTACATCTAATGGGGAACAAGCTGGCGCTACCTCGGTTATCTGTGGGTTGTGGTCAGACAAGTTTTGTTATCTCTAAGTCTATAATTAGGTTTCGTGAGTCAGAGGGTAGCCAGGTTTTGGTATGTAAGAGTTGAGATCTAGAATAAATAACGGTTTAATGATCAACATCACTCTTTTTTTTCTCTTAGAAAAGTACCCGTAATTTATTAATTAGAAGTTCAATCAGGTGTTTTTTCACCTAGTTTTAAAATGTCTACTTGTAATTACAAGTTCACGATTGGGAGAGAAAGCAGGTGAAAGTCCAAAGTCCAATTATTCGATCACTTAAATAATTACGCGTCATTCTGGAGCTTCTAGAAATGTCATACTTTTTGTGACCCCTTTTTTGAGAAAAGTTCACAATTGCGAAGGTGAAATTGTTTCATTAAACCGGTCACCATTTCTCGGTCACCATTCACTAGTAACTAGTCACCAGTCACCATTCACTGGTCACCATTCCTCGGTCACCATTCACTGGTCACCATCCACCATTCACTGGTCAC